CACTCCTCCGCCAGCCAATTCTTCGGCAGCGCCGATTCCAGCGTCATCGGTGGCAAACTCCTCTGTAGTACCTTCTACTATACCTACTCCTCCGCTAGCCAACTCGTCGACTCTGATCTCTTCAATCAGTCCGGTTCAAACGACTGGCGGTACAGGTGTGTCCGCCAGTGGATCACCGCCTGCGTCGACACCACCTGTGTCGTCGTCTGCGCCATTGGTCTCTTCCCCGCCAGTCCCTCCTAGTTCTCAGAGCTGTGCATCACTCCGAACCACTGTCATTGCCACAACGACAATCTCATGGTGTGTCGACATCAGCGGATCCTCATCTACGATTTCATTGACCGCAACTCCAGCCCCAAAGGCGCACCCTGAAGATGGAGGCGGCGCACCACTTCCATTTAAGCCAACTTCATCTCCAGTACCATCAATTCTAGCCACCATGGTTGGAGGTTCTTCCGCCCCTGGTTCCGCTTCGGCAACCGCACAGGACACCTCAAGTACAACTGACTGCGGCAACCCTGCCGACAAGGGTGACTTCACTTTCAACGTAAGTTGCCATCCCACAACTACCTCAAGGTGTTCACAACTGACTTTTCCAGCTCGATGATCTACTACCGCTCATTGTCAGCCCTGGTTCAAATGAGAGCGACGTGGAGCCAACGGTCATGTTCAGCCCATATCATCGATTCTACTTCTCAGATGAATTCAAAGTTGTCGCCCCTCCGAAGGATCCCTTCCTACCATCTTCTGGAAAGCTGATGCTTCAGTTTGTGCCGCCTGAGCTGCCAACCACTCCGGTGAATGGCATATCTGCTACTCCTGGAAAAATCAGCGTCAGTGCTGATGAAAACCAATCTTGCTTTCTTTTCAACTTCTACGGAACCAGGCTCGGATGTAACTCGAAAGACGAAGACTGCGTCTTCACGTTCACTGGCCTTCGAATGAACCAGAAGACTAAGGCCGACGAGGAGGTCCACACCCAGACGGTCAAGGTGCCTCCATGTGCGTCTGCAAATGACTGCAAGCTCAAGACCATCTCTGTGGATGGCTTCGAAAGCCTGACATCAGTTGTCATCACGGCCAAGGTGGGCGAAGAGAACCGAGCCTGGTGGACAGACGATATCCGTCTTGGATGGTCTGACAATAGCTGCGAGAATGCACTTTGCCGATCAAAGGTTCGGGACACTATTCGAAAGCGAGACTGGATCACTGCCGGCAGGAAGTCGACGTGGAGACGATTTGGGTTTATCTGAACTTCAAATCTCCAACCACTGGTGCGAGGTGGTGCGGTTCCTGTTCAAACACTTTGCTCTATTTGCTGTCACCAAAGATTTTGTTCAACATGTAAGTAACATCCTGATAAAACACCACACTGTGGCCCAGTCTATGTCATAATGCGTTCGGTGGGAACCGGGCAAAGGAGATGGAACAGGACATCCAGGCAATTTTGAACGAACCTTAGCTTCGCTGTAGGTACTTAGACCAACTAGATGGCGCAATTCAACCATGTTTATTAAAAATAATATTAAATACGCCGTAGGTGTTAACCCTCGGTACCTCTACAAGTACTTCCTTAAGGGGCTATAGATGATATAGCGGGCCCTTAAGCCGCGTCGGGCGGTTATACAGGTAAACTTGTAGCCAAACGACTACTAAACCTCCTGTCCCTCCCTAAGTCTGTGCTACAACCCCTGCCTGAACTACCGATAAGTGTGGTAACGTGGCACTTAAATTCGTCCTCAGGGGTGGGATGCTGCTGATGTGCAGAAGATGCTCGACTATTTTTTTTGTCGCGACAAGTCGTAGTATCTGCTAATTGGGGTTCTCGTCGAGCGTATACATCTCAACCATACGCTCAAGTGGATAGACCGTAACGTGGTCTAGACGCTCGCAAGAATCGCGGCGAGAGGGGGTCCGATAAGGGGTCGGATTAACGATTCGAATTCTGGACCGGCTGTCGAGTTATATTCCGCCGACGTAGTGCTTGACGGTCGACTGGCTAGGATGCTCGTAATCCTAAACTGCACCAATCTCCCTATTATCGCTAGGTAGGCGAAGTCAACAAGGTGGGCAGCGCGCCGTAAGGGTTGACTAAACCCCCTTGTGTGTCAGCTGCGGGATTCGAACCCGCGACTCATCACCGACCCAAGTGGGCGAGGCTCAAATCGGGACTTACCTACCAGCGAAGTGACCAACTACACCAGCCGACACCATGTTTATTAATCTCAATGCTGTTCGGCCTGCCAAATGTGAATGTCAGAGGGACTCAAAGGGATTTGAATTAGTGGTTGACCGATTCAACCATGGCTTCAAGGGCAAGTGGAAGAGGCTATGCTGTGTTGGGAATCTTCCATACCTGGAGGTGGACTATGCTGTGAATGGACGAATTGATAGTTACTGCCTGTGTACCTCGGGTGGTATTACCCTTTCTAAGCAGGTGAAAGCGGAGAGTTAGCGTGAACTGTCATTAGCCACAGCGGTATCGGACCGCAACGGCATTTGAATGCCGTTATAGCATGGACCAACATGCTAGCTTCTACGGTCACACTAAAACAAAATGCTTAAATAACCCAGCCGACGCAAACAGAAAATGTACCTTAAGCTACTAAGCACGATTTAAAGCTCTATTTTTATAGTTAAATTATCTCCTATTTCTCTTTAACTTATATTTATTAACGTGATTTTATACTCTGTATCGATCTAAAGTTTATAGAGTTGTTAAATTCCTGATTATTGACGTGGGGTTAGGGTTTTTGGGTGCTCGTTTTCGTTTTTTCCGGTTTCAGACGAGTTATGTAAGCGCGTTCTTGAAGGTCATTTAAGACCTTATGTACATAGTCACTCTCTTGAGAAAAAGATAGAAATTCAAGCGGCCTTTTCCACAGTAATCTGAACCAATTTCTCTTTACTTGGACAGGCATTCAATGTCTGACGTACCTGTTGAGGTACTTTCTGTTCCTGTCAAATATCACGTGTGTCCAATCGAGTAGTCAGAAGTGCATAAGATTGTATTATGAATGAGGTGTGTTCTTGTCTGTGTTCTATTCTCGCGAACTCCCGTTGCTCTGCCTTTTATGGATTCTTTCGGAAATGTCGGAGGTGCATTGTTCAGGTGTCTGACCCCTAAGTGGACCGTAACTTTGGAGTTACTTTCGGGAAGAGGGGTTCATTTCGCCGTCTGAACTTCAAGTGACACTAGTCTTCTCTAGTGCCATATTATTTCTGAACCTAGGAACCAGGTGTCTTATCTGACAGTTCCCCTATAGATCTGATTGTGCCTGTTGAGGCCATTGTTCCCATCTTTCACCTGTTGAGGTGACTGTTCAAGGGCCTGTTGAGGTTCCTTTTCTTCCCTAGCCTGCTGAGGCTACAGTTGTTAGTACCTGTTGAGGTACTTGTCGTTACGATCAGGGCAAGGAGCTCTTGATCTTGTTATTTCTTTCCACCTCCCGGATAGTAAGGTCTTGTTGAGGATCTTGTTATTCGTTGCCATCATCTTCACACCTTAAACCTGCGGGTGGTTTCACTGCCCGTCGTCATTATTTAAGTACTAATAACTAGCTAGAAGCCCGTAAAAGTAATTAAATGAGAGGTCTTTCACTATTTTATAGCGGATAACTTGTAATGAAATAAAGTAAATTATGTATTGATCTTGTCTTGAATAGCCAGGTAAATAGTAAGTAATCGAGCTATTCCTGCCTACTTTAGGTTTAGTTGACCGTGGTTTAACCTAGGTACGGGTTATCTACAACTTCAATGTAATAAGGTGAAAGCGACTGGTGAAACGGGGTCAGGCGGTCAGTAGGATATACCTACCACCTAACACACTGAACAGACGGCTCCAGTACCAACAGATCCCATCTGTTGGTCGGATGTGCCTCTGAGACTCTCGTCGGAATGATTCTCAGAACAAGACGTCTGGCTCTGGAAGTGGAATTGAAGCTCTCACTAGCACTAGATTTCTCTGATCAGAGCAAGATACAATCCTCTGTCATTATCAAGGCTAGGATGAGGGCAGAATAATAGGATTTCGAAAGTAGTGTATAAGTGCACGTAGGAATGAACAGCATAATTGAAGAGCTCGCTAACTAGAATCGAAAACAAAAGTCAAGTTGATTGAATAAGATGATAAAAAAAAGATGATGAGTTGTTGAAAATCGTCTGTCATCTCCGTGTCCCTTAAGAAGTGTGGAAGACAGGGGAGTCCTCCCTGGCCCCCGTCACCTATTTTCCTGACGTCCGGCCTGGCCCCACTACACTGGGGGACTTTTTTTCAAGGAGGCATGCAGCGACAGCTGTCATCGATCATCATCTTCTTTTCTCAGTCAATCACTCGGCTTCGATTCATTCTCACATACATCCAGACAGAGCTTTTCTAGAATCAATTTGCCCTCACCTTAGCCTTGTCAACTACAGAAGGTTTTACTTCGTTCTGATCAGACTGACCTAGTGCTAGTGACATCTTTGTCTCAAATCTCAGAGTCAGAGGCCTTACTCTGAGAGTCATCCCATCACCGATACAGAGGACACATCCGACCAACCTGCGTATCCACAGACACAAAACGAGTCTCGGACGCTCCCATCTATCTTAGATTCCTTAAGGACCAGTACTGTAATATACTCACCCGTATTATTAGCATATTATCAATGGCTCTTTGCACATAAAACGCCTTAGAGTAATCGAGATATTGTGGGAAGTTGTGGCCTCAGCCCCTAGTACTTGGATTCCGACAGATCGATTAATGTCTTGTACAAATAGCCTAAATTATAGTGCGGCCTCGACTAGATTAACTTCGCTTTTTTAACTGCATTACGATGAAGTTTGTCGCAGCACTAGTCACAGGACAGGATACCAGGATTGCGCACCGGTGTGTTGGATGGATGCTCGAGATAACAGTTCTGCCTCGGGTCTCCGAGAACGGCTAAGGGCTATATCGCAGCCACAGTTGAAACTGACCAATTCTATTCCCAACAAGCACCAACATATTGAGGATGAAGGCCGCTGACCCAACCCCGCTTTATGGCCAGTACCTTAACCCACCTTCACTGTCAGGTATCTGCATTGACCAGACAGATCCCGATGCGCAGCCCCTGCTTAGTGTAAAAGACTTGCAGGCGGCCTTTCTATTACCCAATGTGCCTCGCATGACAAATGCGTGTGGAAAAGCCACCCATGGCCTAGATCTGGGGAACAGTGGAGAAAATGCAACAATGGTTTATTCCCGGCTGCCCCATATCCTCGGCTGCTTTCCTGGATGTTCCAGTGCGACTTGATGGAAACGTGAAAACTGTTCTGACATCTCGTTTCTTTTCTTAAACTGGTTGCCAGCTAGGTCCTCCAACGAAGCTGCAGAGTTCTGTGGCTGCGCTAGCTTCTCGGTCGTTTGGTATATTCCGATTGGGCCACATCAGCATGCTGTCCTCAACGTCTTCAACGTCTGCAGAGGGGGGGGTGCCGCCGGATCTGGAGCAGCAGGCTGCCTTCGCGGACGTGGACCAAGATGCTCCACCGGGGGATGACGAGGGGGAAAAACCCACCGAGAATAGCCCTGTAGATGGCGAAGAGCAATGGACAACACCGCCGGAGCCGGTTTTGAGCACTGATGTGGAAGGGCCATCGAGGGCAGTGAGCCGGGTGCTGAGTAGGATATCAACGAAATCGAGCTCGAATCCCGGGCCGCCTCCGGACGGTGGTCATGAAGCCTGGCTAGCCTGTTCGCACTTCTGAGCCAGTCAATCTGAGCACCCTTACTAATGAAAGTGACCCAGGTCTCTGCACCCATTTTGTCATCATGAACACATGGGGCTTCATAAACTCGTTCGGCATCTTTCAGTCCTACTATGCCACCGTCCTGGACCGCCCCCCCTCGGACATCTCGTGGATCGGCTCGCTGCAGATCTGGCTGACTTTCTTCGTTGGCACGTTCACCGGACGTCTCACCGACGGGGGTTTATTCCGCCCCGTCCTGATGCTGGGGACGGTGCTCATTACCATTGGCATATTCACCACGTCCGCCGCGACGCAGTACTGGCAGCTCATCCTGTCGCAAGGGCTCTGCATGGGTCTGGGGAGTGGGTGTGTTTTCACCCCCGCGATATCGACCGTGTCGACATATTTTCACAAGAAGAGGTCGTTGGCTATTGGCATTGCGGCGAGTGGGTCCGTCACAGGGGGCTTGGTTTTTCCGGCTATGGCGAGGCAGTTGTTGCCTACGGTGGGACTTGGTTGGGCGGTTAGGGCGATGGGGTTCGTGTCATTGACTACGATGGTGTTTGCCAATTTTTTTATGAGGTCCCGTTTACCACCCCGCACGACGGGGAGTCTGGTGGAATGGGGGGCGTTCAAGGAGTTAGAGTATACCTTTTATGCCGTGGGCATGTTCTTCGTATGTCGTGCTTCTCGGTCCCCCTTTTTTCTCTCTCTGCCCAGGGCAAAACCCCCGAGCTAATAATCGTCCATGATTCTCCCGGAAAGGAAATACCATCATGACTAACAGAAAACGCAGAATTTCTGGAGCATCTACTTCGCGTTCTTCTACATCGCCTCCTTCAGCCGCACCGCCATCTCCCCGCCCCTCACCTACACAGACAGTCTTAACCTGCTCCTCCTCATGAACGGCATAGGCGTCATCGGCCGTCTCCTCCCCAACTACTTCTCCGACCGCACGGGTCCCCTAAACATGATGATCCCCACCTGTTTAATCTGCGGCATCGCCCTTCTCTCCTGGATGGCCGTTGAAACCCCCACACAGCTCTACGCCTGGTCTGTGATATACGGCATCGCCGCGGGGAGTATGCAGAGTCTTTTTCCTGCGGGGTTAAGTAGTCTGACGACGGATTTGAGGAAGCAGGGTACGAGGATGGGCATGGTGTTTACGATTGTGAGTTTTGCCGTTTTGACGGGGAATCCGATTGCCGGGGCCATTATTACCGCTGAGGGGGGCGGGTATAGGGGTGCGCAGGTGTTTACCGGGTGCTCGGTCTTGGTGGGAATGGGGTGTATTTCGGCCGCGAGGGTAGTGAGGCAGAGGAGGACAGAGGGTGGATGGGCGTTGAAGATATGAGGGGAAGAAATGAGAGTGGGGGATGGCTATGGCTATATGTAAATATGATGCTGCGAGCGAACATACAGGTATGGTGTTTGATAGAGTATCAATCTATCGGGTCACTACTTTTGGAATGGATAAGTTTTGTACCTACATTGACCCGTCAACTTGAGAATTGCATCCGTTCATACAATCGGCAGGGAATTCGGAAGAGAAGCGTGAAATTGTGGTATTATCGAAGAAGTCGTATGGCTTCCGTCACCGAGTGTCTTGAATCAAGCGGCGACATAGAAGTATGTTCATATGTGGAGGCCACATACCCCTTGCCTATACGTTCCATGCATCAATCGTGCGACCAGCACCAGAGGAGCATGAAGCTTAAGGGTCCCCCTCAAGCTGCCTGCTGTGCAATGGTGTCCATGTAACGCTTACATCGAGTCTAGCGAGCTACTCTCATACGAGTCTCTATTATTCATGATTTGCGATGATTAGATCGTTGGTAAACGGCGAATAGCATATTGCGCATATGTCCGCTTGAACAGAAGAAATCTGCAAAAGTGATGGGCGGCCACGTTGATATAGGGGTGTAGTGCATTGCTTTTGGACGAGACTGAAGAGTTTATCTCATGCCAGACAACACTTCTTCCGAGCCTCAGAAGACAAACACTAATACTGTCTCATTGGTCGATCTTGGAAGGGTAATTGGAGCCTCTAGGGCGATGCGAGATCCCATGACGTGGATTCCTTGGATGAGTGATGCTCCCATCATAGATGATTAGGGACGCACATGTGCATATAGTGATTTGACAGTTTGGGGGACAATCCTTTGAACATGATCTCATTGATATTTAAGAACTCGAAGCAACTTCAACTTCATACAGGGTTGTCAGTATAAGGCGGCGGTGGCGAATCAGGATGATCCTCTTCTATCACCACCGGTGTAGAGTACTGCGCAGCCGCCCCGTCATCCGCAGCTGTTGTCGGCCCGGAAGCAGACGGCTTCCTCATCTCGTCCTCCAACCTGGCCGCCCAAAGCGCCGCCCCCGTCGTCGAAGTCAACAAGAAGAAGAACGACAATATAGGCACGAGTTGCAACAGCATGGCCACAGTGCCAAACCAAGTGTACTCCCAAGCCCGACTCTTAATCTCGCGCTTCAGCTCCTTCTTATCCAGCCCCCGCAACTTGAACCAGCGGTAGTGTGCGAATGTGCCAAGGCGCGCGCCCGTGATGATGATGAAGGCAGGCGTGCCGACGTAGGGGATCAGGTTGAGCGGCAGGAAGACGATGAGCTCGATGATTTGGATGAGGCTCCAAGGCTGGTAGACGGCGGCTGTGGTGGGCTTGCCAAGTTTCTTAACGGAGGTTGGGGCCGAGGGGTAGAGGATGCGGTGCGAGGCGACGAGGTCGGCGAGGTTCTTGTCGAGGAGGGTAGCCTGAGGTTTGGGTTAGTTCGCTGTAGTTGAGGTCTGGATCTGATAGGTGCGGCTGTTGTGCTTACATCGAATACATCCACGCGACACTCGTCGACGAAGAACCCCTCGAACAATCCCTGGATGATGACCAAGCCCTCCCCCAGGACGAGGAACACGGCGTTGACCCAGGCGCCCCAGCCGTGGAATATCACGAGGAATGCGTACTGCGGTAAAAATGTGAATGTGAAAAGAATCGTGTACACTAGCAGCGACATGATGGAGAGCGGCAGCAGTCGACTGAGGAAGAGCGGATAGTAGGCCGGATGACGTAGGAAGTAGTAGATGCCCCGCAAGGGGTACGATGCCGCGATCAGCCCTCGCCAGACATAACCGATAGGTCGCTCGATGGGTTTGATTGCATGTTGAAGAAGGGTATGGGGGGCTGCGGAGGGCATGATTGTTAGACGCGGTGAGCGTTGCGCAGAGAAATGAGCGCGCTGGTTGATGCTCAAATTCTAAAATTTAGACCACATGGAACTTAAACCGAGTAGGAGTCGGAGGGCGTCATTGGCTATGCACAGGGGTCCAGCCCGGCGTGGCAACAGCGATTGATGCACTTGTTACGCAGGTCAATGTGCTGTACAACATTTTCATCACTAATCTTGTGTGCTATGAAGTATCTGCCCCACCACCCACTCACTATCTGCATCTTTAACTACAATCGCACCAGTAAATAGAGGGGATCAAACATGCCAAGGTAATGCCCGATCGCTAACGACCTTCTATCATTTACAGTGTTTCTCCTTCTTTAAATTTGCTAGTCAACTGCTCGAACACTCCGTCCTGTCTTCTTCGACCTGGGTTGATTTGATGGTCCTGCTTTGGTTGCTGCTACTTCTGCGGTCTCTGCTTCCGCAGCACTTAGCTACGACCAAACCCGCAGATATCCCGTCCACATCGTACACCGATCAGCCAAAATCCTTGATATGATCGACTGCGATAAACCGACCCCGTGCTGGTCGCAAATCGGGCATTCGCGACTAGTCTGCACAGCTGTTGGGGAAGCCAGTCAAGGCCGGCTTCATCGCGCTCCCATTCCTTCAGATGCAACACTTGCAGCGAGGTTGGCAATATCCCCGCAGTTTCGGCGGCGCCCGCCTGCGGCCGGTTCCCGAGAGTACCTAATGAGAGATACAATCCTTGCGAGATTGCCGTTGTCATCTAAAGTAGGTCGGATGGGCATCTCAATACTGATAACGTCTTTCAGGTCCGTCCATACTATTTTAAAAGATCTCTGATAATACCAAAATCAAGCTCTAATTCGGAATCTACTCTGCGGTAGACCATCTCCACATGCAGAGTTCGGGGGCCTCTGCAGCGAGACACTCGAAGACGAGATGCTTCAGATTGCAGGCGCTGTGCGCACTCAGCATTTTGCGCACGTCCGCTTCACACCAGCTGAATCTATTTGTAGGAGTGCTTTCGATTTTTGATTGAGTAGAAAGCCATCAAACTCGTTAGTAGGGCGCATCGAGGCTTGGAAGTACCCCTTGCGGAGTTGTAATACTTGCACCCACTGCGCCATGCCTTGCTGGCCATCATGTTTCAAACCGTAGCGGTCGGGCAATGTGGCGCAAAAGACGCGACAAGCGACAAATGCTTGCTTGCGTTTGGCGGGAGCCTCGTTTCTTCTCGGTGTCCTGCTCTCCAATGTGCCAGACCTTTCCCAATCGTGGTTCGTAAATTGGTCCCCCATTCTGTGCCGGGGAGGCTGGTATGGATTTGGCACTAACTTTAACTTAATCTCAAGCCAGATCTATTAAAGGATGTACAGCATGGGGGTGTTGAATCGCTGAAAGTATGCGAAACTCCACCTTGAGAGGGATCTAAAGGGATCGTCTTCTTGTGGCTGACATGGTCAACAGACGGCAGCTATTGTCAGGATCTCAGTAGCGTTTTCGAGGCTGCAGAGACCTAAAGAGGTGGTATATCATATTGTATTCATCCGAGTTGCAATATTTCACCCTTTCTGCCCAACTGTCATCCTTTTCCCTATTTTCCCGGCCCCCCCCCCCAGATGCAAGACGAACACTACAACTTATCAACAAGCTTATCCGCTGCGTATGTGGCATTAGACCCCCAAGTCTTCGCCATCGACTGCAAGTACAGGACTCCTTCGTCAACCTCGCACTCACAGTATGAGCCGTACTTCAACTTATCCACGATCCTGTACGCAATCTCGCCCTTATCGACCGCCTCATGGAACCCCTCCTGCAGCATATCATCGTCCTCAAATTTCTGCCACTGTAACTGACTTACGATCCCCTCAAAATACGAGATGGCATAGCTGCCCAGATATGACTCCCAATCCTCGCGTAACTCCGTCTTCTTCACCTTGCTCTCCTTCTTCAACTTCTCAAACGTGTCCTCAAAGTTTGGGTTCAGCTTAATGTCTGGCTTCGCGAGCAGCTCCCCAACCTTTGCCTGAATTTCCTTGATCTTGGGGTCGAAGTCCTGCCGGATCCCCGTGCGTGCAGCGTAACTCATTGGCTCGGAGGATCCCTCGGGAGCAGGAGCATCGTTCAAGGCTTTGAGAAGGGTGCTGCGCTCCAGAGCGTAGTCAACGTTGGTCCCTAGGTTACCGGGCGCGAAGAGGATGCGCAGGCTGCCTTCGTGAACATCGACGCCGCCGTAATTGAAGCGCTTCGACTCGTCGACGTCCATGGTTACCGTGTGGGTGGGGCAGATGGCGTTGAGTTCTTTGAGGCCCGATTCGGAGTAGGTGCGCGAGAATTCTTTAAGTTGGTAGATGGCGCCATTGATGTAGCTATCATACTGTTGGCGCTGTGGACGAGTGGAATGGGGGATCCGGTGAGGTGAGACTTACGCGGCGATGCAGCCACCCAGCGAGTCCCTGGCGTAGCCTTCTCCGGCGTAGGCGTAGATCTGGTTGGGGTTAACGTCGACTGTCCAGGGCACCGTGAGGACGTCGGAGAGCTCTTTTTCAATGTCGGGCTTTTTGTTGTCCCATTCATCGCGCACTGGTTTGTCAGCTACTACACGGTGCTGTGGAGTAGAGGTGGACATACCGTTCTTGCGAACTGCGAGCGATAGCTTCTCGACGGGAGGGAGGCGGGTCATGTTAATGGTTTTATTCGGTTTTGGATTTGGTCTGCGGGTTCAGGTACTACCTATTTTGATATCACCAACAGAACCCAGGGCTGAGGTGATTTTAAGTAGTTCCCTACCCCTGAATCAGTGAACGAAATGTTTGATGCCTCTTAATTGGGTTACCGCTATCGTCAATGGAAGCGCTCGTCTAGACCCCTGTTCAACGAAGCCATCGCCTGCCGTCACTTGGCTGCCGTCCTTGGCTGTCAACCTTGTGTTCAGCCGCAGGACCCTCGAAGAAGGCCTTGTTCGAATGTGTAAATGAGCTTGAGCAGTTTGGCGCCGAGCTGAAAACGGTCATGGACAAGTTTAGGTACCGTGCGCCTTTAAGCAAACTCCATCCGGCATGCGTTAAACGCCACAATAGCTGTCAAATGCAAACGCATCCACCCTTTTCTCTCCATAGCTGCACTTTATGATGTGAAATGGAGCAAAGTGAGGAGTCAGTTTAGCTCCCGTCACCGCTCTTCCTCCACATCCACTAGCTTAGCATCCACCTGCACTGATGAGGGCGTCTCCAGCTACTTGGTGCAATGGACCCTTCGTGGAGACGCACCTTCCAGCCCCACTCCAGGTTCCCACGCCTGTTGTGGACAATATATGCAGGCTGGCCTAGAGAGAATGCCCCTTCTTTTAAGCTCAGCTTGGCGTAGACTATGGGTGGTCTACCTGTACTCGATGTGAGAAAAGGGGAGTAGATGCTCTTGAAAATCGGCTGCCTTACGTAAAGTCAACCCCTTGGGACTTTGACAAGATTAGTATTTTTCCCTGCTGCTCAAATTGCATAAGATAGATAACCGCAGCCATGTACTCCTTTCTACAGAAGATAAAAGACACCGCACCAAAGACATCATCACAATGTCGAAACTGTCAGTGAGCTTCTGGTCGGTATGCCTCTGCTTTAATGATGCTGACCACGCTTTCAGGCCGCTCAAAGTGCAAGTCGGCATCCGAGACTACTGGGACAAGGACGACGCACCTGTCCAGAAGGCGCTGAGCAGTCTCAAAGAGGTCATCGGGATCAATATCGTCGTTCTACCAGAATGGCAGCTTCTCCTCGCTGAACTAGAAAGCTTCTATCCGGACAAGGGGACATTAGTGCCAGTTGTCGCGGGATGTGTCCAAGCGTGGTGTAACGCTATGTCGGCTCTTCTTGACGATGAGGCCAATGAGGAGTGGGCTGACACGCTGTTGGAACGAACATATGGGACTTTGAGGCTGTTCATTGAGGTGGGCACGCGTTTACTGAATCGACGTCGGGTTTCTATTGACTTTGCGAGGGAAAAGGTGTCTAAGAACAATATCCCCAAGACGACCTGGTCCGACGAAAGGGTTGGGTTTATCATCAGTCTGCCCAAAGCTGAAGTACCTTCGCCGATGGAGATGGAGCCCACGTTTAAAGGCAGTTTAATCAGCTGTTTCGACAAGAAACGGACTGCCTCAGGCGCTGTATCCCATGGAATGGCGTCGGTGGACGACTGGGCCGATGTCTCCATGGACACGGAAACCGGAACGCCAGGTGTGATCGAGGCGCCGCAGCAGCAGTCACCTTCTGGCTTACACCCACGTCAGCCGGAGTTGAACACGCTACCCAGTTGCAGTACTCTCGCTCGCCCGGACGAGCTACTCCTCAAGCCACCGTACCATCTGGTCGTTTACAGCAGGGGGGGCACGCTCGTCGAAGTCCAATCCAGCCATAGCCCGTCGTTGCGGTTGCTGGCCGAGTACTTGAAAAAATGGTGTCGTGTCAATCACCAGGATAATCGAAAGGTATGGTTTCTTCTCTTAGTATTCAGTCTTCGGTACCAGACGGACAAAAAATAAAAGTAAATCAAGAATCAACGATCGTACTAACGTTGTGGACTGGTGCCAGCCCCCTTGCGTCGAGGTCAAGCTTCACCAATCAGCATTTGGGCTGGGACTGATGTATGACCGCCTCACGCTTTCTGTCGAAGGTAGGTATTCGACGTTTACTGTGACTCCTATGATTGTGTTGTCGCTCATTGAGGGCGTTTTGGGGTATAAGACCGTTTTTGCTGATAACTCGAGCTGGGCGTTTCGGAAGGACATCAAGTTCACGGGGTGTGGGTACTGATCGCGAGGATGGGATGAAGGCTAGACTGCTTTTGTGATAGTTATGGGTCACTCGGAAAATAAGGATGGGTAGTACTAAAGTGGTTAGTACTCACAGGAGCTCTGCTAGGGCTGATCTGCCCGTAATCATTGTAGATACAAGTCGTGTGTTGGTGAGATTCGCGTCTCTGCAACAGCAAGAGAAAAGCCCACCGTGGTACTCAATGATCCCATATTACCTCTAAATTCACTTCATGTGTGACTGACGCCGATATGTCGAGAGACGTCCGGCCGTTCGTCTCTGCGAATCGTCCATGAGAGAGCTGTATTGCAAAACCACACAACCGCAAAATCCAACGTCATCAACGACGCTCGAACACCATCTAACAACTTCAACAAACCTACTGAACAACTAAAATGGTGGGAGGAAAGTGTTCCATGCATAGTTCCTACTCTGGGAATGTCTGCACCTTCTGCATCAATGGCTTACAGACCTAGGTACTTGAGTAGGCTACAGAAATGAATTGATTACTCATATAAGCCTCTCGATTATTGAGAGACTTTTGTTAAACGTGGCGCCAATAGTTTTAATATTCATTTCATTTTCCAGTTGATACAATTTGTATTGACAAGGGAGCCTAATTTGTACTTAAGTAGTTTCTTGGTATACAGTCATTACGCTCTCGTTCACCAGCGTCGATAATATAGTCGTTTTCTCCAACAAAAGGCCTCACTCAGACTCAGGGCAGACTTGTCGAGGTGGCAACAGGGATATTGTATTTAGAGTTTGGATATTGATCAACTGCCTCGTAATTCAAATCCATGTACCCGTTCCTCTCACTGTGCCGACTCCCCGTATGAACGAGTTGGCCAAAGAAGCAAGCATACTAGGGTCCTTAAAGAGCTGCGCGGGGGGCAGGCTGTCTGCCATATTGCCGTTGTTGTCCTCCTAGCACTCGGCCGAGTTGCGTATGGTCTAGAAGGAATTTGTCTCGTATTTTGCGAATATTCTTCAGCGGTCGTTTGCGCTGCCGAAATATCAGTGGCTATCGCCCGATGACTTCTAGTTTCTCACCATCTGCAACTCGGCCGCTGCGACCCACTTGTCCATGGAGAAATCCGGCTGATCCTTGAGCCAGCTACCGTAGCCAAACACCTGGACATCAGGGTTCTTTATGCCCCCAACTCCAATACTTTCGGAGTTCCGTCTCTTTTGTGCTCTTGGTGGCCAAACACGGCGGAAACTATCGCGTCAATGGAAGCAGAGCCGTCTTGCGCGAGTTCGTAAATCATGTCAATCATCATCTTTCCTGGAATCGAGAAATTTGGATCAGCAACAGAACATGGTAACCCGATGTTTCTATAGGAATGCAAATGCTGTTCGAATGGCGTACAGTTTCAGCGGTGCCAGCAACGAGACCTGGCCCCCAATAGCAGCCAAGGCGTCCGCAACAGAGGGATTGGCCGTGGCAGCAAACATGGCTGTGACTTCGACGGGTTTGTTCGACTCTTGGTCAGCGGCAAATTTGGGATCGTCTCGAATTGTGCCCACTTTCATGAAGAGAGGAAGGCGGCGTCGCCGAATCGTCCTCGCAAGGCCTTCTTGTAGCCGTCAAAATTCTGCATGGATATGAAGAGGTAGCAGGGACCCTTTTTGACAATCGTGTTGAAGTCATCTGATACAACTCTAAGTCTCTCTGGTTCGGGGGGTGACCCATGAATAATTTCGATGCTCACTGCATGTCACCCGGATTCCTCACAATTCATCGATGGTGACAGAAGCTAATGTAATGATGGAAGTCAGCATGGCTCCTTCAGAATTGGCTTTGGTATATTATTGGTGAGAACGAGGCTGTGTTGTATGTGTAACCTACACGAATTTTGATCTTCCTTAGGGAATAGCTCCATGTACAGGTGTTGCGTCTGTTTGAAATGGTGCCCATTCTGGATTATATATTCTTCGGCCTACTGTTCGGCTCCGTCGTGTCTCTAGAGAAACACTTTGTCTGGAATGGTGTCGTATTTCTCCTGTCACATATTCGAGAAGCTTCATGTCGGGCAGCACGGTAAGCACCGGCTGTAGAATGAGGTGAACAGCGTCAAGCGCCGTCCAGGAGCTTCTGTTGCCACTCATTGTGATATGAAAGGTTTATTGATGGTGCAACGGTATCTGCGAATGAATGAGAACGGTAGTGAGTACCTGGAGAAGCCCTATTTAGTGGTTTGCCGATTCAGTCTCAGAAAACAGCAGAAAAACGTAGGCGATAAGAAAACCAAACAAGAAAAACGAAAAGAGTAGTGGTAAATAACTGAGGAAGTCGAAGGAGATGGTTGTCTTGTTCAGTCTCAGACAGCGGGAGATCGACAACTGATATATACTGCCATCCGCAACCGCCACCTGACGCAGAAGACAATGCTATCCTGACAGTCCAACATGACAGGGTACAGCGAAGTCACGTACTCTGTCATTGCCTTTTGCTTACTTATTGGCGGACTCCTTTTGGCGGGAAGCAGAGGCCATCTTCCAGAACACCCGTAAAGGCAAGTGATTTTATAGGCGAGGCCAGAACTGCAACGGAATCTTGCTGGAGTACAACCAATGGCTTAGCACCGCGATATGGACTGTAACTGATTATCTAACGAGACCTCAAGGTAGCATGCCAATAGAATGATTTGGCGATGGTTGTCCTATACATGAGGCGGAGCTTGGTGCGAAGGCGGGGGCGAAGGCGGGGGCCCTTGCAGTACTCCTTTGGGTACAGTTGCGTGGTGTAGGACACGTATTACATGCGACATGCTGGAGTAGCACATTCTCGATTCTCACTATGGCTAACTCCCTCAAGCGGCAGAAGTGGCAGGCCGTACTAAAGCTTGTATAGGTTGATACGACACTCATAATGATGGGATTCGGATCTGCTCGCCTTTTAGTGGTCCGTTAGAATGTGGCCAAAAGGTGTATGTTCAGCACACTCATGTAGGCTTTCGGATTTAGACCGGTACATGACTGATCCTGCAGTTGCCCAGGCCGGTAATACAAACAACGCAGGCCACAATGCAGACAATGCAGAACAGGCCGCCGACAACTTCCAGGGTGGCTTCAAGTTAAAAACTTATCCTCCACGTGCGTCTGGTTTATGAGATGCTAATCGTTCCTGACTACAACGAAGGTTACAGTTGCGCCTTTTCACGTTTCAGTCTGATCTAGAGGGACCAGCAAGTGGTGTCTCTATTCATAAGGGTATCCAACACTTGCGTCTAGCTAAAAACCAAGCAGCGAGAACATCGAGGTGTAATGATTATACGACGGTTGGAAAGGGGGAAAGCATCGACCACGATTCCACACAATAAAATATACTTCATATAGCATGAACTTGAATCCTTTCTTCGCTTTACACGTGGCTTTCTATCTCGCTATGGGTCCGATGATCTGGAGAATCTTTGTTTAATCCCTTTCCATGTTGCTGCACGCCCCTGGACTAGGAAGTTAAGGTTCGGTTCTGGGTACAAAATACCGAAAGGGTCGAGAAGATTGAGTCGCAAGACCAAACCAGCATAGTTACTGTGTAGCCTTCTCGTTAAGGACATTTTTGTTAGTTGTTGTTTTCCTAGATGACTGCCCTGGTCAGGCTTCTTGAAGATGCACACAGTCACCGGTCCCTGGGAAGGTATCGGGACTTGTTGCAGTCTATAACAAAGCATTAGATTGAATTTGTCTGTCTCCCCGCAGGCCCCCATCTTCCAAAAAGCGCAATGCGCCATAAGCGCCTCTCAGTGCATGAAGTCATACAGCGATTCCAGATTACGTACTATATTAGCGTGGATAGTACGAAGTATTCGGCTTGGCTGAAGATATGGGAGGGTCCAGTCAATTAGTGTTTGTAGCTAAGAAAACTTTAATATAGCAGCAAAAGATCTAGAAAAGGGCTGATGCGGTCTGATAGACGGCGCAGCTCTGACTATTGCTTATGAGCAGGGTATATAGCGAACGATACGAAGCAAATCTAACATACCTCGCCCACATGTTTGCAAATACAAACAATGCGATCCGGTTTGTCCGATTTGTCCGATTCACTTGAAATCAAAATTCTCTTGAGATTCGAGATTTCTGGTCCTGAAGAGGGGTCTGTCGGAATCACCGAATCGAGCTGGCTCGTATCCACTGATCAGTATTATTCTAGGATCACACAATGGCAAGTGGAGCGCGGATCCCGGTAAAGTCAGCTGGACTTCCGAACACCGAAGGCTAAGCAGCCAGGAATCCGCCATAACTTGAAGTTGAATGTTTCTATGCTCATCATGATGTGCACCATCCGATAGCCCCGATTCGGCTATTTGGATAATGTAAACTCAAATGACCAAATTGCTTCTTATTCCAACATCAATTGCACCTTGGCCCTCCGAACGCGGCCGGCTTACAGGAGGGTCTTCAGAGCGGTTGAAACGCACAATAACGGATTATCCAGAACAAGGCTGCTCTTCCGCGACAATCGTACGTTGGCCATACGAACGCAGCCAGTCCCGTAGGGGCTAATAGAGGGAGCGGCGGAGGGTGACACGGCAGGATCATTCCAAGTAGATTATATCGTCCCCATCGCTTGCGCTTCACCATCACACTGACTAGAGGCTCGGCCGCCTGTTACGTGAACCCACTTAGATGCGCTGCGTCGGTGTGCGGTGGTGGGCTTGCCTCGTTTTTCGACAGGCATCATTCACCCGCAGGCAATGACCCTCAATGAAGTTGTCTGGGGATTTGGCTGCTGTAGGCTCGGAGAGCGGGACTCTTGCTGGGATTGACGTGATTCAACGGTTTGGAGACTTGAAGGGTCGATGTCTTGATGAAATTGATGCGATTCGAAGGTGTTGACGGATTCACAGGGCGGTAGTAATTCTGATGCGCTGCAATCTGGTTGGGCCAGATGAAGATTTTCCGACTCCAGCGTAATCTTGGCAAGTATGTGTAAAATTCAAACAAATCAATAACTATATTGGATTTGATTACTTTGTGTCGTTCGCTTAGGTCATGGATGTGTACACTGTTGTAGTGCTTAATTTGGCGATCTGTGATGATCTTGCCAAACTGCGCTCTCGAACTGAGCTGAAAGGACATGTACGTGTGCTGAGGGGCATTGTCCCTGCGCATGGATGGAAAGGCATGTGCTTTTTTCGCGAGATTGTGCAATGCAGCTAGCAGCGTTCTGGAGCATCAAAACAGCCAATTATTACAGATGATTACGTGGTCTAGTAAGCAGGTAAGTACCCACGAGTTGCTTCCCCGTGCTTGAAGGTAGGTCATTGCATCCATCTCACCCATAACTCGCTCAACGTGTTCATCGACAAATTAAAGAATGCACATTGCAGACCGGAATCTGATAATCAAGCGTCCCGAGCGACTCACGCGTTAGCTTAGAATACCTGTATGTTTACACTTGCAGGATTGCCCAATGTAGTTGTAAGAGTATATCAAGTTGGGTGCCTGGAGAAGTCGTCAACAGTATTTGACTGGCTCCTTTCTCGTCAGCTCAACATCGTCTTGTAGTAGGGGACCGACCGGCGATGTCCACGTCAGTTCGTGTCTTCCTGAACAGGGGCAATCGCGCAACCATGTCGCGGATCGCTCGATCTTTCCATGCTATATTTTCTAGTCGTCTGCTTGAGTTGACTCAGCCCCTACACAAAGCCCCCTCCATTGGAGGAGGGTGCCCTTCGTTATCTTCGCAAGATTCCATTGGGCCATTCCAGGACGTGTTCCCACGTCTCATCAACTCCGCCGACAGAATCCTCAAAGCTGGTTAAGCTGCCAGCTCCGGAGATCAAGCCTGCACGTCTTCTAGCGTGCTCCGTGTTCCACGGTGGGTTTGAAAGTCGCTGTTCATGCAATTTCGCTGGCAGTCGTTCCTGACAACGCCTGACAACGAACAGCCAAGCCCGTCCGTGAGATGCCCAAGGGTTCCAAAAATCAGCGTGCCCGAATGGTCGGTACAGAGTCAAAGTGGCCTATCATTCCTCGCCGAAATTGATCACGTCATGACCGAATCTCAGAGGGGTGTTGCTGAACTCGTCAAAGCTCTAGTGAACGACGAGGCGCTCCATGACCCAAAGGCTTAGTTGGAGATCACTATTGATGAGAAAGCGGTTCAAAGCCGTCGTGTGCAGGATGGGTCGAGTGTCCTCGCCGGCCGGTGTCCGTCGACTACAGAGCTTGAATCTTCTCATCTTTGCGCAAAGCTCCGCACACAGCAACGGGCCGCAATGAGGATGTAATATTGGAAGAATGGCAGGTAGTGCGGGTTTGCTATTCGCTCACGAACGGAATGTAGGTGAAGAATCGCAGTACGGGATTGCTGAGGACGGGACCCGCCAGAGAAAAACCATATCTTGAGCAAATAGCACGACTTAGCATTAGCAGAAATGAAACTTTATGCCAACGCAGAACATCTCCCTTGCTTGGAAACCCATGGAAGGTTGATTGATTAAGTTCTTGACTACCTCATTTCTTCGGTAGTTGTCAAAAAGGTCTTAGCCACCACGACTCGCCTAAAGTCGATCTCTTCCTTGGAATTACCGGTCGGCCTCAATTCTTCCTCGCTGTCTGTCCTTCCACTGGGGCTCTGTTTGCCCGTGCTGATAAAAGTCCTGATACCCATGGGCGGATCGTCGGTGTGCTGCTGCTCATTCCACCCCTGCTCACTTTCCTTGGGGACGCTCGACAGGCTGTACATATCTCGCGGGCCCCGGCTGCCTATATGCCCACTGCCCAAGGGCTTTCCTGTTCCACCTAACCCGTAATTCGAAGGCCGGCTCGTCTTGTAACCGAGTTTCGCGTAGGCAAGGCGGATAAGGGGTCGCAGGGTGGCAAGACTGCCGGCGGTGATGGCCAAGCCTTGTTCGATGGTGGACCAGATGGCGACATCGGTTGTTGACCCTGTTTGGCGTTAGCAACTTCATGTTTATTGACACAAGAGACAATATATGCATACACAAGAAATCGGGATCTTTGATTTTCGTGAGGTACGGCATGCGGACGATGACACCCGCGCTCGCACTACCGGATTAGTTAGCTATGCGAGACTTCACGTTTCTCTTCACGGGGCAATGCTCACATGGTCCCCATGGCCATGAGCGGAATAAGGAGGACCTTGGTCCTTTTATTCATCTTGAGCCCGGCAATGAGGAATGCGGGCAAAAGGGCCAGCGTGAAGTCACATATGACGCTAAAGATACTGTAGATGAAGGCGAGGGCGATAATAATATTCGGGTCAATGCACGTGCCATCCTGGTGATTCTGATTCCAGAAATAGGATATCGGGTTGCATTGAAATAGCGTGACGAAGAAGAAGATGACGCCGGCGAAGATGCTCAGTAGGACGGCTCCGTAGATGATCCAGGTGTGTGCTTTTTTGACGGTTACTCGCAGCAGGAAGTAGCCGATGGAGACCTTGGAGATGATCATGGTGACGGAGTAGAAGAGGTAGCAGAACCACCATGACTTTGAAGAGACCAGTTAGCGGAGTGGTCAGATGGTCTGTGGGAGTGTTGTGTTCTCATCTTTCAACTTACCCACATGGCGATATTCCTTTCCTCGATCGGCGTGGAATCGGCATGTCGACCTGTGCCGTGGAAGGTGCCGTTGATGGAGAAGGAGCAGTATACGATGTACGACATCTATACAAAACAGTCATGTCAGTAAGGCTTACGCAAGAGTACTGCGTGGGGATTACACGTACCAAAGCGGCCACCATAGTATAATCGTCCAAACCAAACCCCTTCACCATAATAATCCGCACATAACACCTCATAACGACCGCTAGAAAGGCCATAATAACGAATGCAAGATCGACGGCAAACAGCTGCGAGGCCCTACTCACGACGCTGTCGTCGAGATCTCTGCCCATGATTATCGCCATGATTACCGCCACGATCGCGAATTGTGTCGCTGGCTGGCTAGCTTTCACGAAAATCTGGCGAAGCTCAGAAAGAAAGGGTATATCGAGAAAGAAGCGGAATATTCAGTCAACTCGAGGGAGCGGGTAGTCTCTGGTAGTCTATGAGTGGAGGTTACTCCATATCATATCTGTTCCCTCATGTGCTGCTGTGCCGCATAATGACAAGGGCAATACGGAAATGATCGACTGAAAAGATCGACCGAAAAGAACCAGAGTCTAGACCTTCTGGAACGAGTGTAACAGAGCACGGGGAGACAGAGCCGATATTGTGATGCTTCAGCTTTAGTTAGGACTGGATTGGGCAGGTGTGGACTTTGCTTGGTAACTAAGAACTGCCGCAGTTTCTTTGGGGGTTAACCATCGCTGATCGTAACTTTGCAAAAATCCCCCTTACGAAGACGCCCAAACACGGCATCGCGTATTAGCACCGGTCTTGGTTGCTGGATACAGCTAAGCATGCCAGACTTCGTGGTCTAGTGCCTCTGCTGGGGGTGCCTCGTGGTGACTAGGGACCTGGTCCATGCAAGAGGAGACAATAGGACATAGCGCCGTGCTAGGGTAGCGAACGAACCCCGGAACCCAGGTTTCCGGGTCGTCCGGCTTTGAGGGAATATCAAATGGCGAGATTGCGCCCACCACCTGGCATGATTGATCATTGATCATTTATCGAACCACCCGATTGGAAAGGGGTAATGCTGGTCGGTCAGTAGTGATATTTCCATATGATATCGAAAATGAGAAAAGACATTGGATCAAAGAATGATATAGAAAAATGGAATGCGACATAAGGAATTGACGTATCATCATTTTCGTCACGCGAACACGCAACTATACTTATGTAACATATCGGCCCGACGTGCGAGGCTTGCGTACGGAGTATAGTCGCTAGCAAGCATAGGCTTGAAACGGGGGGATCCGCTCTCATGGCTATCCCAGCATGTCAAGTCCTGAGGCAGGTCCTTTCTTTTCTTCTGTGAAATTCCTTTTCCCCATTTAATATGCTCGGCTCGTCGGAATTAGCACAATTTGTTCAAATGTATCAGAAATGCTCCACAGTGTTGAGGGCTCTCGCGTGCTACACTAGACCATACGAACCGTGCTAACAGGCCTTGGCAACGGTTCCGCCTTGGCAACACTAAATCGCGATACATCTAAAAGTTAAACATATATTTGATTACAATTTGCAAAATTAGCATAGAATTAGGTTAAGTAATATAATGCAAAGAACTTTCGTTGTGCTTCCTCGGCGGCGCTATTTTCTTCTCGAGAAAAGAGGTAATCTAAGAATAGTTACTAGCCGATGTAATTTATAATTGTTCGCTTACTTATCTTTCCTACTCTTTATATTAACGTAGTCCACAAGCGAACGGGTCACCCAACCGAACGGGTCACGCCAACTAGCAAAACATGGAATTCAACACGATTTCGCAACCACAACGCCGTAAATCAATTAAAACTACTCAGAATACTCTTGCCCAGATGATTCTATCTCTACCTGACAGGTTCGTGCATTATGCCCGGTCTTCCCGCATACGCCACAGCGCCGTTTGTCAGGGTACGGCTAGGCCGAAGGCGATAGTACAGAGTGATGGGGAGTAACGGGCGTCCCTCCTACGTAATACCGGGTGGTCACTGGCGGTCTCAGGTAGGGGTGCCCACGGTGATGCATTGATCTCTACTCTCCCTCTATCTTCTTCCCGGGCCTCCGCCCCTTACATAGATAGCTAGAACCCGACGTCGGAGCCGCGGAGCACTAGTTTCCCCGATTGTTCCGCAAACCAAGACTTCCATATCGTGTCATGACTCGCACATTCCTACACCAGAGCCCCCACCGGTGTCCCACCGGTGCCTATGGCATTCTGTTCTCTGACACCGTTGCCGTGGCTGGCCACGATTTGATCCAGCGCTATTTCCACGCATTTCCTGCTGTACTTGCTGCGCAACGTCCTTTTGATCTTGAAGATCTTGTACGTCTTGTGAATTAAGTGATCCTCCAAGCCGTACTCGTGTTTTTTGGCCCTGCGCCGCTTGCTAATTAGATCATTTGCCTCTCGAAGTTCGGCGACCTCAGCTTGGAGTAAAGCCATCTTATGCATAATACTCCGCGCTCCTTTCGAAAACTGATTGATAGCATCGTAAATTGACGTCGGGGAGCTATTTTGATGCCTGGAAATTCGAGATTTAATAAATTCGGATTGCGAAATAGCCTCGGTTGGGTTGTTTGGCGTCCGAGAAGCCCAAGGAAGGGTTTCCCGCGTAGGGGGCCGGGAGGACGTTGGAGTCTGTAATTTCACATCCAGCTTCTCAATAACAATATCTGGGCTTAAAGGCACAAGCCCAGCCCCTTGAAAGCCTGCACGAATATTGCTTTCGGTCAGGCTCTTCTTGAACGCGTCGCAAAATGCCGGAAGAAAGTCCTCCTTTGTGATATGCGAGTCGCGTAGCAGTCGGTTTGCCATATCTTCAACAGCACTTAGTCGGGGAGGAAATGCTTGCGAATCTAGCTCAATTATCCTTTGAATAATCGTATTTTCTTTTAGTTTTGTTAAATTCCGACCGTTGGCTTCGATATTGCGACGTGATTGACGTTTTTGAAGACGCGCCTGGAGAGTAGTATTCGAGACTTTGTAGATTGTTGCAGCACGTCGGATACTAAGTGTTGAGTCATTTCTGATAGCCTGAGTTGCAAGGAGTAATTGAGATTCTTTTTGAGCAGAATCCATCGAGAATTAGTTGCGTGGTAAAGTTAGGAAGTTTAGTTCTATTTTTTGCTATGGGCGAGACCCGTTCGGTTGGGTGACCCGTTCGCTTGTGGACTACGTTAGATATATTAGAGAAAATATATTTCCAGTCGTTTTGTTAGTTAGTATACCGTATAGCTAGCTAAAGCTCCTGAAGCTCGATCTTAGATTGTAAATAGTCTTATTTCACGCGGTTATTAGATTACACGTGTATCTGACCAATAGTGGTTCAAGCGATTGTGTATTTTGTTATGTCGTTGTCACAGCCGATTAACTGCCGGTGTGACCTATGTAGGGATGGGTAATTATTCCTCCGATGTGGCTGTGTGTGTGACTTATAGAGTTGACTGTAATCCAACAGTGACCTTGATGTAACCGTGATAACTTCTGTGTCCGCTTCGCTGCTAGTGACCTTAATGTAACCGTGATAACTTCTCTGTGCCCGCTTGGCTGGTGCATAAGCCGATGTAACCTAGGCTAATGTCTGGGTCGGCGACAAGCACAGTCAGTTCGAATCCGGCGGCGGTTGTGGAGAGACCACGCATGCCCACTGCGAAAGTGCTGGGGCAAGGTTTAGTAAGTTAGGCATCCTACTAAAACCCACAACCCACCGATCTCAACCTCCGGGTTGATTCAGAGAGCTGATAGTGCAAGGGAAAAACAATAATTAAGGAGGATATAGATTCGTAGTACAGGGCTACACTTGCATGTAGGACTGGGCAAATTACCCGCTATACTTCAGGTCTTTAGATTTACTGTCTTTATAAGCCGTAGGCTTGCATAGGACAGTATAATGAATGAGATTGGTGGGGGAGGCAAAGGATATAGAAGATATAGCTAATATCCTACTCACGGAGCGCGGCGCAAGACGCGTCGGTAAGTACTAGGCTTTCAACTTTATAAACGGTAATTAGAGCTCTAGACACGCTTAAATCGGCTATGCGACTACTCGAGGGCCTTATCGTGTGTCTGTGCCGCTATCCCACTGCAACAGCGCTAGGCTTTTAAGTACGTATTGGGCGTGTGTTACAATCGCTTATGACAATTTCCAATAGCTTGGGCGATATCCTATTATGAGTTGAAGATTGGCTGCCTCTAGACGGGAGCTTCTCTAAATGTGATACTCAAGCTGCACTACTTAGAAAACAGGGAGTCTGTGTACTTAAAGAGGATGTGATGTCTTACCTCTTATTCATTGTTATTGTTCTACTTCATGTCGATCGGACTTGGCTCGAGCAGAGCGGCGACTTCCTTTCCCAATATTCTGGGTAGCTGGCACCTATGTAACGGATGCAGTACAATGTAACGAGCCTGTTGTACTACCCTGATGTATCTATCATACTATGCAGAGGGAAGGAGGAAGGGAAGGAATGGCGGTGGGGTAGGGTAGCGCTGATTTGTATGCTCTCTTAGGTAGTGGGGCGTTTGATCTGTGCTCCCCAGAGCCAGATTCCTGCGCACAGGCCAAGCCTGTCACACCTAGAACACATCCCCCAATGTCTTTATAAGATCGTTTAGTCGACCTTCGAGGAGCAGAAGCCACCGGTGAGCTATGGAATACAGCTCGTGTTTGTCCGTTTTTCCCGTGGGAATATCTGTCTGTCTCCAGGCATCTCTCTCAATTTCTTCAAACCAAATTTTGCCTTCTGGATCATTACTTTTATTATGGTAATGAACTCAGTTGCATCACGGCAATATTTCCCAACGTGCGCTAGTAGCTTCTGTTGGTTCCCAAGCTTATTTACAATGGGTCTTTTCCAGTAGTTGAAATACCCTGATCCTGACATTTTCATTATGCCGATAATTGCTTGCTTGTCTTTTTCTGTGAACCGAGTGATTCTCTGCAAACTTTCGTGGATCGCCTTTATGCTTCTGAAGGTAACAACAGCCTCCTTCTCAGCCCTTTCTATATGCTTCAGGGAATCGTCAAGCATGTGGATAAAGCTATTTATCACGTTCTGGAGGCACTTGGGCGAAATCAGGTTCAGTGTCCCAGAAGTGACTGCCTCGAGCTTCTCCTTTATGCTCTGGTTGATATAAACAAGCATTCGCTACTACTTTCACTCGGCACCAGGCTCGACTTTGAAGATAGTTGGCGGCTGATGCTACAACAACCCCGAAATAGTCTCCGGACACCCATAATTGAGCACCTCCAACATAAAATAACTAACAGCTTCAAAGATATATTTCTCAGCTAGTTTACACCTAAACTCTAATCTGTAACTGGCGAATCGTTTCTTATTCAATAGTGCGAATACAAGCCCCTTGCTTTTCGTACCGCTGCAAGCCGCCGCGGAAGGGACTTTGCAAGACCACATACATAGGTTAAATCGACCTGTGACCACGCATCCTCGATCACTAACCTAGCCCAGGCCTCATGGGGGACGATGGCCTTCGATTATGAGAAATTGGGCTCTATTTGACGTATTTTGGCCTTTAGGGCTTTCTATACATACTCAATAGGGTTCGAATCCGTACTATGAGTGGGCTACTTGATCGTCCAGATGCCGTGATCCTCTAGCTACCTCTGCGTGTGGCTTGATACATGTATTTTCGCGTTATGCTGCATAATTGGATCCCCTGGCTCGTAGAATGGAAGCAGTCCTTGCTCCAGGACATCGCAATAAGACCGTGAGAAAACTTCGTGGCGCAGAGAGTCCGGATCGCCGTTGCAGAAGACTAACTTCGATGCCCCCCTTTATCGTTTCTTAACCAGATCATCCCCCACACTATAATCAAAATCCGTGGCCGCCCATAACTCTGTGGGTTCACGAGATCCTCTCTGTATCCTCGGAAGATCCATTGGCCTGGAGAGTCCGGTGAATTCTGGACCGTACGCTCGTCCGAGAAGAGTGCCTGCATAAGCTGCCCGGTGTGTCTATTTCAGTCTGACTCTCACTCTACTTTGACGATATATTCGGACACCGACTGGGCTAAAATGGAAAACAGAAAGATCATCTCAGTCCATGTGGTGATGCTATGGGGAGGAGCAGTCTGCTGGGGGAGTCGTAAGCAAATGCCCGTGTCTACATCTACATGCGAAGCTGAGTTCTTCGCCATGTCCTCCACTGCAAAGTTAGGTCAGTGAACTGCCCAAATCCTCCACAACATGGGATTCCCCTCAGTACGTTGGTCCCAAACCTGATACTGTGGCTATTGAAAGGAGACAACGAAGGAGCGATCGCCCTGGTCCACAACCCCTATTTACACGAGCGCTCAAAGCACATTAATATCTGCCACTATTACACCCGCGACCTCGAAGAGAAGAAAATAATTGAGGTTAACTACATTCTAACAGAGAAGATAGTGGTGGACGGATTTACTAAGCCACTTAAAAAGCATCAGTTCGCTGACTTTAGAAGCATGCTTAGGATGAGGGCCGTTACGAAGTAATGGAAGTTGAAATCCAGTGGAAGTTGCTTTACAGCTGATATCCAACCTCACCGGATCTGAGTGGGAGTGTTGGAAAACACGGTGGTGACTTCCATGGTTAACAGCTCCGGCGGGAGGTCATTACTGTGGTTGATATGGAAGGCCCGACGCAGTCGTGACGTCAAGACTCTGACTTCGCTTGAAAAGGGAATCTTAGGAGTGATACTCTTTCATTGAAGTAAACTCACAAGTTAATGGTAATAGCTTCTAGTTAATCAAACCTTAGTGCCTTAACCAGCACGGTATCACTTCCACACTGCCTATACTGCCTCAGTTTTCAATACGCCCGTTCTTTAGTGTAAGGAAAGAGCCATCATGGCGGGCCGGTCTCAGCTGACAAGCTGAGTCGGGTGGGTTTTGCCCCCGATCCGGTAGAACCCCGGAAGCACCTAGTCAAAGTGAACATCTAGAGGCGCTCCCACCTAACTTAGATTCCTCAAGAATCAGTCTTACAATATACGCACCCATAACCATGACGCATCATAGCCGCTCTTTGCACTACCTGACGACTATCGTGAGACGTGTGATATCCCCGTTACATTAGGCAGCAATCTCTCTCTACCTCTGAGGAGATAGACAAGATAAGAGAGCCTGCTTTTTTTACCGGGCTGAGGCTTTAGGAGCAATCTAGGGTTATCTTGGACTTCAATAGGGTTGAAGGTCTCTACCTCTTCCTTAAAGGTAAAGATAGTATCGGATTCGACAGGGATCCCGTGAGCCAAGAGCACTCGTCACCGACCCAAGTGGGCGAGGCTCAAATCGGGACTTATCTACCAGCGAAGTGACCAACTACACCAGCCGACAAAAGAATACAAATACACAGCTAGGTTAAGATACGTAGTATTAGGATAGTCGCGTAAACAGGCTAGGTATTATTGCTATCTGCCTTCGACTACAATAAGGTATATTTTACTTGTTCGGAGAAGGTCTAGGTAGGGAAGTGCTCAAAAAGACGCTCTTCAGCCTTGGAAGTAGTCGGGGTACCCTGAGGTGTGTCCTCAAAGGATGCCGAAGCGGTTGGACTGGAAGATGTGGCCGGAAGGCTGAGTTTTACTCCATAATAACGTGAGAGATAGTTAAGCGCGATAGGAGCGAGGAATTCAAGAGACACATAGGTCAGCCAGGGCTGGCCGAGGCCCTAGTAGGGGTTTGATACCAGACAGAGGATCCACCAAATTTATATCCATGTCGACCCATCAAGGTCTCGAAGTTGGTACAGGCCCCACAACAAACTCAGGAGACGGGATTGGTGGAGTTGAGCCGGGGCTTGTCCAAACGCAATTGGTTTCTCACCTTGCTTATCAAACCCATGCTGTCGTTTTCCTATCTCAGTGGAAATAATGGTATTTGAGATTGTCGGTTATGTCTATCACTATAATATTATTCTGAATGCCTTTGTCGTCTTTCTCATAGTTCACTATAGACATGGTCAAAGTTTGTAAGGGCATGCAAGTTGTCTTGTATAACGAGCTAACTAAACTATCTGTGCGAACACTATCTATGTTGCCATAGCCCTAAACTGCATTTAGACTACCACATACCGTAACCTTGCTTGTTTTTAAGAGCTATTCGTCATTGTCTTGGCTCATTCAGCGTATGGGGAAGGTGTCTTTGCTCTTCCGCGTTCCGCCGGTAGTGGACTCAATCTGCTGCTCTGGCTTTCGTGCGCCTTTGGGAATGCTTTTCTGACATCAAGGTAGTAAAGGCAAAATACCCAGAAACGCATCAAGACTTTTCCATAGCCAAGTCTAACTAACACCACCAGCCGCTGATAGCCCCAAGGTTCAGAGTGTGTATATATTACCTTCACCGTTCAACGGTGTACCTGGTGGCGATCATCCGTTGACTAGCCAATCTAGTGCAAGTGTTTTTAATTCATCATCCGAGGCCTTCTCCATCTGAATTTTCTTTCTGTATTCCTCGGAAGTGCCGCGGAAAATCCCAATGTTGTAACCGAAATCAACAGCAAAACCCCCCTGGATCCGAAAATTTGAGGGATGTCTAAGACGATCAGTCGCTATCATTGCGACTTGATGCGATTGTTGCTTCAAGAGTCGATGGGGTGAGAACGGCCCATAGGGATCACGCAGGGCCCTAGGCAGGACATACCCGCATCTAGCTCATAAACGGACCCTTGCATTAGCAAGACCACGTTTTGTGACCCTGGAGGAGCACCTGAGGCCACGGGAGGCTTCCCCTGCACATCATTCGATGCGTCTCTTGCAACACCGCATCTACGTCCACTCAGGGGCGTGCAAAGCGTGCACTAGTGATAGTTGGAGTCGAATTCGGCGGTGATGAATGTCTTGCAGGCTTGGCTTCATCTCACTAGCATTGGATAAGGACGATCTTGATGTCGTTTTTACTAGGTGCGGAATCAGGTGCGGAACCTCTTGCGGAAACGTTGCAGGGTTCAGGTGAGTGAAAGCACAACCCGTGTCCAGGCGGTTGCGCAATTGAGGACTTCAATCTCCGCCCCAACTCCTCCCTCCCGCATGTCTAGTGCAACGACTATTGCAGTGTTCCGCAACGGAAATTCCATTTTCGCTTTGCCAATTGTGGTTGGCAGGAACCACGTCGAACTGGGCTAGTATAGTTCGCATTCTGTTGATGCTGTCAATGCGAGGTGAATTGGATCGCAACCCGTGATGCCCACAATGACAACCTCGGAATTAAGCCGTTTCCCGACCAGAACGAAAGGGGTTGATGCCTTCATTGTATATATCAGCCGGATTCCTCGATCGACAATGCATGTCTTGGTTTTTTTGTCCCACCGTGGTATCACTCTTTTAACACCACTACATGAGCTGACACACTAGCACCATTTAGTAATTCTTATAATGCTATTCCAACGATTGTTCGGCCTCTTGGCCACTTCCGTCTCCGTTGCCCGCGCGGTTGACCTTACCGGATATGAGTACGTCGTTGTAGGGTCTGGCGCCGGTGGCGGCCCTCTCGCTGCCCGACTTGCCCTTGCCGGCCACAAGACGCTGCTCATCGAAGCCGGCGACGACCATGGACAAAACGACAACTACACAGTCCCTGCCTACTCGGCCAAGTCATCCGAAGACCCTGCCATGTCGTGGAACTTCTTCGTGCGTCACTACGCCGATAACGAACGACAAGCACGTGATTACAAGACCACATACGACACTGCCGATGGCGGCGAGTACACCGGTCTCAGCCCCCCGAGGGCTCGACCATGAAGGGCACGATTTACCCCCGAACAGGCACACTGGGAGGGTGCACTGCACACAACGCCCTCATTGCTGTTTACCCTCACCAGTCGGACTTTGAGTATATTGCCAACCTGACTGGCGACGACTCTTGGTCTGCCGAGAACATGCGCACCTACTTCACCAAGATGGAGAAGAACCAATACCTTCTTCCGGGCATCAACGGCCATGGCTATGATGGCTGGTTGCAGACCGAGACTGCTCCTCTCACCATCCCTCTAGAAGACCCGCAACTGCTCGAGGTTCTTACGGGAGGTGCATTGGCCTTGGGCAACGTCACCGACTCGGTTTTCAACCTGGCATCCCTCCTCCTTGGAGACGCCAACGCTGACTCTCTTGACCGGGACCTTGAGCCAGGCTTCTACCAAATTCCCCTCTCCACCAACGATGCGCATCGCACCGGGTCCCGCGAATTTGTCGTCGCCGTCCGCGACGCTGTCAACGACGACGGAACCAAGATGTACCCCCTTGATGTCCGCATGAACTGCTTCGTGACCAAGGTCGTCTTCGACAACTCCACCGTCCCCCGCGCCACTGGCGTTGAGTTCCTTGATGGCGAGCATCTCTACTCTGCCAGCCCCCTCTCCACCGGCGCCGCCGGCACCCCGGGTAGCGCTACCGCCAGCCGTGAAGTCATCGTAGCAGGTGGCGTTTACAACTCCCCGCAACTGCTCAAGCTCAGCGGCGTGGGTCCCGCTGACGAGCTAAACAGCTTCGGCATCCATGTCGTCTCGGACCTGCCTGGTGTGGGCACGAACTTGCAGGACCACTACGAAATCTCTGTACAAGGCCGTGTCTCCGAGAACTTCACTTCCTTCGATGACTGCACGTTTGGCTTTAATGGTGTTGCGGACCCGTGTCTCGACCGCTGGGCCGAAACCGAGGAGGGAGGCAACCATGGCATCTACTCCAGCTCCGGTCTGGCCGCGGCCATGTTCTACACTTCCAGCGCCGCCGAGGGAGAGGGTTACGATATCTTCGCTTTTGGTGGGCCCGTTAACTTCCGTGGTTACTTCCCCACTTACAGCACCAATGCTACCATCGAGCACGATTGGTTCACCTGGGCTATCCTGAAGGCGCACCCGCGCAACAGTGCCGGTACCGTTACGCTCAGGTCTGCCGACCCGCTCGACATGCCCGACATCGTCTTCAACTACTTCGACACCGGCGTGGGCGACTACGACGCCGACCTGCAGGCATTGTACGAGGCCGTCGAGCTGGCCCGTGATGCCTTTGATCGACAGCTCGTGAACGTCACTGAGGTTCTCCCCGGAGCGGATGTCACTACGCCTGAGGATATCAAGCAGTACGCGCAGGACACTGCTTGGGGCCACCACGCCAGCTCGACGTGTCCCATTGGAACGGATGATGATCCCATGGCGGTGTTGGATTCCAACTTCAAGGTTAGGGGTGTGACTGGGTTGAGAGTCGTGGATGCGTCCGTTTATCCTAGGATCCCCGGCACGTTTACCGCAGTTTCGACGTACATGGTTGCGGAGAAGGCAGCAGATGTTATCTTGGCTGAGCTTGCTGCTGCGACCAAATAGGACTGATGGTAATGATTAACGGTGACGGAGCATCCACTAATTAGTCGCGCATATACCACTTACATTACTTTGCATAAACTTTGCCTCGGTATATTTGCCGTTGGCCCCTATAAATATACTGCCTTTTAGCTCGAACTGCCTCTTGTGTGTCGGCGAATTGAACTAAGTACGTCGAAATTAACTGTACTCATCGTTGTCTCGGCCACCTTAATAGCCAGCGAATCAACGATGCCGGATTGCGGCATAGCGTAACATCACGTGGCAGTTGGGTCAAGAGCCTGGGATGTGAAGTTTGACTGCCTGAATCTCAGGCAGTGGCGGGAGGCGAAGGATTTCATAACTACCGACAATATATGTCGGCTGATCCTCATCCTTGTACGGGCCATAGGCCCCACGTTTGATGGAAATAAATGCTAGGTAGCTTGGACGTTAACGATACCTTCAGGTGTCGACAAGTGACCTACTTACCCCCCAGTCAGTCTCTCACAAGCCTCGCCTTTCACCACACCCACACCGCACCTATGCAGATCTTGATGCCCTTGCCACGCATCTACACTAATGTTCTAGGGCACGTGTTTAGTTTCATACAATGGACTATCTTCATGGCCCGTCCTACAGGATCATTCTCTTCTCAGGGACCAGGCTAGTTCGTCGTTGGATGAGGCCAAGTCCGGAAAGCTTGCGATCCCCTCCTGGCCAGATTTCTCCACCCAAACAGCGAAAGATGCACCCAGCTATGCAGTCGTGAGCTACTTCTGGGGAATCCATGATGAGGCAAAACTGCAGCTACAGACAACGACACAGACGTTTGAGAACCACTGCGTCGGCATCCTCCTTGCAACAATGTCTCCGGTTATACGCGACACGATCAAAGTCTGCCGGACGTTGGAAAACAGGTATCTCTGGATCAACGCTCTCTATATCACACAGGGCGGCCAGGGCCATCAAATTGACTGAAAACAGCAGAGCTAAATTATGTTCAAAATGTTTGGCGCATAGCCACCTCATTTTCCAACGCGCTCGCGTCGAATTCAATTTACCACCCAACTACACTAATATTTCAATCGGCCAGTAACAACTATGGAAAAATACTCCTACAAAAGCACTTGCGCGCGTTTTATTCGCCGGTCACCAGAGATGCTATGAATACTCTCTAACCGTACGCGCTACTATGGCCGCCTGGCGTATAGGCGGCTTAAGTATAGTGTCACAAGAGGAGGACCAAGCCCCTAGGCCAATAGACCAAAAGATCTAGAATTCCAGTGGATCACTGACACACGGTCCCACTAACTGCTATATACAGCACTATGTGGCTCTGTAATCGCTAGCGCTGTGACAATTATCCCCCGTCTATAAGGCTCGACCCCGAGACTCTTTAATAGACGTGTTAGCACTACTTGAACTCTGAGCCTCACGGACCCTCTCCGGGCAATCCGGGCTTACGGGAACATCCCTCTACGGGAGTCTCCCTTTACTAGTGCAGGGACATCGTATCAGTCATTAAGACCCCCAAGCACAAGGCACACACATAGCAGACTACCGTCACATGTGTATAACCCCGCACTTGTCAGCATACTTTAGGAGGTAGTTGCCGCTGTCGCGCACGGCCACAGTCTGCTAGGCCATACCTAGTCATGCCTCGGTATACCTGCTTGTCGACCGTCTCGCATATGGCTGCACAACCACGATTCGAACCCTCTCGTCTATGACGAGGGCCGATACCCGTACACCGTTAACACTGACATAATTGTCACAAGAGGAGGACTGTAAGGTGACAGCAAGCCTAGACTATCACGTCACATATGTCACGACCTGGGTTGCATCGCATTGGTATAGACCTCGATTAGGTGCTATCGACGAAGATTCTACTCTAAGGAGCGAAGGAAAGAAGATGACAACTTAGGTTTGAGGGAGCGCGACTAAGTCATCCACGCTTGGCGGGGCTCCTACAAGGGTTATGATTGGCTTCCCATCCGACACTGCCACGGCAGGTGTTCCAGCTGTAAGTCACCTGGTTGTAGTGAGTCTGCGAGGGTTGACCGTCACAACATAGACCAAAAGATCTAGGAATTCGGTCACTTAGTGACAGAATTGAGGCTTAACCCTGCTTGTAGCTCTGTATTCCCTTACAAGGACCAAGCCCCTAGGCCAATAGACCAAAAGGTCTAGAAATGTCAGTGTTACTGACTTTTGGTCCCACTAACTGCTATATACAGCACTATGTGGCTCTGTAATCGCCAGCGCTGTGACATATAGGCGGCGTTGCTAGCCGATTCGAATGCTCGCTATTAGTGGTCGCACGTAACACTAACTGCCTCTAAGACACGTAATTATTCACCGCACGCTACCGTACCGCCGTCCGAAAGCCCTTACTACATGTGAGGCTCGTTACATAACTAGAACAGTACGATAGACCCCTAGAATTAGATAGATATTACTACTAAATGAAGTCCGTGAATATTTAGGCCGTTCCTTGAGCCGTAATACTATTAAGGCCTCCTTCCGGTCCTATAACCTACGGTACTAGAAGTCGCTACGGCGTATATAGCTGATACGTGACCCTATGGGGGGTTATCCTGTAGCTATAGATAAGATAGCCAGATAACGTGAATGTACACCGAGCTGGCCATGACACCGAGCTGGCCACTTTCATACGCCAACGCGACCGGCCAACTTAATCTTTGATTTTCTCAACAACCAATTATGGTAAAGTTATACAACGAAGCAGACTTAATACTAGCTCTTCAAGCTCTCAAAAATGACCAAAAACTTAGTCTCCGACAAGCGGCAAAAACGTACCAAGTCCCCCGAAGCACCCTCCAAACGCGTAAAAACGGCGGCTCGCCCTCGTACGGGCCGAGTGCGCTGAGCTTCGAGAGGCAAATAAGATGCTAAGCCGGCGCCGGAGGACTAAAAAAATGCAATTACGGGAAGGAGAATCACTTATTTTCCAAGAAGGACAGGACCTACGGGACTCTAGGGAGTTGGCGACGCAGATACAGCAAGAAGAGCGCCGAAATGGTGGTCGCGCAAAGCGTGTTGAAACGCGCCCGAGGCGCTGTGGTATTTGCAACGGGACTGGGCATAATACGCGAACTTGTAAGATCGCATTGCCAGCTTCTGGAGAGGAAGATTCAGAGTAGTTTCAATTGATTTACGGCGTTGTGTTTTTACTATCGTAAAATTTCTATGCGAGGTTATGTAAGGGTGGCCAGCTCGGTGTACATTCACGTTAGCAGATAAAAGCTACAAATAGCTCTGCCAGGCCAGAATAACTGACCTGGCCAACCTTTCCCAATACAACAATTCACACCCCATATGCACTTGCATCCATAGCTAACGACTAGAGCCGTTGGTTAACGTGTAATATACCACTGCACTTAGACGGGTAGAGAGTTATAATTAGCTAAAGTGTCAGGGTCGTGTATGGGGGTACCAGTAGTTTATTGTTGTAGCACGAAGAATGGAACATCAGCCAGCTCGTGCAGTACCAATATACATGCGGTGCACGGCCCTAGCCCCGTGACAGATGCCCCCCTCCAAACAACGTCGTCTCGGCGTTGAATATAAGACCAATTCCTCCTACAAGATATATGTAGACACGTATTCCCCCTTTTCGTATTTATGAAACATAGTACAATCGGCGCTCGCGCTGTCGCCTGTTTCCTTTTTGCTTTGCCTGTTCCTCAAGGTATTCAATGTACATGCGAGGTCGTGGTTTATTGGGATGCTTAGCATAAAACTCAGCGAGTTGATCCCAGCAGCCCCTCAAGTTTTCAGCTTCTTGCCAGTCGGCACGAGCCTCGCTCCATTGAACCAGGTAGCTGATATTTACTCTACCGCGTTGTGCTAGTATCTCAGTAAACTCGAACTCCACTCGGTCTTCCTCCAAGTCGTCATGGTGCACCAAAACCGATTTCTGGACCGGTCTTTCGTTGAGGCGATATTGGCCGGGCAAAGGGTCGTCGAGGGCCTTAGTCAACTTGCTGTGGTGAAAGACTGGGTGGATTTTGGAGCCTTCCGGAAGCTTTAGTCTACATGCAGACTTATATGCTTTTTCAACCTCATATGGCCCCTCCCGCTTGGAGTCGAACTTCTTCGACGGCCGAGTTGTCTTGATGTCTCTTGTGTCCAAAAACACTATATCGCCCTCTTCGAAAGGGGCTGCTTTGCGTGAGGCGTTGGCGTAGCGTGCTTGCGTTTCCTGGGCGTCCGCCATAGCCGTGCGCAAGTAGTTGGTCATGGCCTCAAATCTATCCGCCATGGCGTTAGCCTCGAAATAATCTTCCCTCTGCTTTTTGGTCATCTTGGGAGGTCGGGGGCCGGTAGGTTCACTTCCTAGCCGGGGATGGAAGAAGTAATTCGCGTAGAACGGCGAGATGCCGGTGCTCTTTTCCGGGCGGTCCTGCTCTCCTCCGATTCGCTGGCCTGTGTAGGGGTTGAAGGCAACGGGTCTGAAACCGAAGTCCATATGGTTGACTGTGAAACCTCCTCCAGCACTGGCGCCAGAATGGGCTCCGCGGTTTCGGTGGCCGCCGCCACGATCACCCCGATTCACATTGGTGCCACCTTGCCAAGGACCCCAGCCGCCTCCGTTGAAGCCTCCGTTATTGTAAGCGTTATAGGCGTTCCATCCACCATAGCGCCTCTGCCTCTTCCCTGGCCTCCACCGCGGCCCCTCTGCTGGTTACCGTCGTAGCCTCGAAAAGGACAGCTGCGCCAGTAATGGGTTTCGTCGCCGCAGCCATGGCAGAGGCTGTTGTTCTTGCGGTAGTTATACAGTTTGCGGTTTATGCCGAGTCCGCCGGCCTTCTAAACGATGCTGTTGATCTTGTCGATTTCCATAACGTCGGGGTCTTTTGGGGTTTGGTTCTGCGTGCTCCCTCTATTGCCTTCTCTGTCGTTGCCGCCGCCAGCGTTACGAGTCTTGAGGCGCTGCTGATTATCGAAGAGGGTAGAATACAAATGTACCCAGGCAGTAACGTCATCAGGGGCGGGTGTAGAGACTTGTAGCGCGACAGCGTTTGCGAGGTCATCACTAACCTTGTGGGAGAGTTGAGCAACCTTGCTTGAATTGTCGTACTTGAGAAGAGCGTGGTACTGGCAGAATTTTCCGTAAAATTCGGGCCAAGAGAGTCCTCCCATACGGAGAGTACTCAAAGCGTCTTCAGCGTCTTTGACGGGATTGGTGACGTCATATATCGCGCCAAGAGCTTTCAGCATATCGTCGAGAGACTGCCACTGCCACTGGTGGAAAGGGATTCGGTCAGCAACAGCGAGAAGGATTCCAGACACCATATCAGCCGCAGATCCATTGGTTCGGGAGGCCGCGTACTTGATTTTTGATTCTTCCGTAGGGTAGTCATCGGTGTCCTCGTCTAGCTTGTAGATCAGACTATTCTTCCATGCTCGGAAGGCACGCTGTCGTTCGCCACTCTGGACGTTCTGATCTCCGCTGAACTTCTCAACGTTGTCCTGGGCCTTCTTCTTACCAGGGCCTGCTGGTCTGACAGCTCTGGCGGCACTGGCCTCAGCGGACGCCTCCATGAACTGAGCTGTCAGTTTGTTGAAGTTCGTTTGGAGATTGTCGGCACGCGCTTTGTGCATTGCCACCTCGCTGGAGAGGAAATTGCTGTGGGAAATGCCATCCTCAAGGAAGGAAAATAAGAGGGTGACTAGCTTGGAGCGCGCCTCGGGTTGCTCGGTGCTATTGTAGACCTCCGTGAGGATCTGGAATAGCTCGGCGTTTGCCGCGTTGTTGCAAAATACGTCATGAGTGGCCGGGTACTCAGTAAGGAGCACGCCGTCCAAGGTGACAGGGTTGCCGCCCGTGTCCATGGTTTTATTAATGTCGTCGTTGTCGTCGTCGTCGTCGTTCGGTGCTTTGTAGTATTGCGTTGCCCGTCCGTCATATCGTAAATCGTCTTCCTGTACAATCGAAGTCGTAGGCGTCGAACAACAAATCGTCGAGATTATGTTGCGCGCGAGTGTTTGGTGCTACAAACTGTCAGGGTCGTGTATGGGGGTACCAGTAGTTTATTGTTGTAGCACGAAGAATGGAACATCAGCCAGCTCGTGCAGTACCAATATACATGCGGTGCACGGCCCTAGCCCCGTGACATAAAGTACATGCAAGTCATACTAGGATATCAGATTTACCGATTTCTAAGGTAACTTTCAGAAAATCAGAAGAGCATCTTTAGTGACAAATATACAGTCCAAAATACGACAAATTATAGCGCTGGCTAGGTCTAGCGAATACCTAATAAGCGATTCAATAAGAGAGTTGTTACTTGTACCGATTATGGCTGATACGTGACCCCATGGGGGGTTACCCTATAGCTATAGATAAGATAGATAATGAAACGGTGTCACGCCGTGCTAGGGGTTGCAATCCTTGCCACTACGCCACCGTATCAGATGTCTTCACCAAAAGAGACCAATACCAAAGTCCCTGACTTTGATATCTGCAACCACTTATCAATCTGTTCAGACCAGTGTAGCTCAATCACGTGACAACCGTCACAAACGGGGTCAGGCGGTCAGTAGGATATACCTACCACCTAACACACTGAATAGACGTGTAACGAAACCTCTAATAGTCTAGCTGCGTAAACCACTAAAGAGTCTGTAAGGTTTTGTGCTAGTAAGTAAGTCCTGCTGCGGAGTCCTTTAGCAATAATATCGGGGTCTGACGTATGGAGTATAGTGCTTTGGGGTAACTGAAGTATTCAAGTAGGGTAACTGGGAATAGAGTCGTCAAGGCAGTTTGCCTCACCAATGGGTTAGATTGATGCTTAGATTGATCACTGAAGTAGAGACTGTCTATCTATGAAATGCCTGGGAGTCCTGTCCCTTATATACCCGTCTCTCCTTCACTGATCCCCACTTGGATATGTTGGTTGTCCAACATATCCAACATATCCATTCCCTCTTATTTCTTCTGGATCATTTGGATATGTTGGCTGTCCAACATATCCAACATATCCACCCCTTTAGGTCACGTGACCTGTTGGTCCTTTCCTTCCTCCGATGCGGGGTCCCGTGATAATTGTCGAATATCACGTGTGTCCAATCGAGTAGTCAGCAGTGCGTAAGATTGTATATGAAATGAGGTGTTTTCTTCTCTGTGTCTTCTGTCCTCGCGAACTCCCGTTGCTCTGCCTTTTATAGATGCTTTAGAACATGTCGGTAACTTTGGTGTTACTTTTGAGAAGAGGGGTTCCTTTCGCCTTCTGAACTTTAAGTGACAATAGTCTTCTCTAGTGCCATATTATTTCTGAACCTAGGAACCAGGTGCCCTATCTGACAATAATAGGATCTCGAACGTAAAGATAAGCTGAATAACTAACATAACTAAATAACTGACCCACCGCAAAAGATCCAACAAAAAGAAAAACGTACTGCATGGAAGGAATCATAAACTTCAACCTCAATAACAATGAGCTCGAGGACTCAGTGGCCTCGCGGCTATCGAGGCGACCCCGGAGACTCACCGCTAAAGCTCGCGAAAATTTGGAAGACGTGGCTCGAGATATCGCAAAGGACGTGATCCACGAAGCCACCAAAAAGTTCGCTCGACTTGCAAAAGAGCTACAACAGAAGGACGCGGACAGACAAAAGACTCTCGAGGCATACAAGGCCAAAATAGAATCCCTCGAACAGGAGCTGAAAAGGATGCGCGAGGACCGTGGGCAACCAGACTGCCGCACCTCACAACTCGCACAATCACAATCTCGACATGCCACTCGAACAACCCAAGACACAACTGCTAGAAAGCCTCTCGGAACCCCAATAGAGGTCGACCCGACAGTACAATCAACACCAGCCCGCACATGCGCAGCGGTTGCAAGGCAACTGAGTAGCACGCCGGCCCACAGCCTAAATGTCACCGCGACGCCACCAAAGAAACTGCCCACGAAAGACCTACGGATTTTCGCCCGGATGCATGAAGGTAATCATTTCCGCAGGGAGAGAGCCTACGATATATGCGCTTTTCTCCGTGAAAAGCTGCCAGGAGATGCCCGCACTGCACTAAAGGGAGTCGACCACGTCCGAACAGGACTAGCCCTCTGCCCATCCTCAGTAGAAGGCGCTAAGATCCTGCTAAATAACAGAGAACAGATAGCCACCCTACTGCAAGCGCATAGCATCGAGCAGAGAGATACCTGGGTTCGAGCATATATCCCCAATGTCCCGTACACTCGTCACTGCCTAATTACCGACGCGGAATTGGAAATCACAAACGGGGAGCTAGAGGAGGAAATCCGACTTGCCACGAAACGGCGCCCGGAAAAGGCCTACTTTTCCAAAAAGGACGAGATAGAAAGACTAGGCACGGTAACGGCCTGGTTCAAGGTAGACGCGGCAAAGCAGATACCGCTCCGTACTAGGCTTCTAGGAGCCAACGTATATATCAATCTACGTCTCCCCAAGGAGAAGAAATCAATTGAATGCCACCGCTACGGTGGCTTCCACAATGCACGCACATGCACCCGGAAGAGAAGGTGCATGAAGTGCAGCTCCGCAACTCACACAACCGACGAGCACCGGGCCCCTTGCGGAGGCACGGAAGGCCTCAACGGATGTGACTGCCCCCTCAAATGCCCAACTTGCAACGGCCCGCACGCGGCTCACGACCCTGCCTGCCCCGCCAGACCCAAAGTGATCCATGGTACGCTCCCGAGAAGGGATCAAGCGCAGCTCCGCGCTATTCGAGCGGAAGGAGAAAGAGCCTGGAAAGCGGCATCCAGCCTCTCGCATCTCCAAGCCAACAGCGAAAATAACGACTGCATCATATTAAATGCCTAATAGAACCACGCAGCAGAAACCCAAAAAAATACAGATCATGCAAGCCAACGTAGGCAGGAAGGCGAGTGCACACGAGACGGCACTTAACCTGGCCTACGAAGGCCATATCGACATTATATTGATACAGGAGCCTTTCGTCCGATCACAGGAAACAAGACTCACCCGAACTCACCCAGCCTACGAGACCTTTGCACCAATAGATGACTGGATTGAAAGCAGACCGAGAGTGATAACCTACATACGCAAAGGGACTGGACTTAGAGGGGAGCAATGCCGGCCACTATCTGCCCCATCTACAGACCTACTATTCCTTCAGGTCCTATGTGGCCGCCACTACCTACTAACAATCATTAACATATACAACGCACCCCAAGCAGCTTCCCAAGGCGGCAAGGCCATTCAAGATATCCTAGGCCAGTACCACCTTGCCCCGCCAAACCGATATATACTAGCAGGGGACTTCAACCTACATCATCCGAACTGGCAATCAACCACGACGTACACCTCCCCAAAGGCCCAGGACTTGGTCGACTGGGCAGAATCTTTCGATCTCGTACTTACATCGCCAATCGGTGAACCGACACATAGGGCAGGTAACGTCCTAGACCTTTCCTGGGCTTCAGCCTCGTTGCCAGGAGTCTCTACAAGCATCGAAACCTCCCTTAACACAACCTCGGACCACGAAACCTTGCTTACCTGGGTTCCACTCCCAGCGCTGGACAAGTCCAAGCCGACCTTAGGCAAATTTCGGCTGGATACGATGGACGAAGAGCTTTTTCTCAGCATCCTACAACGGAACATACAACCAATAAGAGGGACAGCGAGAACGGCAGACGACGCCGAGTCACTGGACCGCGTAGCGCAACAACTGACAAATGCCCTCATCGAAAGCCTTACAGCCTCCACAAAACGATCCAAAGGACTCCGACAAGGATGTGCATACTGGAACGAAGAATGCAAGCGAAAACATCAAGCATTTACTAACAAAAAGAGGGACACAAGAAGGCTTCAAGCTCTAGGGATAACCCGCTCAGAACACCTGGAGGAAATTGAAGCGCTACGGCAGGACTTCGTCCGGAAACTTCACAAGGCGAAGGACAAATATTGGAAAGATAGAATCGCTGCAGCCTCGACCAGTAAAGAAATTTTTGAAATGGCGGGCTGGCATAAAAGTACGGGAAACTTTTATACCCCGCCATTACGCGACCCCGAAAACTCGGACCGATTCATCTCCAAGCCAGACGAAAAGCGAGAATTATTCGCCCGCGTACTCCTCCGAAACACGGACAAGGCCGGCGATATACCCAGCGAGCTGCGAGCACCGGGACCCGATCCGAAGCTCCCTTTCCCCCGTGTCACCGCAAAGGAAGTCCAAAGGGCTATCCTCCAGGCCGGCAACACCAGCCCCGGAATCGATGGCATTACAACTGCAGCCCTAACAACTGCTTGGCCAGTTATCAAAGAAGTAGTCGTTGCGCTCTTCCGAGCCTGCGCCGAAGTTGGATGGCATCCTACATGTTTCAAAGAGGCAACGCTCGTTATTCTGGCCAAGCCAGGCAAAAAGGATAAAACGGCAGTACGCTCATATCGACCTATTGCCCTCCTATCCGTACTTGGGAAAGGCCTTGAAAGACTTATTGCAAAACGCCTCTCCTGGGTCGCAGTAAAGCACCGAGTCCTGCATAGCCAACAATTCGGAGCGCTCCCACAACGATCGTGTAGCGATCTGATTTCAGCTGTAATCCATGATATAGAAACCGCTTGGCAACAAGGAAAATTTACCTCTATGCTGACGATGGACATCAGAGGTGCATTCGACTCCGTCCTACCAGGCAGACTGGCACAGCGCCTCCACCGACAAGGCTGGCCGGAAAACCTGGTACGCTGGGTTTATAGCTTTGCCACGCAGCGAAAGGGGAGAATACGGCTAGACGGGGAAACCGGAGACACCTTTGACCTCGAATGTGGACTTCCGCAAGGATCGCCCGTCTCGCCGATCCTCCTCCTTCTATATATCGAGCCCCTATTTAAGCTGGGCACCTGCCGACCTGGACGCAAGCGCTCGCGATTCGGCTACGTGGACGACATAGCTACACTGTCAAGCTCTAGTTCCCTAGAAGAAAATTGCACTATACTGACCGAAGAGTGGAAAGCAGCACTCGACTGGAGCATGTCTGAGGGTATCACGTTCGACCCCGAAAAGACTGAGCTAATACACTTCACAAGAAGAGGGAGAGATGCAAACCCACCCATTACCACTACGCAACAGAATGGAACGATCCACACTGTTCAACCCATCAAAATCGGTGCTGCACTCAGGTGGTTAGGCGTCTACTTCGATAGAAAGCTTAGCTTTAAGGCCCATGTCAAATTCGTCTCAGCTAAAGCTCTACAGGTTGCTAACGGACTCCAGTCGTTAGGAAACACAATCAGAGGGGCCCCAACACGACTACTCCGTCAAGCTGTAATCGCGTGCGTGCTCCCCGTGCAATTCTACGCCTCGGAAGCATGGTGGCCGTCTGCCAGACAGAACAAGAATGGACGCATTATCTCAAACCGGGTCCAATCCCTAGCTGACCAAATGGATCGAACGCAGAATACCGCAATAAGAGCCATGCTTCCTGTATACAGGACCACGCCAATACCGATCCTGCAACGGGAAGCGGCACTACCGCCAGCAGAAATCGCACTCGACGCAAAACTCTATGCGGCTTCTGTTAGATTACACAAACTGGATAGCCGCCATCCCTTACGCAGGAGGCTCAGACATCCTACGGGCCCCGATTCGAGGTTAAGGCGTATGGCGAGCCTAACCCCAGATACTGCAGAATATATAGATCCTCTGCAAATACCGCCCTGGGAGCAGGCTGGCGAATGGTCCATCACCCTCGCCAAGATCGGTTATATCCCAGGACAGTCAAAGGAGGAGGCTGCCCGCTCGTTTCTACAAAGGATAAACGAGTTTTCAAAGCGCGATATAATAATCTATACAGACGGCTCGCTGGCTACCCATAGCGACAGGACTTTAGCTGGAGCAGGCTGGGCTGGTTATCAGGCCGGTAAAAGACTACTCTGCGGGTCCGAACTACTGGGCTCTCAGATAGAGGTATACGATGCGGAAGCCCACGCAGCACTACGGGGGCTTCAGGAGGCTGTAAAGCTTCCGTCCAACAGAATGGCAGATAACGTCCACATCTGCCTCGATAATCTCGCGGTTGCGGGTAGGCTCATCTGTCCAAGTCCCGGAAGCAGTCAAGCAAAGTTCACCGCCTTCCAAGAGCTGTCCAAAACCTGGTCACAGAGAGAGCGAAAACCCTGGACATCCCCGGGACAAGTGTATATCTGGTGGTGCCCAGGACACGTAGGCATCCCCGGAAACGAAGAAGCAGATGTCCAGGCCAAAGCGGCCTGTGAGCAACCACCCAAGACACAACACCCGGCCTCATTCGCACATATGAAGAGAATCGCGAGATCCTACACTTGGAAGAGTTTCAACGATCGATGGGCCACTACCTGCCCTCAACAGTATCGAGATCTAGGGATCGCTATCCACCCGCGACCCCCCGAACTTGGCCTGCCCCGGCAACACCTAGGCAGATTACTCGCAGCGAGGTCGCACCACGGGGATTTCGTGACCTACCACGAGAGACTCCAGCATCGCGACGCACTGCTCAACTGCGGGTGTGGAAAGACAAAGACACCAGTCCACTTCTACTTTTGCAAGCGCGGCCGCAAGGCCACGCCCGGTCATCTAAAAGCGCATATGGCCAAGAATAGTATAGATTCCCTCCTAGGCACGGCCAAGGGAGCTCGTTTGTTTTGCCAATGGGCGGAGGAGACCAATTTCTTTACTGAGATCTGCCCATCGCACTGAACAGGAATGTTAGATGAAGACAGTCCCCTGTAACATAGATTCGACTAGCATAGACCATGCCGGCACTGCGCCCGGCACGTCTCACGTGATGAGACGTTAAATTTCAATCAATCAACCAATCAATCTAAATAACTGACTGAAAAGCGAAGGTGAAGATATAGATAAGAAGGAGATGATGATATGAAGATGAGGATGATGATGCGTGAAGATGGGGGACTCGTGTCCTACTCTGCCTCTGTGCCTCTTAAAGAAGATAAAATAAACTTTTTCCTAGCCCCGTAACCTATTTCCCTGATGTCCGGCCTTACCCCGTTACAGTATGTTCTGTATATAAATAATATGGACGAAGTATTTAGGTTGATTCAGTTAGACCCTGCAAAATGGGGGTGCATGCAAAAAGGTGGTCAATGCGGTTAGTCCTACACAAAAAACCGAATGCGCAAGTGTTGTGTGTCCCAGGCACACCGGCTGTGTGCTGGGTGCAGCGCTTGGGCCAATTGCCCATGGATAGATAGCTCTTCCGCAGCTGCAGTCTTTGGGAGTTAGATAGTCCCATCATCATCACCAATACAACTCTCTTGCCTGTATTTCCCATACTAAGGTTTTCCATTACCAACTGCCTTCAGACCTGATCACGCATAAACCTCCGAAATACTATTCATCGACCATCTTACTCACAGGACTACAAGTCCCCACAGTTCCACCATTCCCCGAGCGTAAAGGGGAGATCATATAACTTCTAGTTTTAGAATCACCACTAGTTGCACTGGGGCTATGGATTTCTCTATTCTCCACATCTCTGGGGTGGCAGGCTCTTGTGGCTGGCTCTTGATCTGCAACAATACCACTATTGCATTCAGTCTGTGCGTTCTGACTTAGTGTTGCGACTGTCTCGTCGACGGTAGTACCACAGTAGACCTGCTAGAGGTAAATATGCAGCCTAGTGCGGGACCCATGACAATTTCAGCCGCTGTAGCGGCACTGTGACCAATTGGTTGTGTGCAGAAGCTGTGGAACTTATAGAAACCGAAGATGCTACGGCTGTCCTCGCTAGTGGTGTTTTAGAAAGCTGAACAAATGATGGAATTTCAAGATAAAACGGCACTCCAAGTGCGTGGAGACTTTTCCGGCGTTGCATGTAACCAAGCTGGGGAATCCTCGACATGCTTATAATAGCGTTGAGAAACGCTTCCACGGTCAAGATGTAAAGCGAGCTCTAGTAAATTATAATTAGATACCAGAAATCATACAGCTCTCTTAGTTACAGCTTACATATCTGCTCTCCTCAGTCTATTACAGGATTTACTTACTCCAGATACTAGCGAGCACAAGCTGGTCAGTTCACCACAAGATTCGTCCAACATGCTATTGATTCGGCGAGGTTCATTATCCACTGTATGCTGAAATGGCCTAACTCCCTTCTTGTTCATGATGACCAGGCTTGGGCATGAGCAGGACTCAGCGCCTCAGTTATGAGTCTAGAGCCGGTTGAACCAAAATTTCACTAGCATACAGACCTGGGCTATGAAATCTACGAGTTCGTGCTTGGTGTCTGTCTGGTCTGAGGTTTACGCAATGGAAATGAAGGTTATCCTCTATCAACCGTTGATAGACATCTTTATGCGCGTGTGGTTGCCATTTACAGACCGGACCTGGGGCCGGTACTTGTGCCGGCGTTGATCTGCTTCGTTTTCGGTATTCTTTCTCATTGGCCTTGTCATCTGGGGTTCTGTGGTGAAACAGGATCCCTGAGGATCATCGTGACATCGGCATGTTCCGACAGATGTAGCACCCGCGGTGGATTTGAACCAGGGTATCAAATGAAGAGGGATTCGTATCTTGAACAGCGAACTCCCGCCGTGAGATACATGTTGTGATTACGATTATGGCTTCAAGAAATTGGCTGCGCTGGACAGTTGCACTGAAGCGCGCCCCTTGCAATCCCCAAAATGTCACAGACAAAATGGCAGTACAGTCATGGGGCGCCTGTGGTTCCCGCATGTCCGGGCGCTTGGGTCTAGTGTCCCACATTCAGATCGCGAGACTCTCATGGCTGTGATATCTCAGTGTTAAAACTCTGAGCAAAGTTGTAGGTCCCATCAACATTCGATGTTACTTATTTTCTAGATCTGTGAAGCCGGTGGCACCAACTCCAGCCATTCATTCAATCATTTATTCATTCATTCACTCATTCGCCATGTCCGGCACAGTCACACTCATTGTTTTTCTCTTCTTCCAATCCGCCCTCTCATTTACCCACCCCGGCCTCCTCGCCACAACCGCCGACCTAAACCGCGCCCAATCCAAAATCGCCCTCAACCTCGATCCCTGGCTCAGCTCCTGGTATTCTCTCACGAACCTCTCTTACGCCTCGGCCGACTATACCCCCAACGCCGTCAGTATCATCTACCGCGGCGACGATGGCGAAGGACACGCCGCCAACAACGAACTCCTCTGGCACGATGCCGCGGCGGCGTTTGCCCTCACCCTGCGCTGGAAGATATCGGGAGATGACACTTATGCCGAAACCGCATCGAGAATTCTCACCGCATGGGGCGAGAAGCTCACCGCGATAGGCGGGAACGACGACGCCTACCTGGCCTCTGGCTTCCAAGGTCACGAGTTAGCCAATGCGGCGGAACTGCTCAGGGATTACGCGCCCTTTTCTGCTCCTGGAGGAGGACTGGAGGTATTCACCAAGATGATGACTTCTGTTTTCCTGCCCATGAACCTAGATTTCCTGAATCACGTTTTGGGGTCAGAGCACAACGTAAAGCACTTCTTTGCGAATTGGGAGCTGGGGAATTTGGCGAGCGCCATGGCGATTGCAGTGCTGACGGATAATACGACGGTGTGGGATTTTGCCGTCGATTATTTTAAGAATGGGGAGGGGAATGGGTGTATCAATAATGCGGTGAGTAATCTTGTGGAGGAGCCGGAGACGGGCACTGTGTTGGGACAGGGGCAAGAGGCTGGGAGGGACCAGGGGCATGCGGCTCTAGATTTTCAGATGTTGGGGGTCATTGGGCAGCAAGCGTGGAATCAGGGAGTGGATTTGTTTGGGTTTAATGATAGTCGGATTTTGAAGGGGTGAGTTTTGTTGCTTCTCCTTCCCCTACCCTGAATGCGTCTAAACCCCAATCAGAGCCGAGTACTTCGCCCGCTACAACCTCAACAACGACGTCCCCTTCGAGCCCTACACCAACGGCATCGTCAGCTTTACTGACGTCAGCGACGCCTCGCGCGGCGCCCTTCGGCCTACCTGGGAGTTGCTATACAGCCACTATATCCAGCTCAAGGGCCTGTCTGCGCCCTGGACGACGGCGTACCTCAACTACAGCTTGAGTACCTTCGGCGGCTATGAACCGGGCGCTGGTGCCTGGGGCGAAGGCTCGGGCCACTACGATGGGCTGGGTTGGGGATCTTTGTTGTATCATTTGGACGATTCAGATGTGCCGGAGACTTATAACTCGACAGCAGGACTGACGGCGACCGTGATCTCGGCTGCTGCGAGCTCGACTGTTACGGGTGGTGCTTCCGAGAACGTGTCGGTTTCGGCCTCCACTACAGCAGGACTGACGGCGACCGTGGTCTCGGCTGCTGCGAGCTCGACTGTTACGGGTGATGCTTCCGAGAACGTGTCGGTTCCGGCCTCCACTACAGCAGGACTGACGGCGACCGTGGTCTCGGCTGCTGCGAGCTCGACTGTTATGGGTGGTGCTTCCGAGAACGTGTCGGTTCCGACCTCCACTACAGCAACTCTTAGCAGTGGTTCGTCGAGCGCGTCCGCGACGAATTCTGTAAAGCCGTCAGTGGAAGCCGCATCTACCCTTCCCGCGACGATGAGTTTGACAACAGCAACGGCGGCCAAGGCAAAGCATACTCACCACGGATGCCACCAGCGCCGTCGCCGCCACCATCATTAACTAGTATACTCCTTTCAAGTGAGGAGTCAGCGCGGCGCCAATGACCGTGACTTGCATATCGTGAGATCTTCTCAAGTCACGCCATTCATCTTCTATTACGTCTCTAGGGCGAGCATAAGCATAGACCTTTATTGTACTTTACATGCCAATTCGGATATTACCATGCCATTAATGTCGCCAATGTCAGAAAGTGAATCGTGATACTTGATGCCAGTTATCATCACAGGCAGATGAGGGCTGATGTGGAGTAGGAGTTTTCGCATTCTTGAAATGGGTGATAGAAGCATTATCCAAGGTTTGATTCCACGGCTCCAATGACGTGAGAAACAGATTGCTAAACCAATGCAATTGGCAGATTGGCAGATTATCAATTGCACGTATCCAGTTGCGAGGGCGTTTCGCAGATTGCCGCGTAGAGAACAGTCAGCATCAAGCCGTTGGGCCTAGATGAATTATCGTAGAGAATGTCAGTTGTTGCATCGTGCGCTGTGCTCATGTGAGATATATTAACAAAGACGCTCCAACATAGCTTGACTACCCTGACCCCATCACTCAAGCAGCCAGTTGACGCAAGCCACCCATTAGTCTCCAGCACCATCACACAGTCTTCTCGTCCGTCTCCATTTTTAGCGTATTCAGCACCGTCTCCGCACTCCGCTTCTCCAAGCTCTTCTTCACCGGGTTCGGCGCTTCAAAAACTTCCGACAACTCTTCCAGCGTCCGGTCCTTAGTCTCGGGCCAGAAAAAGTAAATAACAGCGACTTCGAGGAGGTCCCAGAAGACGAAGACGAGGTAGAAGTAGTACTTGATCTTCTCAAAGGCTGGTGCACTTGAGTACTGGATGATAGTACTGGCGGCGGCTGACGCAAAGTTGCCGACGGCAGTCCCCTTGGCTCGGGTTGCGGTCGGTAGACACTCGGCAATATACAGGGACTGTAGAGGTGTCCAGCCAAAGGAGAAGGCGATGCCGAAGATGAAAATAAAGGCGACGGTCGTGTTGGCCGCGTTGGTCTGGCTTGGGTCGTCCGTTGCTAGCTTGGAGGTGCCGGTGATGATGGCGAAGCAAATGGAGCTGAATATGGTGGTGTAAATCAAGAGAGGTCTGAGGACATGTCAGTCGGATCTATACAGGGGGTGTCAAGAGGAAGGGGACGTACCTCCTTCCTGCGGTGTCTGTCATTCTGGCACCGAGAATGGCACCAAGGAAACTCAGAGCTGGGTTAATGCCGTTCAAAGCGAGGACCTTCTTCTCGTCCGTGATTCCAGCGGCTTGAAGCATGGCAGCCATGTAGTAACTGCTGAGACTGTTTCCAGACAGCTGGCCGAAGCATGCCATGCCCAGCACGCAGATTAGCCGCCTGCGAGCCGAGTGCGTGTTCCAGAGCTCGTGGTAGTCCCACCAAGTCTTGTCACTCGCATCCGTGCGGACTTGCAGGCTCATCTCCTTCAATTGCAGTTGCACAATGGGGTGGCTCGGATCATTGTCACCGTGGTAGTTGGCCAGCACCTTGGTGGCATCATCGAGCCGATCCTGTGCCATCAGCCAGCGAGGAGACTCAGGCAACCACCAAACTCCCAAGCAAACAATGCCGGAGGTGATCATCTGGCACCAGATCGGAATGCGCCAGGAGTTGGAGTCATCACTATTGAGATAGCTGCAACCATAGACGACCCAACTGGCAATGATGGAACCGATGTACCAGGTGCAGTTGTACAGTCCGGTGATGGTGCCACGCCATTTCGGATGTGCGAGCTCACTGACATAGCAGGGGGCAGATACAGAGCAGAAGGACGCACCAAATCCGAGGACGAAACGGCCGCCAAGGAACATTTCGTTTGTGGTTGCGGGGGCTTGGATGCAGGTACCGATGACGACGATGAGGGCACCTGCGAACATACCGGCCCGTCGGCCCAGGTAGTCGTTGGTGGGCCCGGTGAAAAAGACCGCGGCTACGGAGCCAATGTTGTACATGGCGAAGACAAGACCAGTGCTTGAGCCAGCCACCGTCCTGATGGTTAATGTTAGTATAGGTGGCTCAACCACCCCGTACTGTTGGACCATCAGTTGTCAGGTCACACTGGCACCTTACATGTGAAAATATTTCTGATACGCCACCATGCCGTTCAAGCCACCCATTAAAGACCCATCATAACCATTGAGACATCCACACAAATAGGGCGGGATTAGTATGAGGTACAGTCGCCACATAGTAGCCGACCAAGGCGTGTATCGCGTGTTGTCGACATCATGCGCCAGCTGAATTGCAGTGGAAGCATCGCCGGTGGGGGCGTCATGGTGAATGTCATTCTCGTACTCCGGAAAACCCATCTTGTAGCGACTTTCGTGACCAGACGAATGTCGCTGAAGCAATACTATCGGAAAATGAAGCTAGGAGTCACTAGTAAACACAGTAAACCCTGCTAGGTGACTGTCGGATGATTTTATCGCTTGAAAACAGTTCAAGTCTTGCTGGTTCACGAAGAGGGAGGAGACACTCGCTTCTTATGAAGAATACTTGCTACGCAGGGTACAGACCAGGACTACCTGCCATCTTCAACTTGGACCGAGCCCGACAGTCCGAGGACGTGGTTTTCACAGCCATTCTTGGAATGGTGCGAGCAGAAACTGGCGTGTTCCTGCAACGATCTCCGAAAGAGCATCTCGTTTAAGTGGTGAGTACCACCAGGCGTCTCATCTGTAGCATCGAGGGGGGGGGTAGAAGACTCAGACTAGTCTAGCCGGGGAAGTCTGGGAAAACCTGGGGTTGTTGTCGTACTATGAGGGCGTCCAAGTGGGGCAGAAATAGTTACCGAGATGCGGGGAAGGAAAACACAATGGTCCGAAAAGAGGCGAGCCAGTCACGATTGCCCTGGATTGGCTCTGCACCTAGAGCTTCATGGGCACCTGATAACTGTCTCCACAACGGCCCACCGCGATTCTCCGCATAAGTCGTTCCTTCTGCAATTGCTTTCTTTTGTCCTTCGTCGCGGTCCGCCACGGTCCGGCTGCAGCGTGAGTATGAGCCTAGAGCTAGGCACGATGGACGAACCAAGCAGGAAGCGCTTGAGGACGTCGCATGCAGTAAGAAGCCTCCTTTGCAGGCCTGAGTGGGAGAAAGAGCGCCGCATGTTGACTGTGTTTCCCAGTGCGACATCTGCAGGTCCCGCAAGATCAGGTTCGTGCAACCCGCCAAACAAACTCGACCCAGCCTGCCGGGTGTGGTGAAACTATGAACCACGATCCACGAACCACGTTGAACTTAGTTGCTGACTCGCAGCCAGGTGTGACGGGAATCAGCCATGCCAGGGCTGCACCAACTCCAAGCAAGATTGCTCTTACGGCTCCGAAGCCAACACGTAAGCCGGCGGCGATTGCCAATGCCATAAATCGTGAAATGAATGCCTCTGACACGCGCCCAGTCGAGGCAAGAGCGACCTCATTCTTGAGGGTGTGTTGAGAGTTGAGCAATTACTGCAGGCTATGCAAACATCTCTGGTGGCTGAACCTTGTTCAAACCTCCACAAGACCGCCTACAGCTGACAGACATGAATAGTTGACATCGCCAACGAGAGCTGTTCATGTCCAAAGTCCCATCTCAGCACCACCGCTGTCCCAAATATCAGCAGACGACGTCCATCCCAACCAGCACAACAATCTGGAAAATGCTATACTTGATTCCTTGCACACGTCCACCACTGAGTCCATCCTCTCATGGTCGTATTTCGACTCGTTCCCATCCATTCGCCAGAACTATGTCTCCATCTTCCAGCTCGAACAGTCACGGCCCAGCCTGCCCATGCGAGTAAACTCCATGTACCCGTACTTATCTGCAGCAGACTTGGATTCCATCCTAAATGCCTTTCAGCGAGGAGTCAACTTCTGGTATCCGACGCTGTCATTGAATCAGTTGGACAATGTGCGCACGTTGGTGTCGCGCGGCCTCCTCGAGGGCACAGATCAAGTGACCGGTTGTTGTGCTCGTCTTGTCATGGCGCTGGGGTGCACCAGCGAGGTTGTGAGCGGGTTGATGGGCAGCGAAGACACCACGGCCAGCAAGGAGGACATTGAGTTTAAGACGTCACGGCGGGCGATGGCCGAGTTGTACTTTGACGGGGCGTTGAAGACCATGCATATGGTCCACTCAGAGATGAGCTGTGCAGCAGTTCAGTCTCTCTTCTTCACCGCGTATGCCTGCCTTTCGGTCCTTTTGAAGGGATGATACTGACAGTGCAAGCCTGTACTTTGCTTACCTGCGGCGGCCCCTTCAAGCGTGGAACTATATCCACGACACAGCAGCAAAATGTCTCTTGCTCCTGTCTTACCCTCCGGTCACTGAACCCATCGAAAACCAGGAGTGTCTCCGTCGCATCTTCTGGGCCTGTTACATCCTTGAGAGCGACTACTTAGCCGAACTGTCAGCTCTTCCAGTCAGCGGTATCGCCCAAATCGAATCCTCCGTTCCCCTCCCCGGTTCAGCCATACCGTACACCACCCACTCAGACGACAACGAAACTGAACACGCATCCCTCTACTTCTTAGCATGCATCTCCATGCGCCGGCTGTTGAACCGTGTGCATCAGCTACTATACGCGAGGAACTCGGGAGCCGCGACGGATATATCTCGATTCCCAGCCATCGTCACGGAGCTTGATCATCAGCTGGAAGAGTGGCGCGACGTTCTGCCGCACGCCTTCAAGTTCAGTACTAGTGACTTGTCTGAGTACCTGAGCGAATGCCGAGGCTTTCTGAGGCAACGGTATTTGACCTGCAGGAGCGTCATCTACAGACCGTTCCTGGCCTGGCTTCTTGCCAACGGGCCCAGCGATGCTCATGGTGTGCGCAAGGCTGAGATTCTGAGCCGGGCCAGGATTTGTCTGGATGCTTGCACATCCCACATTCTTGGCCTTACGGGATTTTCTCACACAGTTCTTGTCGATACTTGGATTTGTGTCCTATCGTGAGTCTCTCTGCTTCGCCTGCTAGCCTGACCTGGGTATCATCGGGCTAGAGACTAACAATCCGCAGCATGGCAACGGCGATGATGATACTCCTCGCGACGTGCAGCTCGGTCCGAGAGATCACCCAGCTCCGACATGACATAATGCACACCGGGCCACACTTACGCAAAGTCTTCCGAAGGTGGCAGGAAGTTTTGGGCACACCCGAATCGCCGAGCGTGGATCAGGGCATGCGAATTATATACGAGACCGAAAAGTTGATGCAGGGACTGGGGAGGCGAACCACGGCCACGGATGAGGAGGTTGTTGTGGCGGCTTTAATGTGTGCCATGACGGAAAGGTAAAACAAAATGCAGACTAGTGAAGTACTCGAGTTTTGAATGCTGTTCATAAGGTACTGGGATGTGAAAAGTGTTATACTCATGGTCAGGATCCTCAGTAGCCTTGGCAATGCTAGCCTGATCAGACAAACGTATATGTCCTGCGCAGATGCCCTCTTTTCCTGCATGAAGACCGACCTTAAGCCGATGTTGTTGTAGCTAACACCCGGAACGGCCCGGATGATTCGCAATCAGCCCACAACGTCCTATCGTACATGCCCAGGATCGAATTGTAACGCCCGATCCGGCTAGAGCCGAAGCAAGTCCAAATTGCATTTGCGCTACTACATAGTACACACTCGTCCAGCGGCTCCGGATTCCCCGGTGACGAGCCAATTCCCCGTTCTCCCACACAACCATTGCCCACCATTGGCGCCATTGGAGCCCCCAACGTGGGGCCGCTTGGGGTTATCCCGGGGATCTATACCGTTTTGATTTCTGGACGCAGGGAGCTTGCATTTTTGTGCTGCTACCCCAACGCTTGCCCAGTGAAGAGAGAGGGGCAACGAAGGGGTAGTTACGCGACGCTTCTCTGATTGACAACATTGATCGGAACACAAAGCCTCTGGCCAAAAGTGTGTGAACTGGCAGGGCGTCGTCTCAAGCCGTGTGAATATGTCACGCTATCGCCAGTTATACTGTCTGCGGTACTTGGGGTAATTTTCGTTCCCTATGGGCCCCGGAGCCTTACGGGGGATTATCTTCGGGGGCTTAGCACGTTCAAATATTTCTGATCCCAAGTGCGCTGGCATGTGTTATCTGCGATAATGTTACTAATGCGTACGGCTGGAGGGTACCCCTACCATTTCACGCACTTTTGGCCAGAGGCTCCGTATATCGAGGGATTTCTTTTGGTGCTCGTCAATTGAGCTTGCCCTTGTTGTTCATCTGGCTGTCTTTGTGTCGATCGCATCCGAGTTGAAGGCAGCTAGGTATTGTTGCATTCCCTACGACGCCTTCCCTCTCCGCATTAGTGAACCTAGCCAGACACCGAGGATCCATATTGCTTCACGATACCTCCATAGCGTCATCTCCACTTGAGCTTGGAATCCCACTGCATTTTCCCACCCACGTCTGGAGATAACTCGGTATTTAACCGTTCCTGTCCTGCTGGCTTATCACTGCGTTTCTTTCCTGTTGCCAATTTATTTGATTGCATACGTTGTCAGAGACCATCACTGCTGCTGCAGTCACATAACCGCTGAAACATAGGTGTGCCACGGTGATAGCTAAGAGACACACTGAGAAAACAGCTACGTTGTACATTGCGGACCTTGAACTCGCTTTAGGAACGATTGTTCCTAGAAAGACGGAACTGTTTACGCTAGTATCGGTGCTTCCCAATTTACACCCAAAGTTCGACAGCATGGCGCTCTCCAACATGAAACCCGACTATGAGAACCTCTCCGTTCTCGAGCGCAACCGCCTCCCCACACGCGCCTACTGGATCCCGGAGACGTCCCTCCTTCTCAACGGCGTGTGGGGCTTCCACTATGCGCTGACCCCTCTTGAAGCGCCCGAGATCGGTGACAACACCTCTGATGATGACAAAAGTCTGAACACCACCAACCCCGCCTCATGGACCACCATAAACGTCCCGGGCCACTGGCAACTCCAAGGCCATGGCCGCCCCCACTACACCAACGTCATCTACCCGTTCCCCGTGTGCCCGCCGTCGATCCCAACCGAGAATCCGACGGGGACGTACCGGCGCGCTTTCGGGGTGCCGAGCGGTTGGGCCAAGGACGCGCAATTGAGGCTGCGGTTTGACGGAGTGGATAGTGCGTACCATGTTTGGGTTAATGGGGAATTGGTGGGGTACTCGCAAGGGAGTCGGAATGCGGCCGAGTTTGATGTGAGTCAAGTTGCCAAGAGGGATGGGCAGAATGAGTTGGTTGTAAGGGTTTATCAGTGGTGTGAGGCGAGTTATATCGAGGATCAGGATCAGTGGTGGCTTTCGGGTAAGTTTGGTGCTATTTGTGTTAAGGGGTGATGAGATGTTGGTGGCTGACATTGGACTGTGTAGGTATCTTCCGAGATGTCCAGCTTCTTGCCTTTCCGGGCGAGACAAGAATCGAGGACTTTTTCATCAAGACGGACTTGGACAAAGAGTACAAAGATGCAACGCTGCTGGTCGAAGTTACCGTTGCCAATCCCAAAGACCAGCAGTTGGCGTTCGTACTTCGCGATGGAGGCAAGGAGATTGGCACCACGTCGAAGATACTAGACTCAAGCAGCTCGACAGTCAAAGTCGAGATCCCTGTTTCAAATCCCCAAAAATGGACAGCTGAGAGGCCCTATCTCTACAAACTCTCACTCTCACTCTCATCCATCGGCGATAATTCCAACCCCCCCTTCCAGACTATAACCCAAAACGTCGGCTTCCGCAAGGTCGAAATGAAAAACGGCCTCATCACCGTTAACGGCCGCCGCGTCCTCCTCCGCGGCACGAACCGGCACGACCACCACCCGACGCTCGGCCGCGCTGTGCCGCTAGACTACATGCGCGCCGACCTCCTCCTGATGAAGCGCCACAATATCAACGCCCTCCGTACGTCGCACTACCCGGGCCACCCACAACTCTACGACATGGCTGACGAGCTGGGGCTCTGGGTCATGGACGAGGCGGATCTCGAATGCCACGGGTTCTACGACGCCGTGGCGCGACCGATGGACATCCCCGAGGAGATGGATTACGAGGAGCGCAAGGACCTGACGTTCCTGCAGGCGGCGCAGTTCACGAGTGATAACCCGGAGTGGAAGGAGAGTTATGTCGATCGCATGAGACAGCTTGTGCAGCGGGACAAGAATCACGCTAGTGTCATTATGTGGAGTCTGGGGAATGAGGCGTTTTATGGGAGCAATCATGCAGCTATGTATGAATATGGCAAAAGTGTGGACCCGGAGAGGCCGATTCACTATGAGGGCGATGTAAAGGCGCAGACGGTGGATATGTATTCGTATATGTACCCGACTATGGAGCGGTTGACCAACTGGGTGGAAAAGACGGGAGTCAAGGAGGATGGGACGTTCGATAAGCCAGTTGTTTTGTGCGAGTACGGGCATGCCATGGGGAATGGACCTGGTTGGCTTGAGGATTACCAGAATTTGTTCCGGAAGTACCCCAGACTACAGGGCGGGTTCATCTGGGAATGGGCCAACCATGGACTGTGGAATGCTGAGGGTGGCTTCTACGGGTACGGAGGTGACTTCGGGGATGAGCCAAACGATGGAACTTTTGTGATGGACGGTTTGTGTGACAGTGAGCATAAACCGACGCCTGGGTTGACCGAGTTGAAAAAGGTGATCCAGCCGGTCAAGTTCGACGTCGAGGACGGGAGAATATTCATCACCAACGAGTACGACTTCATGGGGCTGAGCCACCTGGTTGGCACGTACAGCGTCGAGTCGTTTGGAGACAAGTGAGTCTTACCCCTTTTCACATTTTTGACTTTGAATGCACACAAACTAACCGCAGCAGATCAAACCTCCACGCATCCGGCGAATTGAAAATCCCCGAAGTCTCATCCTGGTCCAAAGCCGAGCTTCCACTACCCCTCGACCTCACCCAATACAAGTCTCACCCCGAAGAAGTCTTCCTTACCATCACCTTCTCCCTGCGCACCTCCACAAAATGGGCCACCGCCTCCCACGAAGTCGCGTGGTTCCAACACAAGCTCTCCTCCCCTGGGATCCCCCAATCTCTGTCTCTCCCCGCCCTCGCGGGACCAATCTCCATCGACAACAAACAGTCAACCGTCCAAATCGCCGGCCCGGGCTTCTGCTTCCTCTTCGACAAAGCACGCGGATACCTCACCTCCTGGACGAGCGCCAACCGCCCCCTCGTTGAAAGGGACGCCAAGACCGGCGCGGCTATCTTCCCGTGCTTCTGGCGGGCGCCGACGGATAATGACGCCCCTGGCGCGCTGCCGTACTGGAAGCGGTTCGGCGTGGATACGTTGACGTCGCAATTACGGTCTTTCTCCGTGGACAAGAAAGACGGCGTAGTGGAAGTAGCAGCGCACACTTACCTCTCGCCCCCTATTCTGGGATGGGGATACAACGTCCGCGCGCTGTACACCATCTCTCCCGCGGGTGCGCTGTCCATTAAAGTCAAGTTGCAGCCTGTTGGCCCCAAGCCAGACAATATTCCGCGTCTAGGCTTGAACGTCAGACTACCGAAGCATCTAGACCATGTGAGTTGGCTTGGTCTCGGGCCAGGGGAGGCTTACCCCGACAAGCGGCTTGCGCAAAGGATTGGCGTGTGGAAACAGACTGTGGAGGGGCTGCACACCCCTTATGATGTACCCCAGGAGAACGGGAATAGAATGGAGACGAGATGGGTGGTGTTGGGTGATGTGTATGGAGTTGGGATCAAAGCTCGTTCTGTTCCCTCTTCATCCTCAGAAGGAGTCTTCAGCTGGACAGCAGGCCGCCACACAGCGCAGACGCTGGAGCAGGCGAGACATCCCTGTGATCTCGTGGCTGAGAATGCGACACTGCTTAATCTAAGCGCGAGGGTTGCAGGCGTGGGGACGGCGGCTTGTGGGCCGGGGGTGAGGGAGGATTTACAAGTTAAGGTTTTAGAGGATGAGTTTGAGTTCTTGTTGGAGAGTACGGGTTTGTAGGGGTTGGGAGATAGATAAGAGGGAAGCAAGAAGTGAGATTTCGTAGATTTCAGTAAAGTATGAATGCATGTACGGGGGATTTACGTAGTCAAGTATTGTGCTACTGTCGTCCTGATGTGTGACTATGTGAAAAATGCAGGCTAGAGTATAGAGAACTCTTGAATTTACATGTGAGCCTGCACTCCATAGCAATGGATGGCCACTCCCGAAAAGGGCAGAACTTATGAGTAGATGTTGACTGTCACTGGGTACGGCTACAGACGGTTGTCCCAACCGGAGTCAATTCATGCATTCTAGTCCAGTACTCGGCACACAATCTCATTGGCCTTGCGTTGATGCATGTTACTCCATCTTCCAATCTCAGTCCACGCCTGTGTGATTCTAATATTTTCTGCCCTCATGAACTCGTAACTGTACGCCCCCTCAGGCGACAGCGTCAGACTCGGACGTCGGCGTCGCCGGCCGCGAGGTGTCTTCAGTACGAAACAGGGGTTCGTTCGGAGCCGGCACGCTGTCAATGATCGGAATGGGCGACATGATCTTCTGGAACGGAGTGCTTGGACGCCCAGGGGGCGTCATTGCTGTTTCGGAAAACCTGCGTGTTTCGGACTTTCGCAGCATGCTTCCTAGTCGGTGGGGGACGCTTGTGTCGAGTCTGCCATGCCTTCGACTCAACATGTCAGTACATATGGAAGAGACTCTGATTAATCGAAGAAGAGGAACATGGGAAAAGAAAGGACAGCGCGTACTTCTCCCAATGATCAGGCGACCTTCCCGCATCCCTGACCTCCGGCGGCTCCTTCTGCATTACCAGGTGAGCCTTGAGCGCATACTTGTGTCGATGCTCGAGCAAATCTTCCTCGCAGCGTCGACGCACCTCCTTCTTCACCTCCTTCTTGCGGCGACGCTTGTGCTTTCGTCCTTGTCGGCGTAGATACGTTCCTTTTCCGTCTGGTAGTAAATGCCCCAGCGGTGACGGATCTCCCAAGCGTCCTCGCGCCAGTGCTCGCGCGCTTTGCGGTCCATCCAGCTAACGTGCTGGGTTCGTGGGCTGGGGGGTGTGCGCGGGCGAGTAGGGGGGTTGGTGCTGGAATTGTAGGAAGACATGCCAGTGCCCAAGGCACCCATTCCACCGAACATCGTCTCTAACAAAGGGTCTAGTAACTTCGGGGGGGTGTGTTTTGGATTTGGATTTGATTTTGATATTGTACTAGTCTCGCGGGGGCGAGTGGCCGGTGAAACGATGTTGAACGGATGCCGTGGTTAAAGAATCAATAGAAGAGCAGGTTGAGCGTAGGGATACAGGGTTTGATATTTTAAAGCCGAGGGGATGTTCCTTGGGGTTGGGCTAGTGGATCCAGGTGTGCTTTTGTCGTTGGATCGTACCTGGCTCTGCTTCTGCCGTAAAAGGAAGGAAAGAATGAACTGAAAGTGTGGATACTTGAAACTCAAACAATAGCTCAGTGCCGCTGAGCTAGTCAAGGCTGGAAGTGGCGGTGATTCCACGGGGTGACAAGTTTTCTTTGAGTCTCCCGAGGACCACCTCCATATCCGACCCTGCCTCCGGCAGTAATCACATAGGGTTTGCCCGCATGACCCTTGCTAGCTTCTATCGATGAACTTTTCGGTATGTTAATAGTGCAAGTCGCAGACCATTCGTACATCGACGTTGCGCCCACTCTCGGCGAATAAGACCCTTGGCTGATTTGCTATAGCTGCCACAATTTTCTCCTCGGTGGTGAGTGACCCAAATTTGGTGTAACATTGTATGGCGAGCTTTTGGATGCGCAGGCACCAATGGCTGCTTTCAGTATCGCGCCGCATTTTGGCCCTGATGTTGTGAAGCAGCAATCCGAGCTCGCCAGGATACTTGGTGGTGGGATTGGACAAGGAGATGTCCCTCTCAAAGTTGACCCACGTGAAGTCCGGAGATACAAGTTGTCTGGTTCCACCGGGCCCGCGGACAAGTTTTGCGCCTTCGCCAGTTGGGTAGCTAGGCGTCAACACCTCGTTAGTGAACTGGACCGTATGTTCCATGAATCGGATCTTGTGTTCCACTGGGTATACAGCACCGTCTTCGTCACTCGTACGATTTCCGGCTAACTTCTCCGCAGCAGATTGATTGCGAATGTCGAAGAGCTGTGACGTCTCGCACCTAGGACGGGGCTGCTGCAGGTGTAGTCTGAGGGAGGACGGAGTTCTTGAGAAACTCGAGCAAACCGTTGTGTGTATTATCTGAAGTGGATAATGGAAAATAGGTTGATCAGCTGAGGCCATGAAATGAGATATGCGGAATTTGACCAGGGCAGTAACCGACTCATTGGTTCACATACTTGAGTGGGAAATTAAATGTGAGCGAGTGCGTAACCACTGCTTGCTTAGGTGGCTGTATTATCAACAATCCAAAGATGAGACCTCGTCTACAGAAACCTCACTCTTAATTCTACTGAGAGGCTGTTGTTACTCCAAGCCCCTGGCTACCTTGAGCTATATCAACATGTCAATCACTCAAACAAGGATATACTTAAATGGAATTGACTTGTAATTCAGGCCAGGACAAGCCATACGAAATCGTAGTCTGCGTAGGCAACTTTCATAGCATCGTGAAACAGATTGTGATGACGAACAATTGTTTCGAGTCCGGAGCACTATGCACATGGGTAGCGGTAAATGTAACGGCACATGATTGTGTGTAAATATGACCGACTACAAATGAGCTCCATCTCCGAGTACGGGTGTTTAAAAAGAATATCTGTACGGTTTTTCGAAAAGCCAAGTCAGTATGCAGTAATTTTGATACTATTTCGATCAGGAAACCTCGTTGGAGACTTTCCGCATTCCCCTCCCTTCCGCCAGTAATGCAACTCTCCTTCTCTAATCTTCATCAGATTCCTCCTCCGAGTCAGACTCTAGTTCTCGCGCCGCATGGGGGAGCAGGAGAAGGGAACACCGGCACAGATTAGGCGGCTGGAAGAATTGTGCTCCATAATTGAGCGTAAGCTCCTGCCCTCCCACGATGTTCCGACGTGCCCGGAATAGTATGCACAGGCGACCTCCGATAGTGTACTCGTTGCTGTCGACGTTGTTATCGCAGGCGTGGTTCACAAAGCGCAAGAAATTTCCATGGGCCACGGCGTCGACACGTGCAATATTGCCGTGGAAGTCGTACTCGTAGTTACTGCCGTTGACCCGGTTGGGATCGAAAGGGATGAGTTCCCCTACGTACTCGCCAATCCAGGTTCCCCTAGGAATGGTTCGGTTGGTCCTTACGAAGACCCCGTAGCCCATGTTATTGGACGTCTGCTTGATCATAAGATTGTTGCTAAATATATTAGACCACCGCCTCTTGAAAAGGTTGTAGCAGGCTTGGCCTGGCGGGCAAGTGTTGCTGGTGGTATCATTGCAATTAAGGCAAGCGTCGTTTTCCGTCTGGCATGTCAGAACATCTAGGGCTCGCTGGGGCAGACGTCCTTCGTTCTTTCGGCGGAAACTGGCGACTCCAGGTTGGTTACGCCATGCTGCCAATTTTGGGAAGCGATGTTTGGTTATCCTCGTAACTCCGGCCACAACGTGCCGTCCGCCTTCCCTTGCATTGTATGCGTAAAATGTCAAGGGCATGATGGATGAAGTTCGTGGGTGGTGCTTGGTTTCAGGACAATTAGCTTCGAATACAAGTTGGACAAGGAGATGATTGTAATATTATAACAAGGTCGCACTATAATTAATAAGGCGTAAGAGAATTAAAAGAGGGTATATTGCTGTAAGAAAGGGGCTATTACAATAGGAATATGAGTTCAGAGGAAGCGCAGAGGCGTAGTTGAGACAGGGGACAGCTCTTTATAGCCAATATATCCTCCATACGTGCACCTTTGTCACCTTTGTCACCATTGTCCGACTTCTGGTTCCGGCATTCCTTTCAACGTGTCTAGAATTCATGGGTGATATGGTAACTGGAATAGATAGTTGGTGGCTTTGATCTTTGTACTTGACGTGCTCTTGTCCCTATGAATTGCTTTGTTTGCGTCTGTTGCTATTACACATCGAGGCCTTCGAGACTAATGTTACTTATGTCACCAGAAAAATGCCCTTTGTGTCTATATGTGGTGTCTATAGTTGCTGTCTTTAACTAAGGTGTGGATCTCGGACCAAATGAAAATAGTGCAGCATGGAGTTTCCACGCAGCTTTGCTATTTGCCTTAATAGGGATGATTTATCTGATTAGGACGTAAATTAGGGTATTTACAAACGAGCACTTCGATGTCTTCAACTCATGCCTATGATTACGTGCGTACTTCACATTCCTTTCTCTGTAACATCCAAACACTATGCTAGTAAAAGCAAATGTGGCCGTTGTCACGTCTCCTTCTCCTAACCCTTACTAGGATCAGAACGAGCCTTGGATCAACAATTCAGAGCCAGCATGATTGGATCCCTCAGTGTTTCTATGTTGATCAAAAAATGCAATAAGGAGGGGTTAAGTAGGTGAATACTGAGAATGTACAAGTTATTATATTCTTACCCTTGCACTGATTAAATTTGGATGTGTCTTGTTCAACCAAGCGGCTGAATGCTGGGTTAATAAAAAGAAGTAACCGTGACTTCCATTTATTATTGTTTATACCTTAGGAAAGTTTGGATTGAACACTATGTGGCTTCCAATTTGTCTTGTGCCTCCCTCCTCTTATCAACAATCATCGCCATTGTGACTGCCACCTATCTATCAATAATTGGCATCGCATTTGCATCATTGCCGACTCAATTCAGAATTCACGGAACACACACACGACATGAAACCCATCGCAATGCAACCTCTCATTCTGATCACTCTCGGTTTGACCGCGTTCAGCATCGTCGCTGGACGTGTCCTCGACCACATCCACCTGGCACGATGGTTTCCCGAGCGCATTCCGACCAATCATTTCAGTAGAACCGGGTTCCTCTCCATGAACATCACCGGTCTTGATGCGACCACTTTCCCCGCTAGCGAAAACCAGGCGCAGTAAGTCCACCCGATGTGAGGCCTAACTGAGGTCTGCAAGCTTTTCATTTATTCACCTTCACAATACCAGAATCAGCTCATGACTATGTTCCCTTAGGTATACCTTTGAAGCCCAATACTCGCCGAAGTACCCGCTACAATTCTGCCACGCTGTTGTTCCCTCCACAAATCACTCCCTCGTCACCACAGACTGGATCAATTGCTGCGCAATCGACAACCATGGCGGCTGCCTGAAGAATCAACCTGTCGACATTAAGTTCACTTGGCGCAGCAACGTAGATGACACAGCGTGGCTCAATCTCACCTGGACTAACGACGAGGAAGTCAAGCACGGCTCACTGCTGCTCAGCTACAATGCCTGGCGTGTCGATGGACAGGGTTACAGGTATGAGATCTACGATGGGCCGAGGGACTTTCAGGTTGAGGGGAGGTATAAGTGGTGGAATGGTGTTGGAGGCATGGGTTGGGAGCCAGCTGGTCTTTGGGATGGGGAATGATGTGGTGGATTGGGAGAGATGGTGAATATCTGGCTGGCTGGGTGTGCCCGCCAAGTGGCACGAGGTTTCCGAGATCAGAGTCCACAACATTGAAGCTCGCAAGGCATAAACAGGACCATTTTGGAAGGAAGGCTGGTTTCTAGGGAATTTCGGTCACATTGTGGTGGATATTCACCCATTTTGACAGTACACTACGAGCAAGCTACCTAGCTACCTAGCTACCTAATCTACTTGGGCACGAAGGAGCTTGCCATCAAGAGTGGAAATGAGCAGAAACTACTTCTCAATCTACGCCATCCTAAGTGATTCTGCATCCTATTACCGCCTATCGCTCATCGCATTCTCCCGACATCGTGAAGACCCAATCCTCGCCCAGCTCTGGAAATGCAATAATATCATCCTCTCCGTCCCCCCCCATCATCACGCTTCCAAGGAATCCCGGCTCCCCGCTATTCTCCACTTTTCTGGATTTTCCATGTCTATGAACGTCCCGGGGCTTACAACTCTCGGGAACAGTTCCTTGGCGATGTATGAGTTGAAAATGTCTGGGAACCCCATGGGGTGCATTCCCGATTGAGTAGGGGACACCGGTGTGCCAATCGAACCAGTAATCCCCCGTGCGTTGAAGCTCGGGAGCAAGATAGCATGCGAGGGCTTTGGGTTCGGCACTGGTTGGGACTTAGCATTGCTACTGCGTCAGCTGGTCACCAGGGGAGGGAAAGGAAAGAAGGGAGATGAAGTGTACAAGACCTCTTCGACGCAGTTGGTGATCACAGCCATGGTGGCCACCTCCCGTGGTTTGCCAGCATGCTGCGGGCATTCTAGGCCCGTAGCACTGTTCTGTACGAAGGATATCCAAAGTATGCTATCGAGGGAGAATATAACAGAGGGGGTAGAGACTACCCAGTCTGGAATATGAGCTTGGGAACAGTCATGTAATAAAGAGCTGAATGGGGAACGAACCAAGGGTGATGTTACACCTTCGGTTTTACAGTACACACTTTCATGAGCAAATCAGAGAAACATTCCCTCTTGTATTAGTAAGTCAAGAGCACACTGATGCATCGTAAGTCCAGAATACCTCTAGAATCCATCATTTGGGTCTATAGAACCCGAGCGTATAAAAATCAGATCGGGGACAATCCTTCAACTCCCGACGCCTGTATGCAGGAGCATTAAGCTGAATATCTACAGCAGAAAGATGTCGAACCAACATCGCCAATCATTACTTGTCGGGGTCCAATTCATTACTCTCCCAGGAATCCGCCACGCTGAGCAAACTGTAGCTGATAGTCTCGCAGACTAGCCCAGTGCTGCAGCTCCTCTTCCTCGTCTTCGGGCGTCATTGTGCCAGATACGGCAGTAGCACTTGTGCTAGTCTTCTCCAGCTTCACCAATATTTCCAGGAACTTACCAAGGTACTCCTCTGCCTTCATCGCGACAGGACCCTTGCGCTCCGGGGCATCGTGCAGCAGGGTGCTGGCAACCTGTCGGATTTTGTTCACAAGTGACTGACCGTTAGGCTCCATGTTGTGCTGCGTGATCGATGTCAGGACGGTGAGCAGGTTCTGGACAATAAGCTCGCGCTCGCTAACGACCATGTTGTCGACCCCATCACTGATTTCATTTCCAGTGGGCTCGGCGAAGTTGGTTTGCTGGCGGTGCGAGTCTCGGAGATTTAAATAGCGCTCCACGAAGTAGGAACGCGTGGCCAGCTGGGATGCGTAGATGTTGGCCTTCTGAATCTCAAACTGAAGCTTGCGACGACGGAAAGGCTGCTCTGCAAAGGCATGGCGAACATCGTTGGGAGGTTGTGTTGCAGGATACGCGGGGGGCAGTATTGCAATCCACCCTCGAAAGCAGTCACATCATCCTGTCCAGGCTCTGTCTTGACCTGCAGATTGATAGGCAGGTCTCCAGTGACGGCCTTGGCTGCCTGAAGGGCATTCCTGAGCATGGTCTTCTGGGCGGTCCACTCGAAGAAGTTAATTCCGTAACACATGTCCACGCCAATCAACTCGTTCATAGCCATGTAAACATTGACGTTTCGGTTGAATCCGGTAATTAACGACATGACTCCCTCAGGCTGGGCCAAAATCCGATCCGGAAAGATGTACTCATCATCCACTTCAAGAGGCATGTCGGGATACGGCTCTTGGGCTGTGGGAGGCGGCAGTGGCAGCTCATTGATGGAAGCACCCAGTTGTGTCATCGAACTATTAGTAGGTCAGCGAGGATACGAAAAGCAAGTCGAGGTCAATGAGCGTACCGTATTCCAGCCACCATGACCCAGAAAATGCGCTTGCCGATCTGATCCTTGATGTGGTTGATGGGCTCGGTCTGCATCTCCGCAGCCAATGCTTCCATTCCATTTATAGCAGCCAACGAAGTAGGGCTGCGTTGACGGTGAATACCCAGTTCTCTGCAGAATGTCATGGTCTCAGCCATGTATCGCTTGCAGAGCTTCCACTGCAGAGTATACGCAGCGGTAAGACCGAGGAAATAGCTAGTTGCAGTGTCCTCTACCGATATCTCCTCCTTTGCCATGTACGCGGATCCTCTTGCCTCGAGGGCTACAGCACGACATCGGTCAATCATGGTAATGGCGGTGGGGAAGAGATTGGTGCTGTGCGTTGACTTGAGGTGCGACCTGGCACTTCTAGGGAACGAGGCTACCAAAACACCGACCATGCTGGCGAGAAGGGCCAGGAACTCACGATTCGTACGATCCAGACGCTCATTGAAGGACTGCCGGAACGTAGGCTCATGCGGGAAGGGCATGAGCGGGTGGATGTAGGTGAAGAAGTCGTCAATCAAGAGTGTCAAGACCGGCCAGGGTGCAATCTGCTCGGCATCCAAGCCAGGGATCCCGTCGTTGGCAGCAATTGAGACCAAGGTTGCGGCCGCATTGTGAGGAGTTGGCGACATGTTGTCATGTGTGCGAGCCTTTTTAGCTGCCTTTGCTGCCTCAGCGTGCTTGTTGGGCGGGCCGCGACGCTTCATCTCCCGGGAGAAAGTGCACTCAACATTGAGATCGCGGCATGGCTTACATGGAGGGCCACTCTCGTCACACTATAATCACAAAGAAGTCAGCTTGCCAAGTTGCCGTGTACAGTTGATTGAAAACCTGCTTGGGCTTACTTGCCTTCACCTTGCGCTGGCTACACATGTCGCATGCGCGTCGAAGTCGCGTTACCTTCTGCAACCCTGAAGCGGGCGGAGAGGCTGACATGGGAGCTCCATTGTTGGCGTGCGCAAACTGCTGTTGGGCATGAACATGAGCATGCGCTTGTGCTTGTGCTTGTGCTTGCGCCTGGGCTTGAGCTTGTGCATCAGCAACATGCAGCGAGGCCGATTGCGCATACTGCTGGGCTAGAGGATTGGGACTTGTCATGGGTGCTGCAGACGCAGCTTGCAATACCTGAAGGCCATGGTGCGCAACCGCAGTCGCAGCCAGCGGCGACGATAGTCCGTCATACGGGATTGTAGCAGTCTGATTTGGCGACTGCTCTGGCTGCTGTTGCTGCTGCTGGGATTGAGATTGGTCGTGAGTCGAAGCGGCGGGAAGACCTTCACCAATGCCAGACGGCTCGGTCGGCGGCAGAGGATACGACGAAGCCATGGTCAAGCCGACGTCCTGTGATCCCTTCCAGTCTCTTACGGCTGATGGTCGGCGAAATCCTGGATGAAGATCGGGTGGTGGTGTCGGCCGCTCACTTCACCGTGACAAAGCGGAAGCTGAGACTTCAAAGTTGCGGTTTTGTGGTGGCTGATTACTCAAGCCAAGTGGAGTTATGGCGGTGCACCTGCAGGATATGGTCCAAGCGGAGTGGCACCGACGCTGTGCCGTTATCGCGAAGCCGCTAAGCGATATCAGGATTAGGGCCTGAAAGTTGGAGGAGGGTTTAGCTTGGGTATTTAGCTCGCCGCATATTATCTGAAGCCCTTAGAGATAGTATACCAAATTTCTGCTGCGGCTGCCAGTCTTCATAATGGGTGCGAAAAAGTCAATGTCAGATTTAGACCAGACTCCACTGCTGACGATGCCACCGGAGAATGCACAGCTTCATTGAGTCAATACAATCTCGGCACGTTTCCTTCTCCTGACGACAACTGCTCAAGTCGCAACCTTCCGAGCCAGTATCCGCGTCCTTGCCAAGTTGTTCAGTAGTTTCTCGAGACTTTGCTCCACGAAGTAAACTTTTCTTGGTACGTCCGATGCACTTCTGGTATCCAGGTAAGCAGCTTCAAGGCTACATTAACGGGTCTAAATTTCTGTAGGAACCAGTTCTCCGAGGAGTCATTCACTGAAAACCACCGCTCCAACATTCTCAGCACTCTCAATGTATAGTGGTCCAAGACAAACAACATTGTCACCAAGAAGAATATTCTGTTTGGTTTGAGACACTTGATCGCGAAGGGTATCATGTGTTGCTGCAATACCATAATTACCTGGATAGATACTTGCAATGTCAGCTTTTGGTCTTCTGTACCGATATGGCCACAATGACGAAGCGGCTGGGAAAACCACACTCCTCAGGTACTCACATCTTGTGTAGATTTTTCTATCCCAAGCAAGCCAAAAGCGGCCGTCGACCGGCGGCTAAGCAGGAGTCATGGATAGGCGTTTCGCCCTATCGATGGGAGGCCCGGATATTTTGCACGAAAGTCACATGTTCCAGGTCCACGCCAGAAAGTTGAGGCATTCGCGATGGCTAAATCCGACAGGACCGAGAGATATTTGTTCCAACTCTACGTCGCGGGTGTATTGGCACTGGCGATTGTTGGTGAATATCGGTTCAGCCTTCTGAGATGGACTCGGACTTGCATCCTCCGCGGTGTCACTGCAACCTCGGAGCTTCCTCCACAGCCGGCCGTAATTAATTGATTCGTCGGATCCGGTGTTCCAGGTCCTTGGTATCAGCAATCAAACCATTCCAGGTTATTTATTGGAGGAGAATAATGGTGTCGCGGTCTATTACAGTGTCGGAGACGGAACAGAACCAGGAATGAGTCTCACACATTTAAAGCCACCTGCGTATATCCCTAACGTGAGGAAAAAAAGACATGGTCCATATAAGATCTTTCAATATCTCCACAAATAGTTCTATCTCAGTGCATTGCTGGTCTACATTGCTTTCCCCTGCAAACCGACAACATGAAATACAACTACCTAATGACCGCCGCCGCCATGGCGTACACATCCAGTGCACACACAATCTTCGTCCAACTCGAAAGTGGCGAAATCACCTACGACGTTTCCTACGGCATTCGGACGCCGTCATACGATGGTCCTATTACCGATGTCACGTCCAACGATCTGGCCTGCAACGGCGGCCCGAACCCAACGACCCCTTCGGATAAGATAATCGACGTGGCGGCAGGAAGCAGTGTCACGGCCGTCTGGCGGCACACTCTTACATCCGGCCCGGAAGATGTCATGGATGCATCTCACCTTGGGCCGACACTGGCTTATCTGAAGAAGGTCGACGATGCGACGACTGACTCGGGAGTTGGCAGTGGATGGTATTGACTTCATGGATATCTGTTGAGCGACTCTGACTTATGCAACTCAAACAGGTTCAAGATTCAAGAAGATGGCTTCAACAATGGGGTCTGGGGCACGAGCACAGTCATCAACAATGCAGGGGAGCATGTCATTGACATCCCTGAGTGTATCGAAGATGGTCAATATCTGCTCCGAGCTGAGATGATTGCCTTGCATGCCGCATCATCAACAGGGGGAGCTCAACTTTACGTCAGTAGTCTCAAAGAATTGATATGCAAACTAGCAACCTAACTCGGCTTAGATGGAATGTGCACAAATCAACGTCTCGGGGGGTACTGCCACAAATACCCCGACCACCTACAGCATTCCAGGTATCTACAAGGCAAGCAATTTACACCGCAGACACCCATTTGTATACTAACTTTAGACATCTCAGGCCACCGACCCTGGTCTGCTAGTCAACATCTACTCCATGACTGCTTCGAGCACATATGAGATCCCAGGTACGATCTCAACTCTCGACCCCAAACCTCAACCCCCCAGCTAACATGTATCTCTGCAGGTCCTGACCCTTTTACATGTTCTGCCTAAAACATGCATTTCTACCCCCTCGAGTACTGTCATGCAGTGTCTCAAGGCCCCGTCCTTTTCACATGTGCAGCTTATGGTGGAGGACCAACATCAACCAAGGCTGGCACTACCCTGACCACATCCACCAACACATTCACATCGGCATCCACGACAACCACCTCCAGTGCCTGTGCGGCGACTCAGTGGGCGCAATGTGGAGGGATTGGGTTTGCGGGATGTGCTTCGTGCGCGAGTGGGTACACGTGTGTTTGGAACAACGACTATTACTCTCAGTGCCAGTAGAATGGAATCAAGTGCTAGCTATTAACTGCGAGCTAAGACTTGAAGTTTCCCTCGATTTGAATGAAATACATATGACTACGCAACAGGCTAAGGAATATCTCGAGGCCTCAAAACGCACCCTGACAACATCTCAGATGGATATTTTAAGTAAACGAAGAAAGCCGACATCACACCCGTGTTGGCGCTGGACCGCGCTGTGCCTATCACTTTCACCCCTGCGTCTTGCGTTGGACCTTCAAGGCTACTCCGTCAAGACTGCCAAGTCAAAAGGAGAAAAGTAAAGCCGCAAACCGTACGAAGTATGGGTCAATATGACCTCTACCCATTGAACCACACAAGTCCTGGCTGTGGGGCAGGCATCAGTCATTTCTGACTATATAAGGCCCTTATGGCCGCCTTTTGCTTCTCTCTGGACTCTCCAGAGATCATGACACTTTCAATACAAGACCATTTGCCCACAATCCAATATCTTGTTATACTCTCCTAAATTAGTTAACATATGTAAAGGACATTGTCACAAGCATATTACAACTGGCAACTGCTCTTGTAGGCCTTAGTCGCCAAATATAGCAATACAATACTGGTACATATCTGCCGACATCCTGGAAGTAAATGTATAATTTGATACTTGCCGTCATTGCTCTCCAAATACAAGCGGTAGGCAGATTTGTATATACATGAGACGTATGCTGAGAACTCAAATCGCAGGTGGAGTTACTTCACTAGGTTAGGCTGCTTTCGGATAGCTCCACTGCATGCAGGATAATCAAAGTGCTGACGAGGGACAAACTACCGCATTAGCTCCAAACCAGCTCGAGACCTGTCGATCTGCCAATGACAACATACTATGTATTCCTTGCCACAATTCATATAAATAGAGTTGGCGGGGCATCGCATTTGTCAGTAGGCCTTCAAGGAAAATTCGGATGCTCTGGGGCCATGCCATGGAGCACGATGGTGACGTAGCGGACTGCCGAGGCATACTAATCTATAAGCGGGTCGTAGTGGCAAAACGGGCCTATCGTGGACCAGGGATCACGATGCGGTTTCCGCTCTGCAACACAGCCCGACAAACCCGAGAAGCGCGACGTCTTTCGCTCATAGCGATAACGCAAGGCCGATGTTCTGAGATATTTTCTGCATGGAATCTGCCCGGCCCGGATCTTGGAATGTGGGTCAGGCCAAGCATAGCATACTAACTTCTCACATGGCGAAGAGGGAATCTCCATTCTCATGCAGCCGCAATTTTTCACTAGATCCACGCTAGACACATCACAAATCACTGCGCTGGAGAAAAACTTCCACTGGTAGAATGCCATTAACTGATCTCTCATTCCGTGGCGGTGAGATTTCATGTATGAATCCGGCAGAGATAGGGTCCCAGCGCCGGGTCCATCAACCCATATTTCCGTAACCAAGTAAGTCCGAGCCAATGAGGTGGCCCTCAACCTGACGAACTTAATGGATCTCGTCTGAAGGTCCCGCTGGCTAGGCAATGTCATCCAGGCAATACGTATAGAGACGGCTCAACACCATACCGGCGGTGTTGGCAAGCCTGGGTGCCGAAAATATTTCCGCCAGTGGATATATAACCTATAGACTGCAACGTCATTTTTGTGTTCGATTTTTCTTGCCTATTTTCAAACTCTCGTCCCACCACATCACCGCTACTGCCCTTATCTAACACCAACATCATATAATATATCAGACCGACACTATGGCTCCTCTCAAGTTCCAAGGATGGTTAGGCAAGACGCCCGAGGCTGCCAAGGGACAGATGGAATGGGGCGAGTTTGAGCCGAAGAAGTGGACTGAGGACGATGTCGATATTGAGATCAGCCACTGCGGCATCTGCGGATCCGACCTTCACACACTCAGCTCCGGCTGGGGACCTACACCATACCGTGAGCAATACCCCAAAACTTCCCCCAAACTCTGATCCTCCCTCCCAGCAATAAACACAACAGCTGATCCCCACTATAGCATGCTGCGTCGGCCATGAAATCGTGGGCAAGGCCGTCAAGGTTGGTAAAAACGTGAAGCACATCAAGGAGGGCGACCGCGTCGGTGTCGGCGCGCAAGCCCGCAGCTGTCTGGAGGCTGACTGCCCCGACTGCTCTACCGGCCTTGAGACCCACTGCGCCCGCGAAAACGTCAACACCTACGGCAGCGTCTACCCCGGCGACGAGGGCAAGTCGTACGGCGGCTACGCCGACTACAACCGTACCAACGGCCACTTTGTCATCCCCATTCCCGACGGTCTCAGCTCCGCAGACGCCGCACCTATGCTGTGCGGTGGTGTCACCGTCTACTCGCCTCTGCGCCAGAACGGCTGCGGACCGGGCAAGACGGTCGGTGTTGTTGGTGTGGGTGGACTGGGTCACTTCGCTGTGCTGTTCGCTAAGGCGCTCGGCGCCGACAGAGTCGTTGGTATCTCCCGCAAGGCGGAGAAGCGCGAGGACGTGCTTAAGCTCGGTGCAGATCAGTACATTGCTACTGAGGAAGACTCCAAGTGGGCTGCTTCCAACACAAGGACTCTCGACCTTATCATCTGCACTGTCTCCAGTGCCAAGATGCCCATGGCTGAGTACCTGTCCTTGTTGAAGCCCAAGGGCACATTTATCCAGGTTGGGTACATGGCCACTTCTCCATTTCTCCCCTATTACTCTCCCCCTGAGTGTTATGCTAACCTCCTTTCCAGTGCCCCTGATGGTGGTCTTCTCCCGGCCATCAACGCCTTCATTCTGATCGGAAACGGTATCAAGGTCGGTGGTAGCTTCATCGGTACCCCACAGGAGATCCAGGAGATGCTTCAACTCGCCGTCGACAAGAACGTCAGGCCGTGGATCCAGGAGCGTCCTATGCAGGATGCCAATAAGGCCATTGTTGATATGGAGGAGGGTAAGGCCCGCTACAGATACGTCCTCGTCAACGAGAACTACGGCAAGCATTGAGCTAGTTGGTAGTGGAACAAAGTAAAAAGAAAAATAGACATCAATAGGACTGTACATATGATACCCCAATGCATATGCTCTTATATATGTGTTTCAGCAGGAACTCAAAACGATACACAAACCTTGGTCGAAATTGAAAATCATGCTTCCATTTGGTTAAAATTTACGATGGCTGAACTTGACAGTCCAAGCCAAGGTTCTATTTGAGTGGTTTTACTATATTCAATTGCTCAATATCGGGTCTGTCTAATTAAGAAATAAGCGAGTCAACGATAAATCATGTGCATGTTCTGCTTGTAGAGCCCTATTCTTCAACTACTTACACTTATCTTAAAACTATAGCAATAGTATCTCATATTGTGTCATTGCATTAGCCGTGCTTTGTCTATTATGTTGTCTGTTTGATATAGATTTGGTAGTCCCAGTAATGACTCTGACACATTATTTCCAGAGGCAGATAGGTCTCATAATAACTCTATTATCGAGGAGTACTGTGAATGGCTCGACCAAAAAAAGGAGAGCCACATGCCAAAGCCCTGTCCTATTGGCGCCGAAATCCTGCAACTTGAGATTACATCGTATTCGAGACAACGAACCGAATTTCTCCCAGATAACGTTGTCAGTAAAGGATACCCGGGAGCTTCTAGGGTAACATCCACCTAAGCAGGAATGCTAGAGAAGGGGGTGAAGATCAATGAAAAATGCTTTTTGTTTGTGCTTCTGGATGTGTTGGGTCATCCGTCAAAGTTGGTGGATTAGAAGCTGATACGTGACCCCATGGGGGGTTACCCTACAGCGATAGATAAGATAGATAAGATAAGATAAGAGCTATAAAAGAGCTCTGCCAGGCCAGAATAGCTGACCTGGCCATCCTTTCCCAATACAACAATTCACACCCCATATGCACTCGCATCAGAAGCAGTCGTGAATTTTGCAACGATACAAATAGAACCAACCCCTGATGGTATTTCTGAACATATGATGCGTGATTAGCAATAGTAAAGCAATTTGATATAACCTTAACGACCAATCCATACAACTCTTCAAGGTATGAGTGAGCATGTTGATTAAATTGCAGCTGGGGGGCAAACGATGAATAGTAACTCAGTGAGGTCCTCAGATAGCCAATGACTACCCTTCGATCGAAAGGAAGGATTGATCACTCTGTCTACAGACCCAACTTTCAATACCTCTTTCTCAAGGCTTCCAGCCCCCAGTCCTATTTCGAAAGAACCCCTCTGGATCGACCTCCAGCGACACCTTCCTCGCCAACATGCGACTCTCCGGCCGCAACCTCCCCCAGTAGTCCTCGCGATAAAATCCATAGTTCATGAAAACAGGAAGGTACACATCGGGCAACTTCCCCTGCGCCTGATACTCAAGCACCCTCTGCCGCAAACCACTGTACGTCGCTTCCAATGTGTCTGCCATCTTGTCGTAGCTCGTTTGCAAAAGGAAACTATAATTCATCTCGATAATGATCCGATGCGCCTCATCATCAACGTCTATCAAATCGCCACCCCTCTCCCGTGCAGCTTGTGCAATCCGCTTCGGAAACGGCTGCCACGCGATCGAAGCCACGATGCCCGGTTCAAGCAATGCCGTACTCGATACATTGCGCCAATGTGCATGCAGCGCATTCAAGACGTCTCCGTTCTCTGCCGACGGCAACGAAATCGTCTCAGTGCCGATATCCACCACCGAAGCCGGGACTATAACCCAATTGCTCGTGGCCATAAGATCGGCATACGTGCGCACTTTGCAGGTATTCAGTATGGGCCCAACATCCGTAAAGTTCTTAAACGTCCCCTCGGGGACCACGTCGCCGTCGTAGAAGAGGAACAGGATCCAGGAATCGATTAGATCGATATTTCCCTGCTCTGCAGTGACAATTACAGCCGCCTTGTCGTCCTCGTTGTACTCGGTAAAATCACGCACGGCCTTAAGTAGCTTCGTGTCCGTGGACTTAGACCGCAGGAAAGCCATGTTGCCGCCGTATACGTTGCCCTGGCGGTGGGTCTGCAGCACGTACGTGGTCACGATGCCAAAGTTGTTGCCGCCGCCCTTAAGTGCCTTGAACAAGTCGGCATTTTGGGTCGCCGAGGCCGTGGCGATGGTGCCGTTGGCGAGGACGATTTCGTATTCGAGGACTGACGAGGCAGCCCAGCCGTACTGTGCGGACATGTAGGATAGCCCGCCGCCGAGGACGAGACCGCCTACGCCTGTATTGCCGATGCGGCCGCCGACGAAGGTCCAGCCTGTGCCTTGCAGCTTGGCGGCGATACCGTCGAGGCGGTTGCCGGGGCCTACGCGGGCTATTCCTGTCTCTTGGTCTAGGATAACGTTGTCAAGGAACTTGGTCGAGATAATGGGTCCACCCTGGACGCTGGAGAAGTAATTGTTTGGGTTGTGGCCACCAGACTTGATGGCGAAGTCGTCGGTGTTATTGTTGAGGACCGTCACGACGAGAGATACCTCTTCTGCGGACTTGGGGAAGATGATGCACGAGGGTGTCAGGGCTACACAGGAGGTGGACCAGTAATCGCGCTGTTCATCGACGTAAGAGAGCTCGAGGGGCTGCGCGACTTCTATCGTGGAGATGGCCTCAACCGTGGAGCAGGTATCAGCTTGGGCCAGTCTTGCGAGGAGCAGGGCTAGGCCCAACGTCCCTTGGACAAATCGCATGGTGAGTTTCCTATTTCGCTACTGACTATCTGTCTCTAATAAGAACAAGTCTGCGTCAATACTCCAAAATGAGCCAGCTGGTTTCCACGACACTCCGAGTTCATGATTCTGAAGCAGCCGCGATGGCTTTTATCCACGCGATGCTGACGCCAGACTCAATGACGCAGATCGCGATAACACTCACAACCAAGGTGTCATGGTTGTTCTGAATTAGAGCCAAGACGTGCTACACGAATTTTCATTGAGCTGAAATGCGTGTAACCACATCTTCTCGTCGATACACGGAAATTCCAATCCCGCTGACCAACGCATCTCTAACCGACATGAGGTTGTTGACAACTGCACGCGGGCTTGCCAAGAGAGCCAATCAAGTTCCACATGAATATCATTATAGTCTCAAAACATGCAAGATGCATGTCGTCAACCAGCAGGCAGAACCTTGGCTATACTTTCGTCGTTGGCGGGTCAGGAGATGCAGCTTACAGAATGAAAGCGGCCTAAGCGAACCCCAAAAATAGCCATCACGACACAAAGATTTCCAGTCGTTTATCCCAAACCGTGCCACAGTCTAAATTAGGTAACATCGCCTCGAAAACTTCCATATCGAGAAGGCGGGAGAGTCTCTCATGTCACCGCGCCAAGGATCAAGTTTGAGCGGGCCGGTCGGCATTCAGCCTATAGTTCCCCAAGGGTCAAGTTCAATACTGCGACTCTGCTTGTCAGCCATCCAGGGTTCCGCCTAGCCGAGGGTTCCGAATGCGTTTAATGTTGTAATGGATAATTAGTTGTGTCTAGTGCATATACTGTTGTAATGGGCCATGTCACTGTATTTAGGTGTTCTAAAGACTGATATCTTGGGTATTGATGTTGCAATAAGGTAGCGGTGCCGGAGAAATAGGGAATATGGGTGACCTATCAGAAGGAGAGCGGGTTGAAGCGGGATGATGAAGTTGGATGTTAGGCTGCATTTGGTGTCAACTCGCGATGATCATTAGGGAGTGTAATGGAGTGCCAGTGTCAGACTGTCGTGATTGTATGTGCTGGTAGTGTGATAACTCACAGCCGTCATCTGAAATACGAGATTTCGTGGAAATCGGACAATGAAAGAACTAATCTCTACTTCGTGCAGAATCTGTTTGTTAGTTAGCTAGTGATAGCATCAAGGTGGTTTCCAAGCTAAGACCAATACGTCAGCCAAGGTGCGAGACCCATGTGATATGGCACGGGTATTCACATGTTCTCTGCTGAAAGTTTACAGAAAGATTTGTCTTTGGCCGATGATAGCCAAGGCCGCTTCTTGGTAGCATAGTGGGTATAGAAAACCTTGAGAAGTGAACGTGATTGATCGAACCATGGCTTCTAACAAATCTACTTTGTATGTGCTCGGCTACGGAAGAGCCCTGTGTTTTGGTTTTCTTTGATCTTCTTGCTTTGACTGCTTGGCGCTGAAAAGCTTTTTCCAACGGTGTTGGATCAGAAGTTCTACCTGCCGTATCATCAATAGGAGCTAGCTAGTATACTCGGTGGATGGGTATAAGGGGCTTCTCCCAATGAGTGGCACCACTCAACAGTTTTAGTCCATTTTCGGACCTTGCAGCGACATATGGTCTTCAGAAATGTCGTTCACATTGGATCCTCGGCTAGCCCGCCAAGTAAGTCAAGACTGCAGTTAATTGTTTAGCCACAATGCTGAAAAATAAATATTCCGCAGAGTGTGCTTTGCCTCACTTCATCTGTCATCTCCCTTCAAGTTCTTGAATTCCTACTAGAAGAGCCCATTCCGTCTCGATGTAGACACTTGTCAGATCTTATAACTACCAAAAATATCTCATTCTACAGCGAGTGGGTCCCTCGTCTTTTGACGGTCAATTTGGTCCAACAACACTCGACAACGACCGAGTAATTCACGAGAGCCCCATTGCTCGAAGTAGTAGCCCTCGAGCCTCATCCATGCGCATCGACTACAAATGCGTCTAGTTCCACATCCCATGGTGATGACTTTGCTTGGCTGTGTTCATCCCAAACTTCGGCGCATGCTACTGCACGGAGGGTTCCTCGGTGACACATTCATGCGACAGATTAGGAAATTCGAGGCTGAGAAATTGCAGTCAAAGCGTTGAGGTCAACATTCATCATGAGACGGTTTGGGTCGTGTTGGCATATTGCCGAGTTGGGCAGAGTAGGACGGAGATGGGAAGGTACGGCTGCAGTAAAGGGCTACAAAACCCCGCCTCAAACCAGAAGTAACCATCATAGAAAAGAAAAAAAACATCCTTTTTGGGCTTCATATAAATGTGACGGGAAGGGAGCGGCTATTCAAGCCGTTGACGCAAATTGTCATAGCCTGAACTCTAGCAAATCTTATGAATGCACGCACAGTATTAGGGAACCTGAGAAGACCATCATTCCTAGCTGCAACGAGCATTGCAGATGCGCTAATTGGTTGTTTGGAGTTTGATCCAGTGCCACCAGCAGGACACGAAGGAGACTATCGAGATATCATGTGACTGATCGCATATCATCGTTGTGTATTTCTCTACACTGATCACTGTATAACTACCGGATCGTATTGAATTCCAAACCTCCAACACCACGCTGATGACATTTCAATGTAGTACACACAACAGCTTATAATTAAGCAGTAGGTGGGGAAGTCGGCGATGAACCTGCCACGGGAAGAATCCGGAGATTCCTGTAACACCTGGTATGGGAACGCCCGAAATAATTCGATGAAGGGAGCATTACCGCCGTTGCCGATTCCACCACCGCCTCCGTTTGACCCTCCATTACCCCCCCGGAATTTCACCTAGGGATACCGCTAATGTTTCCTCCCTCGTCATTATTCCCATCCCCGTTTCCGTTTCCCAATGCCTCCACTATGGTTCCTGTTCCGTCCGAGTCCTATTGGCACCACCAAATCCTCCGCTCACTATCTTTCCAGGCCTGAGAAGGTCATTCACCTGTATCAAGCCAGGCGCCGCCAGCGTGCTAGCCGCCATAACCCCCACCTCCTTAAAATCCGACGAATTCGTCAACGCCGCAATAGTAAGCCCTTGCATCACATTTGCCGTAAATGGAAAATCCGCATCAAATATGAGCGTCGTGCCATCCAGCCTTTGGTTCCTGATGCGCACAGAAATCGGTAATTGTTGTCCCACAATATACGTGATGAACATAGGCGCTCCGCCCGTCAACATCTCCATTTGACAGTTCGGCGATTGCTCTCCCCCAGCGCCACTATTCCGACAACCAGTGCCACACATCGGCGACGGCGGCAGTCCCGCTATGTAACTCTTCAGATCCGCCGAATAACTCAGCGTCATATCCCTCGCCTCAGCATTTGTGAGCACATTCAGTGCCGGAAAAATAGGAATCGGTATGTCCTCAACCTTAAACGGGCAGCTCACGATAAAAGCCTGCAATGCCGAATATGCGTACGGCGCAATCGACGTTGTTAGAAAAGGCTTCGACGAAGGCCGCCGGTGGAGCATGAAGCGCAAAAACCCGTTCTGCTCGCCTTCCTGGCCCACAACAGACGAGACGACGCGGACCACGGCATCATCACCGTTTTTTGCGAAACTTTGCTGTGCGTCTTGGAGGGTGCCTAGTACGACGGAGGTGAAAGTTGAGGCGAGGTTGAGGGCGTCGTCGAGGGAGGTGGTGGGAAATTTGTAGTTGCAGGGTTGGGGGATTAGGGAGGCGTTGAACTGTTTGAGTTGGTTGATGGCCGTTATAGCGTGGAGTTCTTCTTGCTGCAAGACAAATTGGTCAACTGAGAAGGACTTTTGGGGGAATGGACGTTAAGGTCTTCGGCTTACGGCTTTTATTGTCTTCAGTATTTGCAGTATCTCTGCTTCATCCCGGTTGGCTGCCTCGGCGCTGAATTCGCCATCGCGATTTGTGACGTTTTCGATTAAAGATGTGAAGAAGGCGACCTCGAATTGCTCGTTGAAGGCGACGAGCTGGAAGTTGGTGATGCCCGCAACACTCAACTTGCCCGGTGGGGGTGCGTTGGGTAGTTTCCCATCTGCCTCAGTCTGTATGTCAAGAAGCTGCTGATCGTCTGGACTAGGAAAGCCATCGTGGTTGGGTATGGCGTATCCCGCGGCGAGACTAAATACAGCTGCTGCACACGCAACGGGATAGGTTAACATGATCCTGTGGGATTGAGGGTTACCGTAAACCGTGATTAATCAGGGAGTTGCGTGTTTAGGATGATGGGTGTGACTAAGCACATGTTAACGCGCTTTGTGCGCTGTCTGAGTCTGATGCTGGGCACTGGTCAAGGCCGGGTCTCGTTTACAGAATATGAGTACAGAGGGATTGCGCTCGACGCGAAACACGATGGCAAATTCTGGCAGTCGACATGATTTTAATCGTTCATCCTGTATCACCATCCGGACTACATGGTGTCAGATCTTTCAGCATAAGCCTAGACGAGTAGATTCCGTGCCGATACAATCTCATTCTTCATGAAATTGCTTCCCACAATGGTTCGGAGATTTGACTGCAAATGACGTTAGAAGATAGTTCACGGCTGAGCATCGCTCCGTGTGCTGAGTTTAGTCGGTTTAACATCAGGTCGCTTGTAAGGGGTAGGTGGACTGTTGTTTCAGCAGAAATGGAGGGTAGATGCTTGGCGGTAGTTGTAGTATTACAGCAGGATACGCAGCATGATTTTGCGATTGAAGGGCTCGTAATCATTGTTGCTGATTGTCATGAGCTTGCCAAATACCGAGCACGAGCTGTCGTTTTGAAACAGAGGCTCACACCGAACCAATCGCGTGTTTATACAAATATGAGGAAACGGGTTAGTGTTATCTTGGCAGAAACATGAATCATGAGAATGTAGAATCAAGCCTTTTGGGTGGATCAGGCGGGATCTGCACAGACGTTGGCTAACCCCTGACTTGAGATAGAGCTGGATCGTATACTTGCCCAGATACTTCGATGAAAAGGCACAGATAGCAACGGTCTCGCCGTCGCCTTCAAATGAAACGAGTGCGTATTGCCCTTAGCCGAAAGTTGATGATACTCAGTACTACTCGCGCCATGCCCATGGCCTGCTCTATACAGTTTTTGTTCATTCTTCTGCTTGTGTCTCAGATCCAACTGATGTTGACGACAACATTGACCGTTTTCAGAATTCTGATTTCGTCATGCGATTATCATGTATGCTCGATCTTCATGATCACCGAGTTCCAGGTCAATCCTGGTGGGATTTTGGTGGGCCACGGCTGTTGAATATTAGACGCAAGACTCAAGGTCTGGACCACACTTGTTTCGCTTCCTCAAAACAACCCCAGACCAGTCCGGGAGCTTACTCACGACCGAAGTGAGTTGTGGTCTTCTGAGCCGAAAGCTAATGTTTGCTATGGTGCGATTAGGGAAACCTACAGGTTATTTGATCTTAATAGTCTAGGAAGTGCTTTGGTTTTATCGTCAAACCTGGGGTTGAACAGTACCCGGCCAAAGCTTGACACTTCCCATTCTCCAAGCCTTGTCTTCAAAGTCCACCACATGTAAGCCAAGACAAGATGGCACTGCCATGATTACAAAGTGTGTGACTTGACTTTCATCAATGATCCGAGAACGAAGTTAAACGAAGTAAGGGCTACGGAGCCCCTTGCAGCTTATCTTCCCTTCCTTATTATAGGCAGTCGTAGTTTGATAGTCTTAATGGTAGGGGATACTTGTGTTTACCATGCATATCAACATGACCGTTCATTTCCTTGTATTAGTCGCGAACGCCATATCTTTCTCCCACTGCTCCTTGACCTTCTCCAGCAAGCCAGGCGTAGCAAGCACATCCACTGCTGTCCCCGCTATCGCCTTCCCCGTCCTCAGACTGCGCAGAAAAGCCTCCTTCGTCCCGGCCGCGGCAGCAAATCCAGGACTGTGCGGCCCACCCCCGTCCACGCCAGACGGGATAGAAAAACTGACATTCAGACTCGGCATCTTGTAACTGACATCTCCCTGATCTGTACTCGCTGCAATTCTTTCAACACCTCCATCCCTGTCGTCCGTTGGAATTGTGATCCGCGTCGGCGGATCTAGCGCATTCCAGCACCGCACGTACGACGTCCCTAAAACCCGATTCGGCACATGATCCTTGTACATCTGCATGAGAGTAATTTCTAACCTAGCCCCCGTTGCCGTTGCCCCAGCATGAAAACACGCGTTGACTTTTTCTCTTAGTTCCCGCAACCTTACCGCCGTGGGCGCCCGCACCACGAATACCCCCGCCACGTACGCATGGATTATATTAGGCGCAGTTCCGCCATCAGTAATATGCCCCTGTATCACATCGCCCGGCATCGTCTGCTGTCGTAATACGGAAATCGCATTATACGCCACGATGAGGGCGTCAAGGGCATTAATACCCAGCCACGGACTGTTAGCTGCATGTGCGGCTCGTCCGAAATACTCAACTCTGAACTGAGCATAGGCTGTGGTGGCGACTAACGCGCGGTCGTGGACAACCCCCGGGTGCGAAATGAGGGAGAGGTCTACGCCGTGGTCCTGGAAGGCGCCGGCGCGGAGGAGGCGGATCTTCCCACCTCCGCCTTCTTCTGCGGGGGTGCCAAAGATAACTACGCGACCGGGGAGCTGGTGATGCTGAAGTACTGAGGAGGTGGCGAGACCAGCGGCTAAGGAGGCGATTGCAATGAGGTTGTGGCCGCAGGCGTGGCCGATGCCTGGTAGGGCGTCTGACAGAGTAAGTTAGGTGGAACAGGAAAGAGATAGAAGTTGGTGGGCAAATTTCAGAATCAAGTACCCATCTCAACATTGAACGACACAACAGAGCCTTCCTCTCCGCTGTCGTAGACTGCCAGCCAAGCCGTTTCCATGCCGTAGGCTGAGGTGGTGACCTTCCAGCCATTTCGGGACTTCATGAACGTCGTCAAGGTCGCGTGGGCATCGTGCTCATGATAACCGAGCTCCGGGTTGTCATGGATGCGTTTGTTGATGGACCATAGATCGTCAGCGACAGAGTCAACAAAGTTACTAACTTCCGCTAGGTGCGGGGGCATGGTATCGACATCGTCGTGGGAGACGAGCACAATATTTTCGTCTTCCATGACTGTAATAATCAAGTGTCTCCAAGGTCAAGACACTCGGGTGATTTAAGAACATAATCATGTTTTCCCCACATCACAACAATGGTATATAGGCTATTTTCACCTTAAGTAGTATTATATAACCTTGGCAACCAACTTTATCCCCGACACTCAAGTCGTGTGGCTTGAATTGGAGATTGTATATTCCTACTTAATTATCTACGTACCTAATACAAACAAGGGACAAATAATTTGGCAAATCAGAGCACGAATGACTGGTAAAGATCGTGTCATCATGCCTCAACCTTGGTCTCCTTCGCGATAGCAGGAGTAGGCGCAGACAACTTGTACTCATCGTCATCTGTCTCCCTCATCCCACCCAGCAACATAGAGCTAGGCGCCTTAGCTTGAGTCTCCGCATCGGTAGTAAAAGCAAAGAACTTCTCATCATGCCACTGCCCAGCCGTGATGTACCTTCCCTCACTATCCGTGAACATGGTATCGTCCTCCGCGCGCAAGAAATACGCAATCGAGTACCTGTGCTCAGTCGGATCAAAAGGTACGACACGGTGGATGCATGATTGCATCGTGTGTCCGCTAGCGAATCGCAGGGAATCGCCCACATTGACAATGGCGCATCCCGGTTTCGGCTCGACGAAGCCGAATTCGCGTGCGCGTGGGGGGCGCACTTGCATCCCCCACTGCTCGCTGAACAGCAAAGTCAAGGAGCTGATGTCGGTATGTTTCTGGTGTCCGATGTTGGTTGCTATCTTGGGGTCGGACGGGATGTAGTGCATCATAGCGAGGGTGCTTGTCGAGGGGCGGTCGTTGCGGTGCGAGTTCTCGAAGCGACTTGCGCCGGTGAGGCCGAGGCCGGTTGAGAGAGCCGAGAGGATGGACTTGGTGATGATGTTGGAGCCTGCGATGGAATTTTCAAGGATGGAGATGTCGTAGCCGTTCTTGATGATGTGGGGGAGGTGGGGGTCTAGTCTTTGGATTTCGTCTCGGGATACCTGATGATAGGGGGGAATGCTGTTAGACATGGGGGGAACATCACCAATACTTATTCACTAACCTTGATCATCTCGTACCCATCCTTGGTGTTCTCAAGCACGCCTGTGCGTGAGCCCACGGGCTCGTACCCCAGGTGCGGCGAGACCAGCCCGAATTCGTTTTTGGCCTCGAGAGGCGACTCGAAGAACTTGTGCATAAGATCCAGCGTCTTTTGTTGGTCTTGGAGCATCCTGCGGCCGTCAATTCCCTGCAAGTTGAGGTAGAAGTAGCCCTCGGTCTGGCAGCAGTGAACCAGCTTCTCGATTTCGGCTGGCTCCTGAGATAGCAACCGCTCGAAGCTGATGGTCTGCATGGGGTAGACGGGCACCTGCTTGCCCTGCCAGTCGACAGTCTTTGGGATCTCAGTTGAGATGGCCATTTTGTGCTGTGGTTGTGTATTATCGTTGCGTGTACAGTATTGCAAGCGTCCCGAGTCTGAGATAGTATTAGTCACTAAGGATATCCTATTGTGCACTCCTTCTTTCTTCTACTTTATAACTGAAGCTTGAAGGTGTTCTCAAAATGCTACACTCCACAGTTATCTGGTTGCCGACAGACCTTTTGCCTCCCCCGCCCATCTGCATTCATCCATATTTATCGTGGAAGACACGTGCACCATCTTGCCTTCTGAGCATACGGCTGAACTCAGACGTTGATCAATGATGTCACTTCTTGGTGTCTTGTCATTGCCCAATTGAGCAATCAAGTAACACAGGATTTGGTTGAAAATTGCCCATTTATCCAATGGACATCTAGCTATACTGTTAGCGGAATCACACATTCCGCACGTACCTGTGAGCATGTGGGGAGGGAAGCGTTGCATGTCCTCCCATTTATCCCACACCATGCCAAGGCCGGCAGTTGTTCCCATTGGTCTTCTACAGGGTCATAACCTACAATCATACAAGTACATCTATTGTTTTCTTCATGCACGCAGCATTCGCTTCCGAGATCCCAGTTGGAATATCCGGTGCCTAGAGGCATAGGTATACTATGACGCCTCGAGGTGCAGGGTCAGTGGGTGGTATACTATGAGCATACGAACGTGTGAATTTGTCCCATCATGATGAGAAAAACAGACGAATTGAAAAGAAAATCATGTTTGGATGGAGATACGAGCCATTGGCCTCCTACCTTCGAGGTGATCGTAAATGACAGAGCATGAGCTTGGAATACTTGTCCACAAACAGTCAGATCTATAACAAGCCGTGAACTTCCAATTTTTATTTTAGCTGATATATACAAATACACCGCCACCTAAGCACCGTATAACACCAAGCACCTAACCTCAATACTCTGCCTCGACTCCTCATCTACATAATCCGGGTCCTCAAAAGCCGAATGCAGCGCCCTTCTCGCCACAGATGCATCCGAATCAAAGCACTTAATCAACAACACCTCATCCGGCTTCAACAAGTGCTTAAAATACCACCGATGTCCCGGATTGTGCCTCACCACCCAATTCTCCCCCCGATACCCATCCTCGACCATCTCTGCACCGACCAGATCAGCATCCGGAACCGAGTTCGCGTCCGCCACGGCCACGGGATCCTTCCGGATGGTCTTGATAGGTCGCCAAACGTTGATGATCTGGTATCGAGTTCCGTTCCGGATCAGCTCATCCGCTTCGTCGGGCAGCTCAAATCGCAGGCGCATCTCCGCACCCGCATATGACTGATCTACATGCGTCCTCGTTACGGGGCCCCGGTTTGCTAGGTTCTGCAGACTCAGGTGATGCCAGTGTGTTGGCCCCCGGCGAACTTTGTGGTTGAACACGTGGATGCGCGCAGCGCCTGTGATGTCTTTTAGGAGCTGGGCGCACTCGAGATAGTACTCAGTCTTGATTCGCACATCGTCCACGAATAAGTCATTTATCTTGGTCGAGCGGTGATAGTATAAAAATCCGTGGCTATCGAGCGTGTACTTGTCTTCGTCCCCCGTCACGTCCGTGACTACGAATGGGTGGGGTCGGTGCGGGCGCTGGTTGGTTACTTTCCCCTTGCCTATGAAAATAGGCGTGGGTCGTGAGCCGTCGCCGAGGTCGTCCCAGTAGTTCAGTTTTGTTGCTACGTTGTGTTTCTCCTGTTGCCAACCGCTGGCCGCTGACCGTTCGGTGGGTAGGACGATTCCCGCAGTGAGATTGAGAAGATCGGTCGCCATTTGATCAGAAATTAGGAGGGTTTCTTTGGGACTTTGGGGACATGAGAAGATGAGATTAGAATGAAGATGGAATTACTAGGCGCATATAGTCATTCAGTCGCGAGATAAACTCCCGGAAATTAATGAATTCCCTCCCAAATGCCGGGATACTTTACTTGCCTGTAATTGCATTTTGCCGCCATGTATTATGCCGGGCCATATAGATGTTGCGGCTAAAACTGTAGCTAATCAAAATCTGGTGTGCTTGTCTATACCTGTTTCAAACTTCTGTGCCGATATGATAGGTCATAGAGTCTTTTCAATATCGGCTCCCAAGGGATTGGATGATCTCAGTAGTGCTTGAAGATAAGTAAGTTAAACTCAATATGCTTGACTGTTCTCTTAATGGAAAGTTGTAGGTTCTGCAGGGCTTATGTAATAATCGGCCAGCGATGATAGAATCCCTTACTTCGTTGGGATTGCTTGTTCGTCGTCTATATTATAAGTTCTTTTTTGCTAGCTTCGATTATAATCTTGCTTTTGATGTCGCCTGTGCTATTTGGAAGCTGTGATAATTGATTCTTCAGTGGCCAAATCGAGAATGCAGTGAGAATCGAAATGAACTGGATGATCATAAAGTGTGACAGTCGCTATCTGTCAGATGTGGGTATTAATAACGAGGCGAGAGAGTAAGCCTTATTTTGCGCCCTGGAAATAAGAGTCAGCTATATCGGATGTCTGTGTCCCAGTTTGGGGTACCTTGGAATTTAATGCGGTAGCTTCGCGTATCTGATCTACTGAACACATACATGGGAATTTGATCCTCCACAAACCCAACCGACGGTGAATTCGGCCGCCGCGATCGTCTTGGTCATTTTGTCGGTAAATCTTTGAGATTGAAGAGTTCAGGCAGGGCATCTGAGTCTGATGGTCCTGTTGTTCCATGCTTCATGTCAAGCTAGACGGATGTCTTCACGAGACACGGTCTCGACAAGGCTGGAGATCTTGTGCAGCTGCTAGCCCAAGGCGGGTCAAACGTTTTGGCTTAGTCGTTTCCGAGCGCTAGTCACGCGTCCTTTTCCTATCCTAAACCCCGTGGATCTATTAATCCTGACTATTAGCCTATGGTTGCGCCACTGCGAATATACTTTTGTCGCGGAACGGCTGAAACTACCTGTGATCATCGCTTTCATGCAAGAGTGATTCACGATTGCCCCATTTCATGGACTATCTGCTGACAGTGCTAGAAACTCGCACGACTCTGACCGAACAAAGCAATGATTGTCGCCCGAGATGACGTGCTAGCGGACCATTGGAGGGTTGAGTTGCAGTCTGCATCGTAGGAACGCACTCGGCTACTTCAGAATACAGGGCATATATATGGTATTTGAACACCATATTTTCTTTAGATTGATCGTATACAGGATGCTCTTAACCCAGCTGACTTTTCATTGCTCTCCAGTTAACACCTAACATCAAAATATAATGGCCATGAAACTCATGAGAGCTGAACCTGATTTATGTGCACTATGCCAAGAAATCAACCTGGAGGACCTCAAAAGCGACCAGGGATACCTCCACCATGCAACCTGCGATGCCCTCGTCCAGAGTGCGCATACTTGCCATTTATGCAAGTCCATTATGAATTTATTCATACGAAGCATCCACACGAATCGACGCGTTACCCATCCAATGCGAAGTATCTGTGACTGCGGTCATCTGGGCCCTGTGGCTCTGCATGCTGCGTGCCCGGATATAAACTCTAATGGGAGACATTACCAGGAACATACGCCAGGCCCTGTTTTGAGCAGAAAACTATCATTGCAAGTAGCGGTTACCATAGGGTCCATCAAGGATCGAATATCCTATGGCACGATGTACCCAACTTTATTGATATTTTGTGATCCAAGTTCGTTCCTAAGATGAAGACCGCCAGCATATGGCTAACAAAACTCCACTAGGATCAATAGCCGAAGGGTCTGGTGTCGTAGGACTTTCTGCTGCTGATATAGGGATTCAGGACGATCCCCTCTGCGCGTACAACATATCAAGGATCCTGCAATGGACTGACGTATGTGAAGAGCATCATGACGTCTGCAATCACCCTTTACCTGGCCAGCAGATCAGATGTCTCGCTCCGAAGCGACTAGTTTATGTCGGGCTAACAGGGCAGTCGCATGTCCGCCTAATCACTTTGGATGGTACGTCATGCAAGTATGTTGCACTTAGCTACTGCTGGGGTAGGAAACATACCGGCATGATCACGACGGACGACAGCTTGGGTCAGATGCAAGACGGAGTTGAACTGGCTCTATTTTCGAGAACCATCCAAGACGCTGTCACGGTGGTTCGGGCACTGCATGTTCAGTACTTATGGGTCAATGCCCTCTGTATCATTCAACAACAACCAGGTGGCGAAGACTGGAAAGAGGAGTCACAAAAAATGGGCCAAATCTATGGCGATGCTTATTTGACAATTGCTGCCACGTCAGCTAGTGATTCCGTGGACGGCTTCCTTCATCGTCCCAATGGAGGTGTTGCCGTTGATTTCAAGTCTAGGAGAGATGCCAGTGGTCAGGGGAAGATCTACTTCGAAGAAAACATACATATCTTCGAGGCTTTCGCGGAAGGTGTGGAGAATAGTCCCCTGTTAAAAAGAGATTGGGTCAAGCAAGAACGAATTTTGTCTCGTCGAACCATAGATTTTTCCGCGAGGCAAATCTACTGGTCTTGTCGAATGAGCAGAATCTCAGAAGCTGGCGAGCGTGATGATGAGGGAGGCATCGAAGCCGCCAGTCTTATGCATAGCATGAGATTATGGGATATCATCCCCCGACTTCACGGAAACCAAAGAGCCAAGATGGAAGGCTTGTTCTTCAAAGCTTGGGGAAACTTGATCGGTGAGTACTCTGTCCTTGATCTCACGTACGAGCGCGATTGACTCCCTGCTATGCAAGGTATCGCCACTATTTTGGGTAACGTTGTTGGATGCCGATACTTCGCAGGAGTGTGGGAACGTAACCTCGCGGATGGACTGATTTGGGAGCCTTTGGATTATCCAGTGATCTTGACAGGTCAGCAATTCAGTTCCTACTTGGTCTTGGGCTTCTGTAGTGGGCGGAATTTCAGCAGGTGGTCACGAACCAGAAACTGCGCAAATACATTTCCTCGGCATGGGCACAGAACACGCCTTACATCTCTACGGACGTCTTCACCAATGCAGGGTAGATGTTGAAGAGCAGCCACGACCGCCACCATGTCGAAGTGATAGGAAGTTGAGAGACCCGCCAAGACAAGTTCCTACGTATAGCTTTACTCTGAGCGCGGCGGTCGGACCACGTCATCTGGGTATGGAGTGTAAGAATACGTGCAAATTTGATGGCTTGAGGTTCAGAGCAACATTTTTCCGCATTAGGTCTTCAACTTCACAAATACAGTAACCAGGATTGTCATTGTGGTCTTTTGCTACGGAAAACGATACGAAAAACGATACAGGGCGATGATCAAGTATGCTTTGAGCGAGTCGGCAAGTTTTGGTCGGAAGACCAGTTCTGGCCTGCACTAGAAAAGTGCGAAATTTGTCTTATATGAGCTCCAAAAGTAGGATGGAATGACTATGGAGATTCCTAGCCTGGACGACATGAAGCTAGAAAAGGGTCAAACAAGATAGACTGCAATGCTTCTTTTCTAAAAAGAATACCATAGATACACTACTCACTCAAACTAGTCCAAGCGACCACTCTGCTCTCCCACGGTCGCAACAACATCGACTTGACCATTCCGCTTCTCAGATAAAGAATCTCGTCTGTCACCTGGTCATCTACAACAAAGACCTACGATTAGTCATCCCAAAATAGCTCTAGTAAGAGACCTAGGCCGTCCACCTGAATGGTGACAGCGAGGCGTGGCTACATTTCCTTCTTACAGAGGTGTTTTAGGGTGCTGAGGTATCCTTTAGGTCCATTACAAAGGCTACTTCGACGGCTCCAATGATACCAAGAATTGCTGTCATCGTCTTGCCGCCAAATGCTCTGAACTCGTATATGTGAGGACGACGCATGGTAGAAATCGACCTTAGTCGCACTATCCTAGTCCAGTTCCATGCGTTTGTAAGGGCCGTCAGTTTGCTCTAGATGCCGCTTGCGGAGTGGTGTCGGGTTATCGTCATCTGGTTCGCCTGTGATCGTTGGCGTCAGAGGCCCAGGCGTCTGGATGGCTGTCCGCCTCCTGATTATTCTCGGGCGCTGGGATCACTGGGGTCGATCGGCTCCACGTCGATATGACCAGCGTCCAGGCTATCGGGAGTAGATAGGCGTGACCCTTGCCGCCGATACATGCGAACGACCAAGATGCGAGCCAGCGGTCCAGGTAGTGGGTCTACAGAATTTGGAGTTGATCAGGTTGACAAATAGGATCTCGTTCTAAAAGTGCTATGGAGCAATCCGGCTTGGTCGTTGATGCGAGTGCATATGGGGTGTGAATTGTTGTATTGGGAAAGGATGGCCAGGTCAGCTATTCTGGCCTGGCAGAGCTCTTTTATAGCTCTTATCTATCTTATATATAGCTACAGGGTAACCCCCCATGGGGTCACGTATCAGTTGTCCTTGTAAGGCTAAAAGGAGGCCGAGCGGATGGCAGCCGGTATTTCGTAATATTCGTCGAACCGCATACGGAGGAAAGTCTAGGGGGATATGAAAAACTCGAAGCATCCACGATTCAAGAAGACTGCAAGTTGTATGAAAAGGGAGGTGTCGCATTGTTCAAGGAATCTTCGGTCTCTAGCGCTGTCTAAAATTGATGGAAGACGATGGTTGATCTATCTTGGAGAGTGCAGGCAGGTTTGGTAATAGGCACCTTTTTCTTTCAATATTTCCTATTTTTGCCATGGAGTAAGATAATTCATGCTGGCAGAAACCGATATATTAGGCTTTGGCGAAGATGTTCATGTTATAACATCGAATACCGGGACATATGTTTTCCGTGATATGGATTGTTCTACTGGTAAGCATTCTTAGGCACAGCGGATATGTCACAAACACTATAGCAGCTCGAGAGAGACCCCAGAAGCGGAAAATAAGCCAAGATGATGGGCGGCTTAAGAAAAGCCATTGATGCGAGTGCATATGGGGTGTGAATTGTTGTATTGGGAAAGGATGCCAGGTTAGCTATTCTGGCCTGGCAGAGCTCTTTTATAGCTCTTATCTATCTTATATATAGCTATAGGGTAACCCCCCATGGGGTCACGTATCAGCCATTCTCGTAGTTAATCAATAAGATCTAGACTGCGTGGTTCGTTCGACTCAGCACGATGTTCCGGCGGCACGTTAGCGTTTCAAAGCAGCAAGGGGAAGAAGTAAGAGGACTGGGTCACAAAATGGCTGAGTCACGAAATAAAGGTCACCAAATCAAGATCACGAAGTCAGGGCCACGAAATCAGTGTCACGAAACGGCTGGGTCATGAAAAATCAGGACCAAGGAGACAGATTGCTGGATAGGACTTGGGTCAGGAGCGTGAAGCACAGCAAATTTGTTGAGAGAGCGGCATGGGTGCTGATCCATCTTTTAGCCAAGTGTTAATCCCTATAATTGTAATTAATTCATGCCATATGGCTTCCCTGATCTCGCCATTAATTCTCCCGTGCCGATTAGGAGAGGCGCCTGCCAGAAGCGTCCAACGTTTAGCGTTGTTAATGCGCTTACGGAGTCGCTTCCGACTGTTATTCGCGGGGACCGTAAGCTGTGCATTTGTATACAAATCGTAGACGATAGACGCATCACCACGACCAACCTCGGCTTTGATACGGCCGTGCTCTCCCGATCAGTGTTGACAATGGTTCGCAAAGAGCCTCGTAGCTTAAGAAGTAATACATACGCTAATCTTGAAATGAGAGTTGAGGTTTCGACCGGGCGAAAATAACCCTATCAAGTGTCTGTAAAGCTAGGTTTACTGTACTGTTAGTGCTTGTGGTATCGCTCGGCAGGGTGGTACGCCGGAGTAGAGAAACCCAACACTGCAAGATTGGTTCATAATGGTCAGCAAAGAACATTTTCGCATCGGGTTGGACAATAGATCGATGTCACAGTCAGAGTTCATTTGAATCAAGCCATAAATTGGTTCGAACGCATCGTGAAAGCGCGGCAGAGGACTATATAATCCCTTCAGCACATCGGGATTTAGCATGCTATTTTGTTGCACCGTTATTTCGGTCCCACTAAATGCGCAAAGCTGGAAATAGCGGGCGCAAGATCTAGATACTGCTTGTGAATGACGTTAACGTAAATATGCTGCAGGAAATCTATAGGGTACATTCGCATCGGAACGTGTCCTAATTAACCATTGTACTTTGCACTTCCTGAATGGTCTAGGTTACCTGCTGTCTGTGGATATTTCCAGAGATGGTAATTGCCCACGCTCCTATTAATTGGCCATGCCCGTATCGGATTGCCCATAATTGCGCTGACCCTAGCCAAGCAGGACCCTGCATATTTGGTGGTTTGTGACGTAGATCTTCAGACTATCAGCCTATACATCAAAACAGCCTAGGCTTCTGAATTCCTACTTAAGAAAGCTCTATATCTTCATGACTTCAGTTCCTTTAACCCAAATCACCATCCATCTTCCCAATCCTGCGTGTCCACTATCAGCTAATACTTGTCCCAGCTAAGCAAGCGACATGCTCCTGCGGCAAGCAGCCCGCTCTGTCCTGCACATGTAACAAGGCAACCGCCGAGAACACTGTTACGGACGCACGCTGCTCGTGTCGTGCTCGTCCCGCCGGTCAGTGCCACTGCGACAATGCGAGCAAGGAGAATGTATCCGTCAAGGGCGACGCTTGTGCCTGTGGCGCCCGACCGACAGAAGCCTGCACATGTGAGAATGCCGCTGGAAAGGCTGGCAACGTGCCAACGAGATCGACTTCACCACGAAGAAATAAAGAGCACATGTACTAGACTTGGGAGACGGGTCTTGGCTCGCACTTTAAAGGGCATGGACAGCGTTGAGGAGTTCAAGCTTGGTCTCAGCAAGACAGGCAAGACAGGCAAGCAGGCAAGCAGGCAGGCAGATAGGACAGACACTTGTGGTACACGTTTCATCATTAAGCTGGTCATCTCCGACTCAATGAACTATTTGTATTTCATTTATATTTATGGCTCAATTCCAATGAGTCTTCAGTGATTTATCAGCACATCTAATGTATTCCGAATGCTCAAGTGTGTTGGTGAAACAGCTACAACATCGACTCGATCGCCTCAGCTTCAATGCTTTTTGTCGCTGACCACACATGCTGACTATTTTGAGAGCGGCTACGCAGTGATTTTTCGATGTATTAAATTGCATTCAGGCCATCATGAACTCTGCTCGTCACTCGATTCTATCGCCGGAGAATAGAAGCTTGATATAATGTAGGCACATTGTAGGCGACAAGACAGGCGATCACCGAGCTATTATGAGGGCTGATGGATGTGCAGGGAGCTCGCTCTGGATCACTTTCTGGCTGTTCAATCTAGGACAATTACCGTTAGCCCAGAAGGTCTCAGCCCAAACAACCGAACCTCGATGGAACAAGCCACAATACCCGGAGACTCGGTACGTACCTGTGGCATTCTACCTAGGCATCAATACGATTGATTGGCGCTTTGAGGGTTCGGCTCAATTAACAGACCGGCTTATTCCTATATAGAGGAAGGACCGCGCCCACCCTGGCGTGCGACACCTCAACACGACACACTTGACCCGAAGCGACAGCGACGGCCCCGGTGATGATTCAAGGTACATTATTTGATTTGTCTGCTCGGATTTGTTGTCTACTACGAATCTTTTTCTCCTATATGGGGCGTTGCGCGACATGCGTGAATGTCTCACCCCCGGCCCATCGATGACCGGAAGCCTTGTCGCCCGCAAACGGAACATCCAATGTAAAACCAAGGTGAAAACTGGTTGTGCAACCTGCAGGTCAGTCTCAAATCTCATCACCGGTCTACACCCCAAGATTGAGGCTGTAGACCGGAAGTCAGCTCTGCAGTGATTATGGTGCTTACTTGGCAATAGAATAAGAAAGGTCAAATGCGACGAGAACAAGCCATTTTGTCAAAAATGTGTCGACACTGGTCGTACTTGCGACGGCTACGAGTCTCCCTTTAGGTCTCTTACCGGTCGATCCATTAATAACGCTCATGCTGGCAGCATCAAGTCAGGCGCTGGTTTACAACCCATCCGGCCCAACTTGACTGAGATCGCCCCTCAGGACATCGACCTCCTCAATCGTTACTTCTCAACCAAGACCATGTTCGACGTGAAGCTAGGCTGTGATGAAGAAGCCAGGCAAATCCTCCAGGCCAGCTTGACTGATCCGCCGATACGACACGCAGTCTCGTCTCTCAGAGCTCTTCGGGAACATCTCGAGACGTCTGGCGACGTTGCAGCGTCTTTCGCGCAGGAGACCCCAAGTTATGGCTATGAATTTGGCCTCCAGAAATACTGTATGGCTTTAGGGGGTCTCGCGGCCAATCTGTCGTCTCCGGGCTTCAACGGGTTGAAGTCGGCATTACTTTGCTGTCAGATCTTCATCAGCATTGAGCAAGTGCGGGGGAATTACGCTGCCATGGCCCAGCACATGATTCAAGGACTCAGCATCATGCACGAGTATTGGGCAAGGTCACATTTTGTTGCTGCAAATAAATTGGTATCAGCACACCATGACCAGCTACCCTTGCTAGATGTTTTCATCATCAAGCTATTCGCTGCACCGTGCAAGTTCGCGGACCCTCCAGCGACAGCCGATATAAGCGGGACGACGGTGGCCGTGTGTGTGATGTCGCCACATCAACAGACTGTTGAATCTCGCCGTCTTCGCACAATTGCACCCGACATGCGGACAGAGCTTACAAGGATCGCTGCAACGACGCTTGAATTTCTCGGCAAAGTGTCGCATGTCGAATCAGCAGGAAACGCTCTTCAACTACTATCCGAGAAGGCATCTCTGCTGGACTCGTTAGAATCGTGGCTCGTTGATCTTGAACTCGTTCTTACGGACATCAGAGCTCCCGAGCCTATTTCAGTGTCCTTCCTGCGCTTCTTCCATCAGATCCTGAAAATCATTCTCTTGGGGGCATTAGACTCCTCACCAGATCTGTATGCCGAGCTGCGGACCGAGATCGACCGATTGAAGGGCGTAGCTAGCAATATAGATGAAAGAGTAAAGGCTTATAGAACATGGAGTGGGACTAGCAGTGGTCGAGGGGAGCCATCTAAAGTACGCTGATATATTTTATGGCGAAGTGGCGCAATATATTTCGAAGCCACGCACCTGATTCCTGTCTTTTTCACAATCAATGGAATCCGCGGACTTCGTAGCTAGCAATACGTTTCTTATATGCGTGATTTGTCTTGGGCTGTACTCAGACGTGCTCGGACACGGGATAATCCACAACCTGGTCGCATTTGTGAATTATTGGTTGATTTGCCTCACCGATTCAGTCTTGCTACGTGGGGATTATCTGAGTGCTACAGTCACAGTAAAAGGGGAACTCGTAATTCGACTTGACGGAAACATTGCTGCTTTTATTTTCTGTCATTATTTCCAAAGAAGGGAGATTTCTGACTTTCATCGATAACTTCTTCGAACAGCGTCAAATCATCAAACCGATTGCGGCATTCGATTCCTAACGACCGTTTACGTCGGACAGTGACCTCGCATCGCACGCGAAGCGAGGACGCAAGCGATGGCGGCGCCGATGGTGATCGACGGGGGACGGGCGGGACTCGAACAGAGTTTTCACCACCCCCACGCCAACGAAAGTGCCCACGCACCGAACGTGGAGCGCACCAGCAGAAAGAACGCAGAGAGGGAAGGGATCGGAAGAGAACTACAAAAGGTAGAACAAGAGATTGCCGACTTGGTCCCACGTGAGAAGATTGAGGTCATGGGGGGTTTGATGGAGCGTTGGCTGGGGTTGAAACTAGCCGGCAGGACGCTGGAGGAGGGGGGCGACAGACCCGCCACACATGCCGACGTACTGGCAGTGACTCTGGCCCTTGCCGAAATTCCTGCGGCGATCCAGACGATGGTTGAGAAGACCATGCAGGATACGGTGAAGAACGTGGCCTTGCCTACAACTCGATCCTGGGCCTCAATCGCCTCAGGATCGGCCCAGGGACGGGGACCCGGTGAAGCCCCAGTGTGGCAGCAGCGGGTTGTAGTGCCCCAACGAAGGGAGAGAGAGGTAGTGATCCGGGGGACAGAGGACCCTAATATGAAGAACAGATCGGCGGCTGAGGTCGTAAAAGCGGTGAACAGTGCACGCGGCAGCACCGATGCAGTGGCGGCCCGCAGGCTGCGCAGTGGCGATACCGTAGTGACGTTTAAGCAGTCGGCCTCAGCGGCGACCACGGACAGCAGGTGGGTGCGTAGTGCCTTCGGCGATAAGGCACTTCTCAACCGCAGAGAAGTTGCAGTGATCGCGAAGGGGCTGCCTGCGAAACGGCTGCGAGAGGTCCACGACGAGAGCCAGCTACTTAAAGACCTGAAGCGGGACAATACAAAGCACCTCTCTAAGGCTAAAAGAAACCTCCCCCGGGCGCCGCAAGCACCGTATGCGGCCCTGATACTACACGTGGATAGCGTGGAGGCGGCGATGGAACTATGCTCCGAAGGGCTTATTTGGGAGGCCCAGATATTCGATTGCGAGCCGTACGACGGCAATCTTCGGGTTCGGCAGTGCTACCAGTGCTACGAATACGGCCATATCGCGAAACACTGCAAGAAGACGGCGCGTTGCGGCGTCTGCGCTGCAACGGCACACCCAGGGGGTGAAAAAGACTGCCCCGAGAAGGCACCTAGCGGCAAAAAACGTTGTGTGAACTGCAAAGGGAAGCACACGGCGTGGGACAGGGACTGCCCTACGGCAGAACAGCAGCGGCTACGCGTACGCGAGGCGTACGCTCACCGCCCCCGACAATTTGAGGTCCGCAGCTACTCGGACGGGTTATCTAGTGAGGGCAGGCTCACACCACCTAGCTCATTGACCAGCGACGGGTTTACAGTTGTACGACCCCGGGGCCGCCCCCTGGGCGGATCGCGAGTGGAGCAGGAGCGAACCGAACGGTCTGCGTCAGCAATGCGTAGCTTCCTCACTAAGGGACGTACGAACGAAGATATACCATCGACAGCTTAATGGTAGTCTCTATTCTCTACTGGAATATCGCAGATTCAAAGGCGAACGCAACGCTAGCGCTGGATAAGGGGGGTGACTATGATATAATAGCGGTTCAAGAGCCATGGATCAACCGGCAGACGAAGGCGATTTATTGCCCGAAGTCTTCCAGGTACGAAGTAGTGTACAGCAGCGGCAGAGCTGCGCTATACGTCCATAAACGATACGACGTGGCTACGTTGCGACCCCGTACCGGGATGGACTGGAGCAGTATTACGTTCGGGGCAGGCCCGGACGCCCTTACAATCTGGTCTATCTATTCACCAAGCCAGACCGGGAGCCGCTGGGTCAGCCCGCTCCAAGACCTCCCTAATGGGGCGCCGGAGGGGACACAGGTCCTCGTAGGGGACTTCAATACACATCACCCGCTGTGGGACGTCCACGGACGGTCATCACGGGGCAGCGACAACGTAGTGGAGTTTGCGCGATGCTGGCGATTAGAGCTCGTTACGCCGTTCGGGGAAATCACACGGCAAAGGCACAAACAACGAGACTCAACTATCGACCTAGCCTGGGTGACGAAAGGGGCTAGGATTGATTACGATGGGGACCCGGGCCTAGAGGGCTCAGACCACAGAGCGCAAGTGATTAGGGTAATATCCAACGGGGAAGCAGTCAAGGAGGGCCGCCGCAGTGTTGAAGGGTGGAACTGGGCGATGGCGGATAAGTGGCTCATCGTAGCCGAATCAAGCCAGAGATTTATGAATTATTTGCCGGTTGAGACGATAACGGAGTTGGACCAGGCTGTTGACTGGGTTATCCGGAACCTCCAAGAGATCGCCGACGTGGCGGTCCCGAGACGCACCGTTGGCCGAGGCGCTGGGGTCCCGTGGTGGTGCCCGCAGGTTAGCAAGGCTTGCGCTGAGACGAAGAGACGACGGCGGGAGTACCTCCAGGCAAGGTCGCAGACCAACTGGGACGAATATACAAGAGCCGGCCAAAAACAACGGCTCGAAATCAGCGAAGCGCAGACGCGTAGCTGGCACGAGAAGCTCGAGGGGACGGCGAAGGATCACAAAAGCCTGTGGGCACTGCAGAGGTGGGCTAGGCTACGGAGCTGGGCCCCCCCTGAGGCCCACGGCTTGCCAGATCTCCGGAGGGACGCCGGCGACACGCTTACGGCACGTACACATGATGAGAAGGCAAAATTACTAGCTGAGAGGTTCTTCCCAGACCCGTATATAGATCTATCGGACCTCGATCGCGGCCTATTACAGACGAGACCAGAGCTGAACGTCCCTAGGGAGGTGACCACAATGGATATCGAGTCTATCATCAAAGGAACGGCTGCTCGGAAGGCTCCCGGCGACGACCTGATCCCCACTGGCCTGCTAAAGGCCTGCGGTGAACCCCTATGGGAGATCCTAGCGGATCTGGCAACAGCTAGCTTTAGGCTGGGGTACTACCCGGAGCGCTTCCGCTCAGCGAGGGTGGTTGTTATCCCTAAGCCTAATAAAACGACAGCTCAGAAGCAGACCCCTGGCGGCTGGCGCCCCATTGCCCTGCTTAGCACGGTAGGGAAGGTAATAGAGACGGCGATGAGCCAGCGTATCACCAAAGTAGCTGAGGCGGCCGGCCTACTACCAAACGGCCAAATGGGTAACCGCGCTGGGAGGTCCACCGAACTGGCAATACGTATAGTTGAGGACGTGGTCTATACGGCGTGGAGACGCGGGGGCATCGCCTCGCTGCTACAGCTAGACATCAAGGGGGCATTCGATACGGTCAATTACAGACGGCTGATTTCCATATTAGCCCGGAAAGGCTACCCGGAGTGGGTTCAGGAGTGGGTACGCAGCTTCGTGGAGGATAGGACGGTACGCCTCCGGTTCGATGGCAAGGAGTCAGAGCCAATCCCCCTGCTAAGCGTCGGCACCGATCCAGACACGACCTGCCGCCGGTTGGAGAGCGCATGGGCTACGTGTCAGCGGTGGGCAGTGAGGCACGGGATGGAGTTCGCTCCTGACAAGAGTGAGCTAATGCACTTTACTAGGGCCCGAGAGCCCTTGCCGCAAAGTATTCGCCTTGGGGACGCCACAGTGTCGCCGGTAGTCTCAGCCAGGTTCCTAGGAGTCTGGTTCGACCGCAAACTGACGTGGCACGCCCATGTTGAGCGTGTTAAAACAAAAATGGCAACTCAAAAGCTAGCCCTGACAAAGCTAGTCAATATGTCGTGGGGCTGCGATCTTATACGGGCGAGGCTGTTATATACGGTGGTTATCCGTAGCGCGATTGCCTTCGGGGCGACTGCGTGGCATACTATAAGTGAGGAACCGGCAGGGCCAGCTAAGAGCCTGATGGGGATACAGAACGAGTGCCTCCGGGTAGTCTGTGGTGCCCACAAAGCGACGCCGGTTCGCCACCTGGAAGCAGAAGCAGCAATCCCGCCACTAGACCTCTATCTTAGTGCCCGGGCTGCTAAGTTTGAAGAACGGCTACGGCTTAGCGGGAAGAGAAATCTGCTTCGCAGCGCGAGCGCTAAAGCGTCACATATACTCCGGCAGGATAGGCCGGCGAAGAGGAAGCAGGCGTCGCAGCTACTCCGACCGGCAGGGTACACTATGGAGAAGGAGGCCCGGGGCTCCGAGTGGATGAGTGAGGAAAAGGAGGTCCCGGCTGCCCTCCTCGACCACTGGAGGAAGAGATGGCTCACCGGAGCAGAGCATCACGATCGCCAGCGACGCGCTATCGCTGAGGAACCGGAGGGCCCTTCGATGCAGATACCGAAAGGGGGCAAGTATTTCGGCCTGAACCGACTGGAGGCGTCTACGCTGTGCCAGATCAGGACGGAAAAAATAGGACTAGCAGCCTTCTTATTCAAGACAGGGGCTTTTGGCGTGTACTCGCCGCTATGCCGCTGTGGCGATGCCCCTGAGACGGCAGAGCACGTAATCCTCTTTTGCGGGCTGTTGGAAGGACCGAGGGAACGATTACGGGCCGCCATCGCACCACGGCCACTATACTCTCGCAGAGACCTCGCAACGGCAACAGGAGAACCAGTAGTTAGTGGGACTATTGTAAGATGGCTGCTAGGGACGGGTCGGACAGCTTCAAGGCCCAGATAGCATCGATCTTCTCAGGGGGGACTTTGTTGGTAGGTTGAGAACCAACGTAGTATGGTAGTGAACGCAACGCAGTCGCCAATAGGGCGAACCGACGACGCAGCGTATGTATTTAGTCCAGCCATTAGGGCACGGTTTGACATACGGGAGTACTAGTAGAGGTACCGGGGGCTTCGAGCCTACGGCGTATTTAATAATAATAATAATATTTTCTGTCTGAACTAGTCTACGGGCCTGTTGAGGTTGAGGTTGAAAAGAAAGTATCTACGTTTGCCATTCCCATTGCTCGTCAATTGCTAGCGATCGGAGTTGTGGCTTGCTGATCGCTGTGAGGAAGCTTCTTGTCCTCGCCCATGAGTTGACCGAGTACGTCGCCGGACTTCTTGACCGGTTTCTTGGCGGCCTCTTGCTCAGATATGAGGCCGAGAGAGCCGTACACCATATTGATGGCACGACCGTCGATGATGTCGGTGAAGGAGTCAATGTTGACTGTGTCCTCCGAACGCACCATCTCTCGAGCGCGCACAGTGTTGAGGATGCGCATCTCGTCAGGACTGAGAGACGCCTCAAGCTCTTTGTGATTCTGCGCAGTGCCGGACATCTTCAGATCTTCAACCTTTTTCAGGACAGCATCGCGCTTGGCGGCGTCCACGGGCTGCGAGAAGGCGTTCAAGCAAAAATCAACTGTCTTGGTCACTTCTTCTTGGGTGAGCTCGCCGTGGGTGTCGGCAGTTCCTTGAATTACTGCAATTCGTCAGCAACAATTGGGGGTTGAAGGGAGTCTGTCTGCTCAGCTCCACCGAGACACTCACTTGGTCGGAAGTGGGCAAACGCGCGCTCAAAGCCTGCTTCGTCCCAATCGCTAAGAACAGGGTCGTCATGCTCCCTGATTTGCTTGAGTGCGCTCAAAACTATAAGCAGGAAGCGAGTGTAACCTTCAGCAACCTTTTTCGAGTGCCACTCGAGAGCTTCGTGTTCGCTGCATTGACCCTTGATAGAGGCGCAGATGGTTGCGGCTGCCGAAAGCCCACTAGCCACGGCTAGGTGGACGCCGGAAGAGAAGAAAGGATCAATGAAGCAGCCGGCGTCGCCGACAATGCGGGCGTTGTAGCTTGCATAGGAAGAGGCGCTGTACGACCAGTCGGATGCGGCCTTGATTTCATCAGAAATAAGCGTAGCATCCTTGAGCATTGGTCCGAGAATTCTAGGCACAGATTTGAGCATTTCCAAGTAGAATACCTTGCCGCCTGGAGAGCCCATCTGCTTCTTCTTACAGGTAGCGATTTCCTGGTTTATGACCACGCCGACGGACGTGGTGCCGTTGTGTAGAGGAATGAACCAGGCCCAGCCGCTGCCATCTGGAGTTGGGAAAATATCAGCAACACTTTTCGACAGATGGGAGACGAATGCAATGCAAACCTGAGAGAGCCTCGAAGTAAGGAACGCCCTCCTGTGGCGTCCCGACACCGTAACGTCCGGCGCCCGCCCAGTAGCCCCAGCTGGCAACGTTCTTGAGACCCTGGTTGAAATGGCGATTCTTGAGGTGTTTTGTGCTCATGATGCCGACTCGACCGCTGGCGTCGACAATGTAATCGAACTTGATTACGCCCGAGGTGCCGTCCTCCTTGCGCGTCCAGGTAGCTGACACGGGACGGCCGGGGTCCAGAGTCTTGTCGTCTGCGGTAGTTGGGCCTTCATGGGGCGCAAATTCAATCGCCGAGACCTTGACGCCATCGAAGATTTGAGCGCCGCTCTTGCCCGCATGTTTGAATATGAGGTCGTCGGCCTCGGAGCGGATGACGTTCCAAGAATAGGCATTTGGGCCACCGGCGCCAATGAAGTCGGTATCTGTTCGGCATTAGGGGAGCTCTAAATGCCGGTTCGTTCGAGAATGACTTGTGGACTCACAAGCTGGTTCCTTCTTGTTCAATACAAAGGCTGCACCAATCTGTGCAAGCAAGATTGTCAGCTTTGCCTAGCAAGGTCCGGTCTGGCCCTTTTGTGACGTACCTTCTTGTAGAAGCCATGCGCAACGAAAGTGTCGTCGAGGTCGACAAATCTGAAGAAGTGGCGCAAGGATGGCAGCATGCTCTCTCCTATATGGTATCTACGGATGATTTAGAACCAATTATATCCCTTGCCAACTGGGGTGGCATTTGTCTGGCAACGCTCACCTGGGGAACTTGTCGCCTTCGAGGACGACAGTGTCGATTCCCTCCCGGGCCAACGCCGAGGCTGCATACGAGCCGGCCGGGCCACCACCGACGACGAGGACCTTAGCATGCTCTGGAATAGACATTTTGCTCTGTTTTGTGTGATTGTATAGTGTGTACGGAAGAGAAGTCGATCACGTCGAAGAAATATGGCACCTCCACAGACTAGCCGGATCATGGCAGAACCAGCCAACCTTATAGGAGTCTCGCATGATGAGGCGCACTCTATTAGAAGTCACCGACCGTGTTCCCGTGAGAAACGGTATCCGAGAGCTGTAATAGCCAATATTGCCGGAATTTCGACGGTCTTTACTTGTACCGCGGCAGACGTGAGGCAGTTGTCAGGGTGGGTACATGATGGTCCGGTCGGTGCTTTTTCTTTCGGTGTCCGTTGGATCCCGGTCTTATAAGACGACAAGGTTTGAGGTCAACGACTTTGGTTCTACTTTTTATTCGGAAGAACACCTTTCTAACGAAGCAGACAGGATTGACGTCAGCCGTCATCGGAATGGACGAGATATTTCGCACTCAAAGCTTCACCTCGTCAGACCTCAACACCTCCAAGATGGAGATGAGCAGTATTATGTCGCCGCCGCCTCGAGACGACTCTGTCCAAGCCATACAAGCAGAGGAAAAGGTGCAGCAGGTGAGTGAGTATCCTGACGGCGGGCCGACGGCCTGGCTCGCTGTCGCTGGCGGAACTGCTTGCTTGTTCGTGTCGTTCGGATGGGTCAACGTCATTGGCGTCTTCCAGGAGTACTACCAGTCCAACCAGCTCCACGATTACACGCCGTCTGATATCGCCTGGATACCTTCACTCCAGAGTACGTTTGGGCCCTGGCAGTGCCACCCACCGGTCTTGTAGTCTCTAATGTTGAGCAGTTTTCTTCATGTTCGCTGGCGGCATCTTCGCCGGCAAGGTCTTCGACGACTTTGGCCCCCGATACCTGCTCATCACCGGCACATTTTTGCATGTGTTCGGCTTGATGATGACCAGCATCTCCAAGACGTACTATCAAATCCTGTTGAGCCAAGCAGTCTGCTCCGCCATCGGCTCCTCGCTCGTTTTCAGTCCTGCGTTTTCAAGTGTATGCCCCAGTCTTTCCCGATGCTCGCAAACGCCGGCCAACTGAGTCTGGTTTTTTTATAGGTATCTACATGGTTTCTAGAGAAGCGCGGTGCCGCACTCGGTGTCGTTGCCGCTGGCTCATCCCTCGGCGGTCTCATCTTCCCAGTCCTCATCATCAATCTACTCCCTCGAGTCGGCTTCGGGTGGACCCTTCGCTGCTGTGCCTTCCTGATCCTGGCGCTTTTGCTGTTTGCAAACTTTGCTCTCACAAGTCGTATCAAGCCTCAGAAACGCCCACTGGTATTTGTGGCATTCGTCCGGCCCATCCGAGAGCCGGCCTTTGCCTTATGGACTGTCGCAGTCTTTTTCTTCTACTGTGCGCTCTGGTCAAACACCCCTCCAGATCGTACACGACACTGATATTCCTCCAGGGGGCATGTTCATTCCTTTCACATTCATCGTCGCCCATGCAACTGTGCACGGCATGTCGCCTCATCTCGCCCAATACCTTGTCTGCATCCTGAACGCTACGAGGTAAGAAAGCCGGCGCCCTCTCTCCCGTCCCCCCAGCCACCCCAAAGCTCCTGGCGATAATTGCAATCAGCTGATATCTACGCTTCCAGCCTTTTCGGGCGCACCGTGCCCAATGCAATTGCTGACAAAGTCGGACACTTCAACGTAATGATCGTCATGAGCGCCTTGACGTCGATCCTGATCCTCGGCCTTTGGCTCCCCTCGACTGGCAACGCACCCATCATCCTGTTCGCAGCGCTCTTTGGCGTGTCCTCGGGCGCTGGCATCAGTCTCACGCCCGCCCTCTGTGCCAAGCTCTCGCCCATTCAAGACATTGGTGTCCGCACCGGCACAGTCTTTACAATCTCGGCATTTGCCGGGTTGACTGGGTCCCCCATCGGCGGTGCCATCATTTCAAGTAGCGTAGGGTCCTTCACCAATGCTATCGCCTTTGGTGGCGCAGCTTGCGCAATTGGGACGATGCTTTTCGTGGCTACCCGGATTGCCCTTGTCGGCTGGAGGCCGGCAATGATTTGAGGTGTTGGCAAGAGAGACACCTGTTGCGAAGCCTGGATTTTACTTTGATTGATTATCTTAGACTTAGCGTACCTAGTATCTATTACTGGATTCATTGCCTCGCAACCTTTGTAAGACCTCCAAGACTGCGCTCTCCTTAATTTGTGGAATACGCACTGGCGCATTGTCGAGGATTTGGAGTGTTCTCCATAGCCCGGCACTCACCAAGAATACGATATGAAAGCATCCTGGTCGCTTTTTGGCAAACTTTGGGATAGCTCGTCTTTATAGCGGCCTCTATCGTCCCGTCGTAGACTCCTGTCCATCCATGCTTGCTGCCCAATCACTTGCTTCGCCGGCGTCAGAAATCCCTCGAGTGTTACAGTAGCATCCTGGACATTGCCACGTCCTTTGACAGCCATTGCGGAGGTGTCTGGGAGCCGCTGCTTTTCTAGATGGCATGCGCTGAGTAGGGCATAAAAGTGTTACAGAGCTGGCACTTCGCAATTCATTCCTCTTCAGATTGATTTCTATCCTGTTCACTACCCTATTTACGTGCGGCAGCCGCAGCAGCCATAGCCTCCTTGTCAGCGGCCAACAGCTTTGATATGGCTGGCCTATTGATGACGCGGTCCCACCAAGCACTCACGGCTTTGCGACTGAGGATGACGTCTCCATACCCGCTCGCGAAAAGTCTCTGGATCAGCGGAATGTAGTAGATATCCGCAAGAGTGAAGTTCTTCCCAGCCATGTAGTCTTTGTGTTGCAAGAGACGTTCTGCCACGTCGAAAAACGCCTCGACCGACCGCAGTGCACCTGAGACCACGACTTCATCGGGAGGCAGGCCCATGAATCTCTTGCCAAATTTCTCAAATGCGATTTTACCTGCAGGGTCGGCGAAATAGAGGATTTCTTCCGACTGCGCCTGGTCAAACAGCGCCGTAGCTTCGACGTCTGAGTCCGGGGGTAGAAGCGGGAACGAGTACTTTCGCGCGAGGTATTTGCAGATTGCGCGACTCTCGTAGATAATGAAGCCATCGGGGAAAGTGACGACGGGTATTTTACCCCACGGGTGACGTTTCATGTTTTCTTCAGACTGGGTGCTGTGGCGTCAGCGATATACAATTTTACAGTTTGCTCAGGCGTCGTATTCCCAAGAGAAATAGTTCACCCACCTTTTGTTCCCCTTTTTGCAGGTTGATGAGCACGAGATCGTAATCCGTGAAGCCACCTTCGGCGAGAGTCAGGCGGACACGGTCCGTGTTGGTCGAACCGCGAGCGCCATACAGAGTAAAAGCTGGCATTTTGGGGCGTTGCAATAGTTGTGACACGAATCTAGGGCTGTTGGTAATAAGCTTCGACATGTGCAAGCAAGTGCGGTACTCCTCTGAGGCTTTGAAGAGAGAAATTGGGCCAGACACTCGGTATTTTAAGTCGATCGAGATGACTGGACCGAGCCTCGGAACGGGGCTACATGTAGGTAAGACGGATAATCGCGTTGGATGAAGCCCGCCGTTTCAACATCACGTATGGTTGGTGGGTTCGCTCTCGCTACCCGATCGAGCTAGCACCGACCGGGGTCCGACGTGATCGGCTTGATTATGTCTTTATTGCTTGCTTATTCAATGACGAATCAGGTGTTGCGGTCAACTCAGGTGTTGCGGTCAACACCTGAGAGTTTCTATAGACAGACGGGGTATGCGGGACGTGACATGGCAACGGGACCAAGAGCGCTCAGTCCGCTCAACCCGAGCACTACTGATCAATGAGAGACGAACGGGAATATATAAGGATCAGTCTTTACCATTTAGAATAGCTAGTTCAGTTCTTCAGTGGTCAATCCAGGTATTCAGCTTAACCACCCGAATAAGAGTTATCTCTTGACGGCCTTATTGACAAACGTGTTTATTCGTTACTTGCTGCTCGATAAAGCCAAGACTTCTTAGGACCCTGATAGGCTCTGTTACATATAAAATAAATATATATTTATGTCACCGTTTTGAGCCTCCTAGCTTAAAAATGTGATGGGCTCAGTTGAGGATTTTGACAATTAGCTGAGCGACTGCAACGAGTATCCTAAAGCTAGGGAAGAAAGGAAGGAGAAGAAGGAGAAGGGGAAATAAAGCTTAGAGAGCTCTTGAGCTCTCTGGGTCCACCATATTGGGCCTGATTGGGCTCAGCCCATTATCAAAAATAAAAAAAATAATAATAATATTAAATACGCCGTAGGTGTTAACCCTCGGTACCTCTACAAGTACTCCCTTAAGGGGCTATAGATGATATAGCGGGCCCTTAAGCCGCGTCGGGCGGTTATACAGGTAAACTTGTAGCCAAACGACTACTAAACCTCCTGTCCCTCCCTAAGTCTGTGCTACAACCCCTGCCTGAACTACCGATAAGTGTGGTAATGTGGCACTTAAATTCGTCCTCAGGGGTGGGATGCTGCTGATGTGCAGAAGATGCTCGACTATTTTTTTTGTCGCGACAAGTCGTAGTATCTGCTAATTGGGGTTCTCGTCGAGCGTATACATCTCAACCATACGCTCAAGTGGATAGACCGTAACGTGGTCTAGACGCTCGCAAGAATCGCGGCGAGAGGGGGTCCGATAAGGGGTCGGATTAACGATTCGAATTCTGGACCGGCTGTCGAGTTATATTCCGCCGACGTAGTGCTTGACGGTCGACTGGCTAGGATGCTCGTAATCCTAAACTGCACCAATCTCCCTATTATCGCTAGGTAGGCGAAGTCAACAAGGTGGGCAGCGCGCCGTAAGGGTTGACTAAACCCCCTTGTGTGTCAGCTGCGGGATTCGAACCCGCGACTCGTCACCGACCCAAGTGGGCGAGGCTCAAGTCGGGACTTATCTACCAGCGAAGTGACCAACTACACCAGCCGACTTAAAAAAAATAAAACACTAGTTGGTTGCATTGAGGGAGACGCCGAGGAGGCGTGACCACAACGGAGACAGATAGGAGTTGTTTCGCACAACTTCACTGTTGAGATCCGAAGGGCAAGGCTAGAAATGTGCCCTTCATTCTAGAATAAAATAAGAGTTATGGCGAGCTAAACACGGCGTTAGCACGGCGTTAGCCCATCCAGGTCTACATCAAAGGACTACACGAGCATTTGCGGCTGAGGTCGGTTTCCGACGACCACCGCACTCAGAGTGCTTACCTGCTCGTTTCAGTCAGCACGCGCCAAAATGGCGAGGTTTGAATTCTTCTTGATCGAAGAAAACCAAGCATTTGGAAACAAATATCCCGGCCAAACTATACTGATAACATTGATGCCGCAATATTAAGACCGAATTGGTCGTTGATCCAACCACATCGTCTTGTGTAGAGTAATCCATCATGGCAACTTTGGCAAACGTCAAGATCGACCGCGCATTCTGGAAGGACTACCTCTCAGCCCAGGCAAGCCAATTGCCCCACCTCGACGACGTAGAAGATGTTACAGACAGAGTCGTCAGGGTGATGGGAGGAAACCCCGGGGAGATGCAACTCCAGGGAACCAACACCTTCCTCGTCGGCACTGGCAAAGCAAGGATTCTAATCGACACTGGCGAGGTATGTAAGCGGAGCGGCGGGCAGAGACATTCTGTACAACGGTGCAATTGATCCTGACACTATCCACGTAGGGAATTCCAGTATGGGCTGAACGACTGGTCGAAATTTTAAAAGAAAGAGATCTCCATATTTCTCACGTCCTACTTACGCACTGGCACGGCGATCACACGGGCGGTATACCCGACCTCGTTGCATACGATGCTACCCTCGCAGATCGCATTTACAAGTGCAACCCTGATCCAGGCCAACATGACATTGAAGACGGTCAGATATTCGCAGTCGAGGGTGTCACTATCAAAGCCCTCTTCACGCCTGGTCACGCCGTTGATCACATGTGCTTCTTACTCGAAGAGGAGAACGCTCTATTTACTGGTGATAATGTGTTGGGACACGGCTTTACCGTCATCGAGGATCTAGCGCTGTACCTTCAAAGTCTCGACCGTATGGCCGCACAGGGCTGCATCATCGGATACCCGGCTCATGGGGTTAGAATCGAGAATTTGCCAACCAAAATCAACCAGTACATCAGGCAGAAAAGGGGGCGGGAGAAGTTGATTTATGGGGCACTGCTCGACAGTATGTTGAATGGGGGACGAAACGCAAACAGCAAGTCCGGTTTGTCGACGAGGGAGATTATCAGTAAAATCCACGGAGACGTTCCACAGGACCTGCTCCAGAGTGCAATCGAGCCGTCCACGATGGAAATTCTGCAGATGCTGGCTGACACTCGCAAGGTGGGCTTCGCTATGCAGGGCGGCACGCAGCGATGGTTCGTCAACAAAAGGTGCAAGGTGGCGACGTAGGGTAGGCCACTGGTCATATATATAGAGAGATTATAGAGCTATCCGAAAGAATGTTGTAAACTTCCAGGCGTAAAGCTGTTATTGTAGCGCAAGGCGGGACTTGAACGCAAGTTGATAGAATAGAATATGCACAAGCGCCGTCGTCGAGAACAGGAGACGAGGCCACGTGAATACTCTTCATAGTTAAATAAAATTCAGGCAACTCACGTTTGGACAAGATATGAGGTTTGGAGAATACGTGCTCATCACCTGATGCTGGCGGCGTGTGCAAAGTCGAACCAATGAAAATGCACCCTGGATGGTGTCTCCCTCCTTGCCGGGAAGCGGAGACTCTTGAGACGGTCCCTGTCCCTTTCCCGGTGCTTTTCTAAGCGTGGTGATCTCCTGTCCTCCTGTGCTCGGGGCTTTCACGCTCCGGCTCTCGTCGGTTCCCGTGCCATGCTTGACATCTGACCGGGCCGGACAGCGTAGGATAATCACACTGATGCTGATGCTTACTGGTTCGGCTTCTTCTGTATTCGTTTCGATGTATGGTAAATGACGGCTAATTTAAGTATAGCCCTTCGAAAGGAAGATAAACATCGGTTTGCGCCGCCTGGTTTGCATGCCACCTTCTCTTTCCATCACATCAACCACCGCTCTTCTTGACGTGCAACCATTATGACCGCCACTCCCTCAACGGAAGGTCTCAGCGACTTTACTTCGCGGCTGCTGTTTTTCAGCAACGAATTTCCCAATGACGACCTGCGTGATTTGTTTCGCCGCCTCCACACTCACAGCAAACGCCAGAGATTTCGCCTCCTCGCCATTTTCCTGGACGCTTGTGGCGACATGGTCCACGAAGAAGTCGCAGCGTTGCCCTTGCACCTGAAGAAGCTCGTCCCTCCCTTCAAGTCGGTCTTGTCTCTCGCCGACGACCCCGGTTTCAGACAAGGTCCTGTAGGCGGAGCACTGGAAAGCGCCCTGCTCTGCGTCCTGGAGATTGGCATGTTCATTGGGTCAGGCTACCGCGCAGAGTACAAGCACAAAAGAACCATATACTGACTTATTCCGCAGTCACCATGAAGCCGATAATCTGCCTGTCGACCTTCCTAGTGCTAGAACGACGCTCTCTGGCCTCAGTATTGGGTTATTTGCCGCTGCTGCCATCTCCGTCTCGAGAACCTTGGCAGAAGTCGCCATTAACGGTGTGGAAAGCATAAGAGTCGCCTTCAGACTGGGCATCCACGTTGACGGCGTGTCTGGGAGACTCGAATCGCGCGATCAAGATGGAACCTATGGCAGCTGGGCCTATGTGCTGACCGGCGTGTCCGTCGCAAAGGTGCAGGAGCAGCTCGACCGCTACAACACAGAATCGGTAAATATTAGCTCTCTATACTTGCAGACGTGTGCCCCTATTAATATCAATATCTTTCTAGTCCAACCCCACGCCGACAAAAGTCTTCATCAGTGCGTCGGATAGGACCTCAGTCAGCGTTACAGGTCCGCCATCTCGCCTGAAAAACGCATTCAGGCACTCTGAAGCTCTGCGCTACTCGAAGCACCTCCCGATGCCTGTATACAATGGATTGTGCCACGCGCCACATCTCTACACGGCTGAAGACGTCCAGTCCATCGTCCACGGCTCTGCACCCAAGTGCACTCACTCTCTTAGCATCCGGCTGCCGCTGCTCTCGCCACAGACGGGCAAACCATACCTCGCTTGCAACGCAGGCGAGCTTTTTGAAGAAATCGCCTCTGACATTTTAATGGGTGGCATTTTCCTCGATAATCTGAGTGGCGGAATATTGGATTCGATCTCGGATTCTGGATCGGCAGAGTGCGAAACATCTCTATTTCGCTCGTCTCTCGTCTCCAGGAGCATATTAGCAACCATTACAGAGGGTCTTGGCCAAGTAACGATGAAGAAGCACGTTGATTTTATCGACTGGTCTTTCGAAAATATCGCGCCTAGCGCACCGCGAACTGCTGCCCAGTCTACTCTGGCCATCGTTGGAATGTCGTGCAGGCTTCCCGGCGGCGCAAATGACTGTAAGCTTTTCTGGGACCTCTTAAAAGAAGGAAGAGACACACACACAAAAGTTCCAGCCGACAGGTTTGATCTACAAGCACATTTCGATCCATCTGGCCAGGTCCCCAATTCGACGCCCACACCTTGGGGGAACTTCATTGATCAACCGGGCATGTTTGACGCCGCCTTCTTCAACATGTCCCCAAGAGAGGTAAGTAATATAACCACGAGAAGGCTGTCTTGCAATAGTTCTTTTTTTTTTGACTGGTCGATTATAGGCAGAGCAAACAGACCCCATGCATCGGCTGGCCCTCGTCACCGCCTACGAAGCGCTCGAAATGTCTGGTTACGCACCCAACAGGACGCCCTCCACGACTCTAGAGCGGATTGGCACATACTATGGCCAAGCAAGCGACGACTGGCGGGAGCTGAATGCAGCTCAAAACATCGGGACACACGCGGTGCCAGGAGGGGAGCGAGCCTTTGCCAACGGACGCATCAACTATTTCTTCAAGTTCGGCGGTCCAAGCTTCAATATCGATACCGCATGCTCCAGCGGGTTGGCTGCTGTCAATGCCGCATGTTCGGCGCTCTGGGCTGGCGAAGCGGATACTGTCATCGCGGGCGGTCTCAGCGTCATTACAAATCCCGACAACTACGCCATACTGGGTAATGGTCATTTCCTGTCCAGGACGGGTCAGTGCAAGGTGTGGGACGAGGGGGCCGATGGGTACTGCCGAGCTGACGGCATCGGCTCCGTCGTAATCAAGCGCCTGGAAGACGCAGTTGCGGACAACGACAACATCCTTGCCACCGTCCTGGCTGGCGCAACAAACCATTCTGCATATGCCGCCTCCATCACTCAGCCCCACGCTGGGGCACAGAAGAGCAACTACGCTCAGGTCACACAAGCTGCGGGTATTAACCCTCTCGACGTGGGCTATGTCGAACTTCACGGCACCGGAACTCAAGTCGGTGACGCGGTCGAGTCCGAGTCGGTTTGCGACTTTTTTGCTCCCCTCTCACCACGTCGCCACGCCGACCAGCCTCTTCACTTGGGAGCTGTGAAATCCAACATTGGGCACGGGGAGGCCGCTGCGGGCATTGCCTCGCTAATCAAGGTGCTGCTGGTCCTCCAAAACAATGACATCCCGCCACATGTTGGGATTAAGACGGCCATCAACCCCATCATACCTCTGGATCTGGGGAAGCGACAGGCTGGACTTGCCATGGATCTTCAACCGTGGCCGAGGGAAGCTGGAAAGACTCGGTATGCTGTTGTGAACAGTTTCGGGGCCCACGGTGGTAATACCACGCTGATGCTCGGAGACGCCCCAGAGAGGAAACTCTGCGGCTCGGATCCCAGATCAAGCCATCCGGTAGTAATCTCTGCCAAAAGCAAAAATTCTCTCAAAGACAATCTGACGGCCCTCGTCGAATATCTCGACAAGCATCCAGACACCGATCTAGGTGACCTGTCGTATACGACCACTGCTCGGCGAATCCATCACAGCTCCAGAGTGGCAGTCTCAGCTTCCAGCATTCCTCAGTTACGAAAAGCTCTGGTATCAACCCTGCCTACCATTGGGGAAATCCGCCCCGTGTCGGCAACCGCACCTTCAGTCGCATTCGCCTTCACCGGCCAAGGCTCATTTTATCTGGGAATTGGCGCGGCATTATTCAAATCATTCCCGTACTATCGCCAACAGATTGCCCACCTCGATCATTTGGTGCAATTATTCGGCTTCCCCTCGGTAATTCCACTCATCGAAGGCATCCCCGGGGATGATGGCGTCTCTCCTCTCACAACGCAACTCACCATCGTCGTCACCCAGATTGCCCTCGCCGAATTCTGGTCGTTGCTTGGAGTCAAACCTAGCGCTGTCATTGGCCACAGTCTGGGCGAATATGCGGCTTTGGTCGTGGCTGGTGTAATATCGGCAGCCGATGCCATCCTCCTCGTGGGAAAACGTGCAGAACTCGCCGTCTCCCAATGCGAAGAGGGCAGTCACGTCATGCTTGCGGTACGCGCAAGCGTGGACAAGATCAAGAGCATTGCTACGGATGGAAGATACCAGGTGTCATGCATGAATGGAACCGATGACACGGTCTTGGGAGGCTCTCGAGAAGACATTGAGGATACGCGAAAGGCTCTGGAGCGCGAAGGCGTCAAGTGCACGCTCCTCGATGTCCCCTTTGCCTTCCACACCAGTCAGATGGACATCATTTTGAGGCCGTTCGAGCAGCTGGCAAAGCACGTCACTTACAAAACCCCGAGGATTCCCATCCTCTCTCCACTGCTCAACACTTGCGTGTTTGATGGCAAGACCATCAACGAAAAGTACCTGAGTAAAGCGGCTCGGGAACCGGTCAATTTCGTCGGTGCTCTCGAAGCTGCCCAGGAATTCGGCATCATTGACGAGAAGACCACGTGGATAGAGATTGGGATTCACCCCGTGTGCGCCTCGCTCATTCGAGGCTACATTGCAGACGCACAGGTGACTGCATCGCTCCGTCGCAATGAGGACAACTTTGCGACCTTGTCAAACACTCTGGCATCACTCCACCGTGTTGGTATTGCTGTCAATTGGAATGAGTACCACCGCTCGTACGAAAGATGCCACACCCTCCTATCGCTCGATACTTATAAGTGGAATGAGAAGAACCACTGGATACAATATGAAGGCACCTGGACTCTGGATAAGGCCTATCCGAACGGCAACCCGAACAATAAGACGACAGCGCAAAGCGGTTCTGCACTGCGGACTTCCTCCATGCAGCAGATCGTATCAGAGGAAATCACCGAAAACACAGGCAAGCTTGTCGTCGTCTCAGACATGATGCATCCAGAGTTATTGAGCACCCTGGACGGCCACCGCATGAACGGACATGGCGTGGCGACTTCGGTGAGTTGCAGACGGTGCGCTACGTAGCCGATTTCTCGCGTGCTAACTCTCAGTGCAGTCAATTTGGGCTGATATGGCTCTGACCGTCGGCGAATACCTGTACAAGCGCATGGTTCCAGCAGCGACCGGGACGGTGCCAATGAATATTTGCGACATGCTAGTGGAACACGCTCAAGTCGTGATGTCGAACCGAGAGGGTGCGCAGCTTCTGCAAGTAGAAGCCGAGATGGACCTCGAGGACCTGACAACGGCTGTGCGATGGTACAATGTGGACGGCATGGGCAATCGCTCTCAAGAGCCATATGCTACTGCGACAGTCAGATACGAAGACCCCGACGAATGGGCAGCCGAGTTCAGCAGGGTGTCGTGGCTCGTGGACAGCCGCGTCGAAGCGCTGACGGCCTTGGTCCCCGGAGGCTCCGCCAGCAGGCTGGGACGCGGCCTGGCGTACACACTGTTCGAAAACGTAGTCTCTTACTCGGACAAGTACCGTGGCATGCATTCCGTCGTGATCCACGAGCTCGAAGCCTACGCGGACGTGATATTGGCACCCGAGAGACACGGCACCTGGCACACGCCTCCCCACTGGATCGACAGCCTCTTCCACGTCGGCGGATTCGTCATGAACGGCAGCGAAGCCTCCAACACCAAGGACTATTTCTACGTCACCAACGGCTGGAGCAGCTGCCGCATGGCGAAGTCGGCGGTTGCGGGCGGTAGCTACCGGAGCTACGTGCGCATGGCGCCTGCGAGCGAGGCCAACATGTTCTCGGGCGACGTCTATGTTCTGCAGGACGGTGCGGTTGTGGGCATGATGGGTGGCATGAGGTTCCGCCGTGTCAACCGCATCCTGATGGATAGGTTTTTCTCGCCGCCAGATGTGGCAGCGGCGGGGGGCGTCGCGGCCGAAGCCGCGACGTCCTCGGCACATGCTCCGACCACTCCTGTCAAGCCCCAAAAAGCGATGCTGCCCAAACCCAAGCCCAAGCCTGTGGCATCTCAACGCGCTTCTTCCGCAAAGGCCAAGCGCACCACCGCACAGGCAACGAGGCCCTCTGTGGAGCAAGTTGGAGAAGAAGCAGAGGACGAAGAAGAAGATAAAGAAGCAGAAGCAGCTCCCGCGGGCAATGGTGACAGCAACGTCGGCGAAATGGCAGGAGGCATCGTCCGCGACGCGCTGAAGCTCATTGCCAAAGAGACGGGACTCGACCTGTCTGACCTGACCGACGAGGCTCCATTTGTGGAGCTAGGGATCGATTCCCTCACTTCGCTGGTGTTGGCCGAGAAGTTTAAGCAGGAGCTGTCGATTGAGGTCAAGGGTTCGCTCTTCCTAGAGTGTCTCAATGTCGGGGATCTCAAGGGGTGGATAGAGCAGAATGCCTGAGGCGGAAAGGGTTCTTTAGCGTCTGCGAACTGACTGTATTGGTATTTTTTTCCTTCCTATAGATGTGTGGTTTTTCTTTCATACGAAGCATGACATGGAACGGCAAGTAGACCCAGACGCAATTATCGTTATGCAGAGCCTCGGTATACGTCCAGGTCAAAGTGTACGTTGCACGTCATCACTTAGATGCGTGTATGTGGATTGATGCATTGATTGCCAAATACAACGCCGTAAATTTTCCATTCATCATTTTGCGAGCTTCGTCAATTCAATCAGGTCAGTCAGTGACTTGTGAGCGAGCTGTATTAGGATAGGTCATGTAGAAAGACGGCGTTTGCGAAATCCCGACGTCTTCTTGATTGATCTTAAACGAGTATGCTATCAACTGGTAACGTAGTCCACGGTCCAATTGCATACTTCGGCAGATTTTCGTACGCTACCACTTTGACCTGCGGTTTTTCACCACATAACTATGGTTGGTTCTTGGAATGAAAGTGATATGATTCTAGCAATACATGCGCTTCAATCTGATCCAAAATTAAGTGTACGTCGCGCTGGTCAGATCTTTAACGTACCTTTTAGAACCCTTGCGTATCGACGCGACGGTAAAACCGCTCGAGCGATTACGCGATCGCCAACGCAAAATTTGACTCCTTCCGAAGAAGAGGCAATCTTACGACATATAACCGACATATATTCGCGAGCATTTCCTTCCCGATTGAGTGGTGTTGAAGATATGGCCAACCGATTACTTCGAAGTCGCGACGCGGGACGCGTCGGCGTCAACTGGGCCTTGAGCTTCGTAAGACGACAACCAGACCTCCGGACGCGTTTAAATCGAAGGATCGACTATCAGAGAGTCCTCTGCGAAGACCCCGACGCGTATCGCGCGTGGTTTGACCTGGTACGGAATACAATTGCGAAATACGCGATCCAGGAGGAGGATATCTACAACTTCGACGAGACCGGTTTTGTGATGGGCCAAATCTCGTCCGAAATGGTCGTGACGACTTCTGATCGGCGCGGAAGGCCTAGAGCAGCTCAGAAAGGAAATCGGGAATGGGTTACAGTTATTCAAGGCGTTGGGTCGTCCGGTTATGCCCTCCCTCCGTACATCATTTTCGCCGGCAAAACCCACCTCTCGTCATGGTACGAAAACAGCCCATTACCGCCTGGTTGGGTTATCGCAGTTACTAAAAATGGCTGGACTACGAACGAGAGAGGCGAAGATTGGATAAAACACTTCGATCATCACACCAAGTCTCGTACGAAAGGTACTAATCGCCTATTGATCCTCGACGGTCACGAAAGCCATCACTCGACCGATTTCGAGGTATATTGCAAAGCTAACAATATCGTCACGCTTTGTATGCCTCCTTATTCGTCGCATAAGCTCCAGCCTCTTGATGTTGGTTGTTTTCGCGGGTTAAAAAGAGCGTACGGAAAAGAAATCGAAGATCTCGTGCGAGCACATATAAGTCATATCTCGAAAGAAGACTTTTTACCGGCGTTTTTAAACGCGTACAACGCAACTTTCACGGTTTCAAATATCCAAGGAGGTTTCCGAGGGGTAGGAATAGTTCCGTACGATGCAGATTATGTCATATCACAGCTCGATGTGAAATTACATACGCCAACACCTCCGGGTAGCTCGGCTGGTCTCCCCGTCCCCTGGGAATCAAAGACTCCGAACAACCCAACCGAAGCCCAATGACAAAGCGATTATGTGAAAAATATGATTGTACGACATTAAAATAGCTCACCAACGTCAATTTTTGCTGGAATAGATCAGATTGAGCGAGGTACAACGAAGGTTATGCATCGGCTTGCCCTTTTAGAAGGCGAGGTCGAATCACTTCGAAAGGCAAATGAGACCTTAAGTCGACGTCGCCGTGCGAAAAAAAAACAGCTACAGAGTGGAGGGTCACTTCGTAAACAAGCTGGACAGGACCTACAGTCTCAACAAGAGGTTGATGGGCAGTTACATGATGAATTTCGTCAAATTGGTGGTCGTACGAGGCGGCGAATTGCGCGTGTACGGCGCTGTAGAATCTGCGGCGAGCCCGGACATAATGCGCGCACTTGTGGAAATGATGTAGAGACGTCTGAAGATAACGATTCTGAGTAGTTTCAATTGATGATAGGCGTTGTGGTTGAATTAACTTATACATTGTCGTGTAAGGTCTGCCAAAGTGTACAATTGGACCGTGGACTACGTTAGCAAAAGTAATCTAAGCCACTACATGGTACTGGATCTTCTATTGTCCGCTGATTGGGAAAGCTCCTTTACATTTAATATACATATTGTGGAATTGGTGGCCTAAGGTCACGTGGGATACGGGCAAGATACTCAAGTGCCTTTGTGCGGCTTAGACCCCCCACCTGTACTTTCCTTCTTCACCTTCGTATGTAGCTGGAATACTAGTACCAGTGCGATTCCACACATATAGTAGAACACTAGAGCTAAGCTTTCACAAAGTTAAACTAAGACACTAATATATGCTAAGAAACATTCTAGGAATTCTATTGGTTATATCCCCGGTTTCAGAAATCCTATTTGTCAATAATTGTTTCGTACATAACACTGTCGACAAAAAGATTAATCCGAAGGCTTTGCCTTTGGATTTCAGCGTATTGAAAATTGGGGAATCTTAAGGCGAACGAAGCTTTCCCAATTTCAGTGCATTTACATACCCAGACTCGAATGCGCTGTCAGGTCTTGGATCGATATACTTCGTAATCATACATAACCACCACTAGCTGCCACCTCGACGCGAGGAGGTTGCGTCGCCGCTGTCGAGGAAGCGGTTCGTCGTCTCCTCAGCCAAGGCCTTGAGCGTGGTCCTCAAGGAAGAGGCAAGCAAAAGTAGCGCCTTTGGGGGACGGCTGGCTTGGGTGACGCTGTAGCGATGAGTGAAGAGGGTGACGACCCGGGATATGTTAGGGAGAGTACCGAGGGCCAGGACGGTGTGCTGCTCGTCGTCGAGCGCATGTCCCGCAGGCTTGAGGGTTCGCAGGGCGGCGTCGGCGGCGTCGAGGATGGCGGTGGCCAGGGACGCGGCCAGCAGAGCCGTGTCCATGTCGGCCGAGCATGGACACACGAGTATGCGAGCGGCCTGTCTGCACGCACGGGGTATTTTTTCGGCGAGCAGGTCGATGGCCGCGGTTGTCTGAGTAGTCTGAGTAGTAGTAGCCGACGGCTGCTGGCCATCGAGCCCCGCCGCGGCAAGTTTCCCGAGCGTTGCCACGGCCACGGTCGCGCAGTCGTACTCGTAGGGATTGTGCCGGACCTCGTCCACGTCCATGCCCAACGACGGGGGCTGCTCCAGGCTGCCGCCGAGGAGGCTGTCGTCTCTCATGCTCATGTTGGTGGACTGCAGGGCGTCGTTGCTTCTGGCGCCGAGGCCGGCACTCGCACTACCACTGGCACTAGCTGACGCACTCCAGCGACCCTCATCGGAGAGAGAGTTCGGCAGCGGCTCGTCGAGGTTTAGGTTTAGGTGCCACGGCGTTGGGGTTTGTTGAGGGGGCTGGGCCGGGGCCGGGGCCAGGGGCGGTGGTGCTGGTGCCGTGTAGTCGGCTCTGTCGGTCATCACGGCGTCATCGACATCACGAGCATCGCGAGCCGGGCGTCCCCCGCCTTCTTGGTCTGGAGAGCGCCGGGAACGGGGACGAGGCCTGCCAATGCGTCTAGCCGGGCTGTAGACGCAGTCGAGCAAGAGCCTGTCGCAGCGGCCGCACCGCGGGTTTCCCTTGTCGCACTTGACCTTGGCTTCGCTGCACCGGTCGCACGTCTGGCGGAGCTTCAGAAATGGGATTTTTGGGCGGACTTCGGTGACGGTGATTGTGCCGCTGCTGCGGTTGTTGTTGGTGGTATCCGGCTCGACATGATGGCTCTGAAGATCCATGACTCCTCGGTAGGCGATGAGCGCTGATGCCACGTGGATGTAAACGTAATTATATAACTCAATTAATCGGGTAGTTGTCCCAACAGATCCTCTACTATATGTAGTTATTGGTATTGACGTCCTAGCGTGGACCCCTACTACTTACGTTGTAGTAAGCGGTCAGCAGCTACCCAGAGACAAGACGGCACAGCGCAGCACTACAGTGGGCGCCTTCATCCTGACTCCTTACGACCAGACCAATCTAGCCAAAAACGAGGATGTGTCTATTATGGGCTGGATGCAACCAGACCTGCAGCTGAGAGAGGTGAGGATGGGCATGCCTGTTTTTGATACCACGTACCCCTGTCGCAAATCCGTCTGACCCTTTAAAGCAGCCCTGGGGCGCAGCTGAATATTCTGATCCCACACAGCCGTATTCTTATCTATTCGTTCCTCTGCTGTACGTGTAAGCCACAGCGCCTGTCTAAGCACATCAATCTATGCAACTAAGCGGCTCATGATCCTTAAGTACTGTGTGCCTGCACTGAACCTCAAAGTGTACATATGCTGTAACGGGGTAAGGCCGGACATCAGGGAAATAGGTTACGGGGCTAGGAGAAAGTTTATTTTCTCTTCTTTAAGAGGCACAGAGGCAGAGTAGGACACGAGTCCTCCATCTTCACGCATCATCATCCTCATCTTCATATCATCATCTCCTTCTTATCTATATCTTCACCTTCGCTTTTCAGTCAGTTATTTAGTTATTTTAGTTATTCAGCTTATCTTTACGTTCGAGATTGTGACAGGCTGTGCCTGAAATGGGATCCGGAGCTGCAAGAACCTTGCGTCCGGATCCACCAAAGGAACCATCGAGGGCATATAAAAACATGGTTTGTGTTCTCGGAAAACTCGCCTATTTTACTTTCCTCCTCACTTAGATAATTAACAGTATTTGGCCATGTTGAGCTGTATAGTTTCGCAGTGAGCCCGTCACAGAGATCCTATTATCACGATACGAGTATCAGAGGCACATCCGACCAACTCGCGCACCAGACGTATAAGAGCTTCGCTCTTATAACCAGTACCACGATCTTCGTCTGATAAGGCCCTACCATCTGGTCGCCTAATTAGCCGGGGTGTTGGTCATGTTATCCGATCCCTCGGGGGAGCAGCTCGTCAAACTCCTCCACCTCAGACCCACCATTCCTGGAACCCCCAAACACCCTCGACAAGTACATTATTCGTGGGGCATTGAAACGGGGTCAGGCGGTCAGTAGGATATACCTACCACCTAACACACTGAACAGACGGCTCCAGTACCAACAGATCCCATCTGTTGGTCTTATCAGACGAAGATCGTGGTACTGGTTATAAGAGCGAAGCTCTTATACGTCTGGTGCGCGAGTTGGTCGGATGTGCCTCTGATACTCGTATCGTGATAATAGGATCTCGAACGTAAAGATAAGCTGAATAACTAAAATAACTAAATAACTGACTGAAAAGCGAAGGTGAAGATATAGATAAGAAGGCGATGATGATATGAAGATGAGGATGATGATGCGTGAAGATGGGGGACTCGTGTCCTACTCTGCCTCTGTGCCTCTTAAAGAAGAGAAAATAGACTTTCTCCTAGCCCCGTAACCTATTTCCCTGATGTCCGGCCTTACCCCGTTACACTGGTTGTAAAAGCTTCGCTCTTACACGTCTGGTGCGCGAGTTGGTCGGATGTGCCTCTGAGACTCTCGTCGGAATGATTCTCAGAACAAGACGTCTGGCTCTGGAAGTCGAATTGAAGCTCTCACTAGCACTAGATTGCTCTGATCAGAGCAAGATACAATCCTCTGTCATTGTCAAGGCTAGGATGAGGGCAGAATAATAGGATTTCGAAAGTAGTGTCTAAGTGCACGTAGGAATGAACCGCATAATTGAAGGGCTAGCTAACTACAATAGAAAACAAAAGTCAAGTTGATTGAATAATATGATGAAAAGAGATGACGAGTTGTTGAAAGTCGTCTGTCACCACCGTGTCCCTTAAGAAGTGTGGAAGACAGGGGAGTCCTCCTGTTACACGCAAAGGTGGTCAAAGATTTGTGAGGTTGTAAAAGCATGACATTCTATCTAGTCCTATGGAGCACGAAGGTTGGACTTAGTCCCGAAGGGCTAAGTCACGTGGTAACCTTGGTGGTCTTGGCAAAGCCCACCAAGGTTGCCTAATGTCACGACCTGGGTTGCATCGCATTGGTAGAGACCTCGATTAGGTGCTATCGACGAAGATTCTACTCTAAGGAGCGAAGGAAAGAAGATGACAACTTAGGTTTGAGGGAGCGCGACTAAGTCATCCACGCTTGGCGGGGCTCCTACAAGGGTTATGATTGGCTTCCCATCTGACACTGCCATGGCAGGTGTTCCAGCTGTAAGTCACCTGGTTGTAGTGAGTCTGCGAGGGTTGACCTTCACACCTAACACCTCCCTGGCCCCCGTCACCTACTTTCCTGACGTCCGCGCTGGCCCCACTACATTATCCGTCCGTTTCTTATTATTAGTAATGTTTACCTGCTCTAACATCTTTATAGCGGAGGCATGTCTTTTCACGATAATATTATATATAGTTAATATATTCTTATATAAGCTTACCCTATTAATTAGGTTCTAGGAATTTAAATTCGGCTGTAACGGATGCAGTACAATGTAACGAGCCTGTTGTACTACCCTGATGTATCTGTCATACTATGCAGAGGGAAGGAGGAAGGAGGAAAGGAAGGAATGGCGGTGAGGTAGGGTAGCGCTGATTTGTATGCTCTTAGGTAGTGGGGCGTTTGATCTGTGCTCCCCAGAGCCAGATTCCTGCGCACAGGCCAAGCCTGTCACATCGGCTTAAGATAGGGCTAATTTTAGTAAGCTATTATATATAGAGTATTCTACTTCGAGAGAATTCGGGGGTGCTATTCTATATAGTAGTTTAATATCACAAGCTAGAATTAGGATGGGCTAGAAGGTCGCGATCGGGCCCTCCTGGATAGGCGGGCGAAATCATGACGACCCGATGGCGTTTCAACGAAACCTTCTGGGACCCTCAAATAGTGCTCAAGGCACTAAGGAAACTTGGAGGGGCAAGTTTCTTTCTTTGTATCTAATTTCTACTGGCGTTAGGAATTGACGATTGTGCCTGGCTTGTTACGCCGCGCCAGGGGTTGCAATCCTTGCCACTGTGACGGAGGAAGGAAAGGACCGATAGGTCACGTAACCTACAGGGGTGAATATGTTGGACAACTATGTTGGTTGTCCAACATATCCAAGTGGGGATCAGTGAAGGAGAGATGGGTATATAAGGGACAGGACTTCCAGGTATTTCATAGATAGACAGTCTCTACTTCAGTGATCAATCTAAGCATCAATCTAACCTATTGGTGAGGCAAACTGCCTTGACGACTCTATTCCCAGTTATCCTACTTGAATACTGTCGAATATCACGTGTGTCCAATCGAGTAGTCAGAAGTGCGTAAGATTGTATATGAATGAGGTGTGTTCTTCTCTCTGTCTTCTGCTCTCGCAAACTCCCGTTGCTCTGCCTTTTATAGATGCTTTAGAACATGTCGGTAACTTTGGTGTTACTTTTGAGAAGAGGGGTTTCTTTCGCCTTCTGAACTTTAAGTGACAATAGTCTTCTCTAGTGCCATATTATTTCTGAACCTAGGAACCAGGTGCCCTATCTGACAAATACTTCAGTTACCCAGAGCCCTATACTCCATACGTCAGACCCCGATATTATTGCTAAAGGACTCCGCAGCAGGACTTACTTACTAGCACAAACCCTTACAGACTCTTTAGTGGTTTACGCAGCTAGACTATTAGAGGTTTCGTTACAGTTATAAAAGTTAAGGAAGCATATTTTAGCGAAAAGTATGCGACTCGCTTATGAACAACGTTATACGTTTATATAGATGAAAGAGAGAATACAAGTCCGTAGTCTTCAGAAAATCTTAAGCTCTTTATGGCCCGAGGCATACGAGCCAAGATAGTGGTACATTGTTATTATTATTTCCAGTGCATCACTTATAGTTCCAGTACTCGGGCGGCACCGTCGGCCATTGGTCCACGCCGTCCTGGATCGCCATGCTCATGCCGCCCTGGAGATGGCTCTGGACGTGGCAGTGCACGAGCCAGGCGCCGGGGTTGTGGACGTGGTACCGCACCACCATCCAGGTGGGCCCCTGGAGGGCGGGTGGGGTGGTGAAGCCGTCGCGCCGCGGGGGGTCGACGAGGTTGAAGCTCTGGGGGATCTCCTTGGCTGCCTCGGCAACGCTGCTCCACTTGAAGAGGCCGTCCCCTTGCCCGAGCAGGTACATCTTGTTGCCGTGTTTGTGGATCGGGTGGGGTGGCATGGGGAAGACGACGGCCTGGAAGACGAGGTCAACCCAGGTGTCGTTCTTGGTTGTGATGGTCACGTTGTTGTGCCGCTCCGGGTCCGGGTGGAAGAGGAGCGGCGTCTCATTGTCCAGACCCATGGGGTAAATGGTGTTGTTAAGCGCCCAGTTGTAGCTCTGCCCGGCTACGCGCATCGACACCTTGACCGTCTGGTCGGCGGCCCGCGCCACGGGCGCAGGCGGGAACGCCTTCATCTTGGCCTGGTCGAAGAAGCGGACGTTGGCCGTCGTGTTGGCGCCAATATCGTTAATGTAGCCGACGGACGATTTGCTCGGCGGCGTCGCCTGCTTGGGATCGCGGTATGATAGTGTCGCGTAGCCGGTGAACATCTGCGGCATAGTGAGGGACGCCATGCGCATGGTGAAGTCACCGGGCTTGTCCAGCTTGACCATGACGGAGTAGCGGTCGCCATTAGTGATGGAGACAGCCTCGACCTCTTGCGGCTCAATATAGTCGCCGTCGACGGCGTAGATGTGCATCGGGTGCTCGTCGATGGAGAAGACGCCCGTGATGAGGCCAAAGGTGCCGATGAGGTCGAAGGCGACCCACGTCTCATTGGCGTAGTCCCCCTTGCTTACCTTGATGACCTCGCGCGGAGCGTTGGTGGCGGTGCACTCGTCAAATATGTCGGGAGGTATAGCCGACAGGTTCGTCTGCTTACCATTTGCTTGGACGTTGGCGATGACGGAGGCCGGCAGGCACCTGCGGAGGCGTTAATGTTAGGGTTAGGGATACATTATTAGCACGGGGGCTGGTGGGGGAGACTTTTGGCTCGGTACTGTACTTACCCCTTGGCGGTAAAGGCCGTCTTGTTGCCCAGCTGCAGAAATAGACGCTGCTCGGCTGTTAGCAGCGAGGCGATCTTCTCGGGCGCCCAGCAGTCGACCCGCCCCTTGCCGTTGATCAGGATTGAATCGTAGCAGGGCGTCTCAAGGCCGGACTTGACGTTGATTTCCCACCCCTGTTCCGACGTGACGTGCCGGTGGTCCGAGAGCATGAGGGGCTTGACGTCGGCCTCGGCCTGCTTCATGGCGCGGACCACCGCCGGATCCTTAGAGATCTTGTCAAAGGGCCTGGCGGCGCTGGCCTCGGGGTGGATGACGATGGGGCCGTACATGCCGTCGTTGAGTTGGCCTTGATGGTGCGAGTGATACCAGTACGAGCCGGCCTGCGTGGCCTTCCACCGGTAGACGAAGCTCGCGCCGGGCTGTATCTGCCGCTGGGAGAGGCCGGGCACGCCGTCCGACCAGGGCGTGTGGAGCATCTCGATGCCTGTGCTACGTCAGCCTTTCTATTCCTGTCCCTGTCGTCCTCGCGCGGGCTGCCTGACTGACCGTGATAGTGCAACGTGGTGTTGAAGGGCATCTTGTTGTGCACCGTGACTTCGACGTCGTCCCCGTAGTTCATCTCGAGCGGCGGCCCAGGGAATTGGCCGTTGGTCAGGATCATCTTCTTCTCGAAGCCATCGGGAGCATGCTTCTCCCACGTCAGGGTCAGCTCGAAGGGCTTCAGCTCGGCGTGGCAGGTAGGCAGCGCGGACAGCAGGGCCCACGTGAGCGAAGTAAGACCTTGCCTGAACCACATTTTGGCAATGGAACGAAGAAAAAAAAAGCTACTGATCCTCGCGCGTGGGAAGTTCGAGGATGTATCCATCGTGCTGGGGCATAGGCGTATATAAGCGCCCGGACGAGCTGCCTTGGATCGGCGTTGGTGAGGGCCTCGGCAGCCTGCGACCATGCTGTCTATCATCCGCATCCACGGTTGCATCCTGTCCAGCGGGCCGGTTCAATTTTGCGAACCTTGTCGTTTGTGTCCCAAGGGAGATAAATCCCCATGCCCTTCTCAGCATTCTTCAGATGAGGCTTGGGCTCCGAGCTGACAGCTAGGTTAGACTAGGCTAGGAGTGATCCCTCTCTGCGCCAAACCGGAAGGATCGCTTTCTTCACCCCACCTTTTTGCCTGTTGGGGGCAGTTCCTCGGGTTCCGGGAGTGAGGGAGGGGGCTTCGCTACATCTAAAAAGTGATTCCAGCAACCGGGAAACTGTGGATTTCGCTGGGGCGCCGTGTAGCCCCGTTTCGTCCCGCTATGCATATGCACCGGGTCGGCTCCCGACAAGCGACATACATTCGCCGAGACCAACAGACTGGGGAAATTGACAAGACTCTTCGTCAGCTTCACCTTAGGGCTAGGCCAAGGTTAACAACTGACTACATTGTAGTGCGTTAACCCCCGTAGGCGTCACGGAGAGCCTTGTAGGCCCTGTAACCTAGCGGGCTTGTAGACCTAATAGCTATTAAATACGTACAGTAGCAATGCACTATATAACGCAACAATACACAGTACAGCAACTAGCAATGCAGCTATAAACAAGCCAATTAATGGCTGCTTGTAGCAATACTGGATTGCGGCTACCATAGCCAATTAGCTATTGTAGCTGCTAGAAAAGGCCAAGCAGATATAAAACGGAAGTCGTGTGAGTAGCGCAGCTCGTTGTGAAGACCGGGACTATCATACGTCGCACTGTTAAAAGGGGTGCGTTTGTCTCCTGCGCATACTACAATGTAGTTGACATGTAGCCGCCGTCACCTGCTTGTAGTGACCGGCGGAGTTGTTGAAGAGCCAGGCAAGCACAAGCGGCACGCTGCTATATATGCCAGACGCCATCAGAAAGGTCATACCGTACTTCGCCCCAGAGTTGTCGCTGATGTTGGCAATGGCGGCGTAGCCGACGATCGCAATAAGCATAGGTAGTGTAGAGGTTAGCATAGACACGAGCCTTGGAGCAAAGGGTTCTTGCGAGAGAGGATTTGGAAGTGTTTTTCTATTATTTCAAGCTCTTAATTCATTCCTGCTATTAGTGCCTCTTTCATCAAACATGTCTTAACCCTAAGTTTCTTCCGTCACAGCAATATTCCCCAATACTCTCCCAATTTGACGACTTCCTCGGCGGCATCAATCCCTTATAACTACTGCCTCTTTGATGAAGAGTCCTTCGACTGCAACCTTGACCAGGAATCTCGCCGCACTAGACACACTCACGCTGTCGGCCATGCGCATTCCGACACCGTTGCTGCCCAGCGTTTGCACGTCTGCCTTGGTGTCGGCCGGCTTTTGCTTCTTCGGATCGTCAAATTCCAGCCTCGAAGCCCTTACAAGAGTCCAATCCATCTTTGTCAACCGAATCTCCTTATCTACGAGGTCATGATCCTCGAGTGCGTACTTGACGTTAGTCCAGCCCATAAATGCCTTGGAAAGCCACGGTAGCTTAGCCCATGAGTCCCCGACACCTGCTGTCGACATGACTACAATGCGTCGGATGCCGGCATTCCCCATAACCTCGCAAACATTGGCGCACGAGTCGGCGAGGAAGCGAGGAGGTGAGAGCTGGGACGCGAAAGGGCTCTCGGACTTGCGGACTGCGTTCAACGTGATGATGGCCGCAGAAGGTATCAAGGAAGACGCCGCGGAGAGAGCGGTTTGTATGTCCGACTTTGATAGTGGCGAGCCAGTGACGATGGTGAGGCCAGCACGAGGGGAGAGGCTGCCAGCGGTACGGACGAGGGCTACCGCTGTATGACCTTGAGAGAGTAATTCAGATACGACGTGCTTGCCGGTGCGCCCAGTGGCACCGAGGAGGAGGAAATGCATGGTAGTATTCGACAATGAGAGGTACTGCTGCGTATTCGTCTGCCTGAGCTTGTGAGGAGACGAGAAAACAGGTTCACTACAAAAGGGGGACGAGGGTGCGGATGCATTTAACTGACATGACGGGCCCTGTAATTGACCTGCCGGGCGAGAAAACTCGCTTATATCGGTCAAAGTACAGAGAAATGCCTTGTGTACCGCGTACGGTGTGGGGGCTGCAGTCGGTCGGGGTTTTGAGGCTCGGACCCCTATCGGCACTCCATATGCTGATTGGTTTGTTCGGTCCGCATACTGCAAACGGAAGCGGCACGCAATAGATACACACATCCCACCGACCGATTTGTTCCTTCTTTAACTACCTTGAAATGCGCTCTATCAATGTAATCGAGAGGAGGAGGATACGAAGACTTCGGCTAGCCAATCGCGATCGTGCAATAAAACCTTACATTTACACCGAAGCTACATTTGCAAGTTCGTCTCCGCTCGCTATTCAGCGTTGCTTCCAATAAAGAACATTCTCACTTCTGCATTCAGAGTGTTGCTTCTCATGCAGGGTCACTGTGTCTAATAGCGCTCTGTAGTGCCGCTAGCCTTCTCGCCCCTAACTTGCGCTACTATCTGTGAGACCCGCTCAGCTGACGCTATGGACAATTTTTCCCCCGAATTGATCCGTTCAGTCCTGTTTGGAGCGTATGCAGTCACATTGTGGTGCATAGATGTGACATTCCTTCGTAAGCAGTATGTAAGCTACCTACACAAATCCTGCCTGGTCGTTGCAACCTTATTGACCAGAACGCCATCTATTGATGAAGCTGAGCGTATACTCCGTCGGGTGGCGGCAGGTAAGGTTCATAAGAGAAGACGTGTTTCCGCAGCTCTGGGAGCCTCCCTGCACCTGCAGAATGCCGACAAGAACACGATGCGACAACGACTTGTCTTTCACGCCAGATGTCTTTTATGCCAGACTTGTTCTCCTTACTCCCCACAGCCGAAGATGACCTGGCCTTGCCGAATGGCGACACAGCGTGGGTGTTTGAGACGGATGCCGACCCCGCGCCGATGCAAATGCAGTTCTCCGACTTTGGGTTCACTGACATTGACATCCCCGATGTCCCCGACCTAGCCGATCTTGTTTCCGTTCAGGACTTGCCGGAAGGTTACCAGACGTCGAATGGCTCCTCCTTATCCGTGCCTGTATCCCGATCAACGTCTACCTCGCCGGCCTTGTTTTTAAGTTCGTCGTCGTCATTGCCTTCTCCTCGCTTCCCGGTCGTAGTCGAGGCTCAGCCGCCCATGGGACAAGTCCAGGCCAATCTTCTCTGCCGGTCTCAGAGGTGCGGGTCTGAGACATGCCTCACAACAGCTCTTCGCACCCTGATGACCCTGCACATTGCCCACTCGGCGTGCCTGAGTGCCCATCGAGAGGCCCCGACGGTCCAGCAGGCCTGGAAAATGGAGACGGTGCTGTCCGCGAATAAGGACGTCGTCGCCAGCATGGGTCCGATTTTGGCCTGCCCCTGCTCGGCCAAGTCGCTGGTGCAGCTGTTGCTGCTCAGCATCTGCGGCAACCTCATTGCCTGGAATAGCGCCATGATCAGTGCTGATCTCAAGCAGCAAGGCGACGATCCATTCTCTCCAGCAGGCGCTTTGACTGCCGGCCCCACCCAGGCTCCCAGGGCGCGCGTCCTGCCCCAGCCCATCACCATCGGACAGCACCAGATCAACGGCAAACTCGGCCGAGTCCTCCACACCCAGATCATGGCAGGCGAATTGCGTATGCTTGAAGGCCTCGTCGAGGCTCTGTCCCGCCGCTTCTGCGAGGCGCCAGGGTCAGATGGCACCTCCAGCACCTCTCCCGTCGCCACGGACATGAGGAATGCCAACGGCCGCCCCAGTACTTCCCGGGATGCCCCTTCGTTTCAGTCAAAAGGTCTCTCCTACAACGTGCACCGCCACATCATCTCGTCGTTGCGTACACGACTGGAGAATACGCGGGCCAAGACTTTTTCTCAGGGCTAGAGCTAGGCCAAGCAGCCCTAATCGGTCGGCGGCAGGGTGGTTTCTGGCCATAGTCAGAGACAGGGAAACAAGGCTCGACATAATTCGTCTCGTCATGTCCACTGATTAATTCCTCTTTGGTTTTGCCCAGAGGTCTACTGGCGAGGAAATGGGGCGCTGAGGAGTTGTGGGTTGCTTTATGAAAGTCACACATGCGAAGCAGACGATTCGCGAAGTATACACGATACATGGAGATTATGTAGAAAGCGTCTTTCATTCACGTTTCGACATCAGTTTATCCCTGTATTTCTACGTGCTGAGGCGACCTACACTATTTGGTTTCCCCCCGTCTCTCATTCCCAGAAATTGTAGTCGGGGAAGTATTGCTCGTGGATACGTCGGGCGTAGTCAGTGAGGGTCGGGTGGTTCTCGATTACTTCCATTGACTCGGGAGCGTTGTGAAATATATCAGTTCAACGCCAGGAGTGGATTCGAGGAGAGAATGACGTACGAAGAGCAGGCAAAGGCCGCTAACAATGGAGCCGAAAACTGCAGTATCCATCTCGGTCGGCTGGCTACCACCCATGACCCAAAACGGGCCACTCTCGCTGCTCTTCTTCTCCACCCCCGTCCAGCAATGCGTTCACTTGGGCCCAGATCTGCCTGCAGAAGTCTCTAATTTCAGCGAGACTATTTCGAAATACAGTGGAGTCCGTTTTCCCAGTCAATTAAATCTTTCATCGGCGTCCGCTCTGTCTGAAAAGCGGAACCAATCCACTTGTAGCCGGAGCCCCATGTCTTCATATAATATATTCTTCGAGTCTTGTGTTGTTAGCTAATTTGTAGGCAATGTTTATTTTCTCCAGTCGGCTGGTGTAGTTGGTCACTTCGCTGGTAGATAAGTCCCGATTTCAGCCTCGCCCACTTGGGTCGGTGACGAGTCGCGGGTTCGAATCCTGCAGCTGACACACAAGGGGGTTTAGTCAACCCTTATGGCGCGCTGCCCACCTTGTTGACTTCGCCTACCTAGCGATAATAGGGAGATTGGTGCAGTTTAGGATTACGAGCATCCTAGCCAGTCGACCGTCAAGCACTACGTCGGCGGAATATAACTCGACAGCCGGTCCAGAATTCGAATCGTTAATCCGACCCCTTATCGGACCCCCTCTCGCCGCGATTCTTGCGAGCGTCTAGACCACGTTACGGTCTATCCACTTGAGCGTATGGTTGAGATGTATACGCTCGACGAGAACCCCAATTAGCAGATACTACGACTTGTCGCGACAAAAAAAATAGTCGAGCATCTTCTGCACATCAGCAGCATCCCACCCCTGAGGACGAATTTAAGTGCCACATTACCACACTTATCGGTAGTTCAGGCAGGGGTTGTAGCACAGACTTAGGGAGGGACAGGAGGTTTAGTAGTCGTTTGGCTACAAGTTTACCTGTATAACCGCCCGACGCGGCTTAAGGGCCCGCTATATCATCTATAGCCCCTTAAGGGAGTACTTGTAGAGGTACCGAGGGTTAACACCTACGGCGTATTTAATATTATTATTTTATTTTCTCCTCCTCTATTGCACTATACTTTGCAGTCCCAAACGGTTGTACCGCCTTATAATAAGCATATAGATACAGCCTCCTCTAGACTTCTACAATCATATCACCAGCTCAGTAGGCACAATCGAGCTTTGCCATGTATGGGAGCTATTTTCATTGAGGCTACTAGTAGTAGTATGGCTCACAACTCTGTTCCTCCATTCTGCATTCCATTCAACTTGCCATCTTGCCCAGACACACTTGTAGCAAGAATCTCCTTTGTTTTGCCGATTACATCAAAAGAGAATATGGCATCAATGACATCATCCTGATTCTGCAATCTCGTACCTTCGGGGAGGTGCTTGGCAGCAGCATCGCGGACGCTTTGTGGCATTGGAGGGCCAGAGTTGGAGAGCCTCTGGACTGCCGAACCCCGACCCCTCCTGATTTTCTCAAAGAGTCCGAGACGCACCTCCATAGTGGCCTTGTCTTGTACCTGGTCCAAGAGAATGCCAAGTACTGCGGCGTCTTCGATCGCTTGTGCGCCGCCTTGAGCTTGGACTGTTGACCCACGTCAGAAACGATACCAATGAGATCTCTAGTGGCGTGCACGCGGTAAGGAAGACCTACAAGGAAGCATGGGATGAGCAGCATCGCCGATCAGAACAAGAGAATCTTTGTGCCACGAGGACAGCGGGCTTCTAGCAACCAGCTTCCAGAATCTGACGTCCCTGGCTTTCCTGAAAGACGTGTAAGTTAACCTTTCAAGGAGGGGTTACCCTGACCTGGTGTGTTGAAACTCACGCAAGAACAGCTTGCAGAGCTGGACTAAACTCCTTCTTTGCATAGTCCATCACCATGGTCGGCTCTATACCTGCTTGGAAGTCTACGTCGGAGCGACGTTAGCAGGGCTTTTTTCGTCACACGGGTCGGGCGTACATACCTTCCGTGATATTCTCGCTTGCGAACGACCGTGAGAGATAGAGGAAGTTCTGTACCTCGTTGCTGCAGCCCAGTAATGTCAGTAAATGAGCAAACTTCTCGCAGGCATCGCAGTGAAGAGAGGAGAGTCTCGAACGTACTTCCTACACATGTACCATACCAAACCCCCGCCTTGAGCGCCCATAAAATACCTCTGGGTAGAATCTTCAACCAAAGGTGCAGTATCCGGGTCTGCCAGTAACTCCTCTGTCGGCACCAGCCATCGCATAGTTGCCCAGCCCGTATCACTAGCTTGGCTCTCGTCTGTAGCGAGGACGTGTTCTCTAGCCGTCGAGTGCACACCATTCGCTGCAATAATCAGGTCCGCCTGCCAGACTGTGCCATCGGCAGTGGTTATTTTTGCATGGACGGGATCCTGGCGTAAACTAATCAGCAACGGCCCGAGAGGATACCGACTTGTCGGAAGTGCAGCTCACATAATCAACCACCGTGGCACGAACATGTAACTTGCACGGCTGACCTGGTCCATTCTCTCCTGTTGCCAGGGTTTTCAGCTGGTCATGGAGATCGACGCGGTGTACGGAATAAATGGGAGAGCCGTAATTCTCTTGGATATGCACGTAGTAGTTTGGCACCATCATTTGCATATCCATACCATTGAGGATGCTTCCGGTCTTGATGGCGACCATGCGCGACTGCGCAATGTCGAAGCCCCAGCTGCGGAGGACCGGTGATGCATTTGGTGCTATCGAAATGGCGGCTCCAGTCTCTTGGAGCAGGGCGGACTGCTCGAGGATCTTTGTGGGCATATCAGCATGCGGCATTGGTGGGCCGAGACTTTGAAAATAGTATTGATACAATTGAAACAAGCCAAACGAACCGTTACTGTGTGTCCTGCTCTGCGCAGGGCTATACCAGCACTGAGACCGGCGATTCCGGCGCCGACTACGATAATTTCCATTTGCTCGGTATTGATTGAACTCGTGCTGCGATTTGAGACAATGCTGGCTACCTACCTAGGTAGCTCGGGGGTTGTATTCCTTATATGCGCAAATGATTTGACCGACATACGCCAGTCGAGCGGCCAATTATACTAGTAATGATACGAGATGGCAGGGTTGCATTTTCCCTGATTGGCAAACCGGGACCCATATCGCTATTGTTGAGCTTCGGTTTGTTCATAGTTGTTGAGCTCGGTGTTCAGTCGCTCGGTGACATTGAAGACGGAATTGCCCGTCCAGTTCCTTGTCGGTATCCGTCTAGTAGAAGGCACCGAAACGAAGATGCCTGCTCCCGATCCTGTTGTTGTATATAAGAAAGTACGACGTGGTCGATATCACTTGTTTGAAACGCTGTGCACGCCCTTTTTCCACAAGCCATAACAGAGTTGGCAAGGCATTAGTTATTACAAGGATACACGCCCCTCGTAACCTGTGCAGAAAAAATGTTGGCCCTTTCCGAGCCCAAGAACATGCATCGAGTGCGTGCCGACGAGGCCTCACGGCTCAAGATGCAGGACTCTCTGCGTAGTGCCGCCGAGGCCATGGAAACGCCCAACGACACGATGCTACGTCTGTTCAACGGGGTCAGTGCTTGCTGCGGAGTGTTGTTTTACGGAATAGAGTTCTCCGCATCGGCTAACGCAATCGTTCACGGCAGGCTCTCGAAGTTCCCATGATTAAAGCCGGCGTTGACATTGGTCTCTTCAAGATGCTCGTCGCGAGCCAGACACCTTTGACTCTGGCAAAGATTGCAAACACTACAAAGGCGGAGCCAGTCTTTCTCGGGCGCATTCTGCGCTACCTCGCGGCGACGCGCTTCATCACGGAGACAGGCAAGGACCAGTTTAGCGCCAACCTCAGCACCCAGTCACTCGCAGATCCCGCCATAGAAGGCAGCTTGAACTATATGTAAGTGTGCCAGCGAGTGTGGATGTGCATGACGGGCAGCCCGGGCTGACCAGACCCAGCTTCGCAATTGCCATTCCGGCTTACATGGCCCTCCCCGAGTTCTTGCGGCAGACGAGCTTTCAGGCTCCCCCCGGCACCCAATGTGCGTGGCAGCAGTCGGTAAAGACGGACATGGACTGGTTCCCTTACTACAAGCAGCATCCAGAGCAGCTCTCATACTTCCAGAAGCTCATGAGCGTGCCACGCGACGGCGAATGGTTCGACGTCGTCCCGTTTGCTGAAGAGGCCGCCAATGTCAGCCCGGACCGCGCACTCTTCGTCGACATTGGAGGCAGCATCGGCCACCAGAGCAAGCGGCTGAGGTCAAAGTACCCCACGCTTCCCGGCAGGGTCATTGTCCAGGACCTGCCGGAGACCGTCAATGTGGCGACGCCTGCACCGGGCGTCGAGTTTATGGCCTATGACTTTTTCACGGCCCAGCCCGTCCAAGGTAGGCCGATAAATTACTTGTACCATGCTTCGAGGGGGGGACGCAAGAAGAGCTGACCAAGTTTTTGCAGGCGCCAGGTTCTACTACATGCGCACTGTCCTTCACGACTGGGACGAGGAGAACTCGATCAAGATCCTCAAGAACACGGCCGCTGCTATGAGCGCCGGCTCACAGCTATTGATCGATGAGATGGCGCTGCCAAACAAGGACGTGCATTGGTGGTCAGCGTGCCTAGACTTGCACATGTACACCATGCTCAACGCATTGGAGAGGACTGTCGATCAGTGGCACGACTTGCTGGGCAAGGCCGGCCTCAAGGTCGTCGACATCAGGACGTACGCGTCGGTCATGAAAAACTCCATCATTGTTGCCGAGCGTCTGTAAGGGGGACGAACCAGGCTGCGTGATTACTCTATCCGTACTATAGTATCAGGCCACATTAGCAATCTTAGCCAACACATCTAGTCAGGTCCAAATTCAAATCGTAAGTATAACGCAATCCATAAGTCAATTAATCACCTAATTTACTCGTACGCTTCATAATTATTTTCTTAGTACTAACTAAGAAGATTCAACTATAATATATCGGATTAATTTAATTAATTAGAATCCTCTTTTTAATTCTACCCAATGAGTTCGTATATTTTGCCCCGTCCCTTTGCCTATGTGTAAGGTAAGGGCAAGCCTAGACCATTACGCCACATAGACCAAAAGATCTAGCAGTTCTGGCACTTAGTATGTAACGAGGATACCACACGTCTCACGATAGTAATTCGGTAGTGCAAAGAGCGGCTATAATACGTTAGTGTTATGGGTGCATATATTGCAACACTGATTCTTAAGGAATCTAGGAGCGCCTCGAGATGTTCTCTTTGACCAGGTGGTTCCGGGGCGAAACCAGATCGGGGGCGAATGATACGAAAAGGTAGGGGGACCCACTGGTTAGGTGAATCCCATTCAATTAGATACTATAACGTTGCGCACTGCTGCATTATAGCATCCTCCCCCCTAGGTGCACGCATCAGCGAAACTTCCTTGCAGAAAGCGACATAATTCTAGCGTATTAGGCGCTTTAATCGTAACTAAAATGAAGTATCCGACGCACTACCCGACTTTACAATATTCCTCGTATAACTCTAGCTAACTGATAACGTGGACTACTACCTCGACGTAATACTCGATAATGTAGTTATAAATTTACTATGACAAAATAGTGGCCCGCTTATAGGTGGATTATGTTATTCAGAGAGCTACAGAGGCTAATACACTAAAATCCCCTGTCGGTACGCAGCCCACATTGACTACTTGCCCTGGTCTACAACCATAATATGTAGTTAGTAATACGACGAATCCTGCAATGTGTCCGTGCAAGGCAGTATGTGGCGGCTATACTATATAGCCACCCCTGTAGTATTAGTATCTTGCTAGTCCGACAGCTTACGTCCTGTCGGCTTCCGGCCATGGTCCAGGCCCGCGACGACCGAGCCGAGTGTGGCGTTCTGGGCTACCTATGATGCCGACAACAACGCGCATCAACGCAGTCCGACACCCGACGACTCCAAGTGACGATGCTTCCTGTATCGTCATCACGCTCGGCAACCGGTTCAGTCCACAATGGACTTCCGAGTGCAACAACGGATGCCGCCCGCCAGATGAAGGAACTAGCCCTTGCGAGACGTTACTGTTACGGTAAAGGGGCCGGCACAACAGTCAAATAATTTCAGCAACGCACCGCACTTTTTCCAGGCACACGATCAACACGACCGACATTCTATCTGCTCTGCGCCTTTTCTTCACATCGACTCAAATTACGCGTTGATTGAGAATGCCCCTGCCTCTAACCATGACAACCTCCGACGTATTGCGCTTCATTAGCATCCTCGCATCCGCTATCCACACAGGTAATCAATGCCTTGTCCCCCCTCCCCTGCTCGTATCGGGACCACAGGCTAACGTGTGCTTCTCCCCGACTCAGGCAGCCAATTCAGTCTCTCATTTGTATCTGGCGCGGCTCTTCTGGCTTCTCCAACCGCCGACGAGGCGACCGTGCTCGCGCAGTTCAGGGTCATATTCCGTCGAGGCTTCGTCTTGTGTCCCCCGTTCGCCGCCATCGCCACCCTCGCCAACCTCGGCAACGCCTTCATCAGCTGGCGGTCTAATGATGATGGTGCCAGCATGGCGCTTCGCTTTTTGCTGGCTGGGTTGTGTACGGCGAGTCTGATCCCTTTCACGCTCTTGTTTGTCGTCTGCAGCGAGGGTCTCCTGTTGGAGAAGGCGGCCGAAAGGCTAGGAGAGGGGAAGAGGAAGACCCCATCGTCTGCAGCACGGACGAGAGACTTGATCAAGGAGTGGGCTCGGCTCAACTATTTGAGAACTCTCTTCCCGCTGATTGGGGCACTTGTCTCATACAGTGCTCGTTACGAGACAATAAACAAGTGTCGGAATTAATGAGATCTTCTTGTTCAAGTCACGAGAGGGACCTATATAGGCTTTCTTCTAGTGCATATATAGGGCTGAAATTATAGTGCATGCCTATCTAGAATGGGAAAATACAGTATAGTATTTAGCTAATGTGGTTTATAAGCGAGCCACGATTATAGAGTCGGGTAGCGCGTCGGATACTGAATTTTAGTTATGATTAAAGCGCCTAATACGCTAGAATCATGTCGCTTTCTTTCCAATTCGATCCCATCTTGGTATGTGTAAAGATGCTAATTAAAAGGTTATTCGTACGGTTCTAAGACAAAGTAGCTAACTTGCTTAAAGCGTACCGGTGCCAAGAAAAAGTGGCCAACTTGCTTGTGGGGTACGTTAATAGTAAACCATGTTATAATATTTCTATTATAAAATATCTCTGAGGTAAATTAGGTCCGTCTATAGTAATCCACTGTGGTGGTATGGGTAGGAGAGAGCGGATGAACCACGCTGGAAGCAGTCATGTTCGACCCCTATCCGCTTCACCACCGACCCCGTTCCCCTCTGTTAATTCACTAAACCTAACCCTTGCAGTAACTCGTCCCTGGTCTCCTCGAGTAGCGCCGCCACTGCCTCCTTCTTGAAATACGCCTCATTGTACACGCACTGCAGCTTGATGGCGCCCTGCAACGTCCACAAATGCAACAAGATATCCGGCGAGTACAACGTAATACCCAGCCAGGCATCCTCTACCTCCACCTGGGTGTTGCTCCCAGCAGCGCCTTGATACGATGGCTTAAGATATGTGTCCATGATACCGAAGCTGGACAGCCCGAGTGAGCTGGGCGCTGACGCGCCCGCCGGCGGCGAAGTCATTATCGCCACCATCTCGTTGCCCCAGAAGCGTGGCAGGATGCGCAGGAGATCGGTCAGCTCCGGCTCGCGATACTTCTGCTTGGCGAGGTGCGCCGTCTCCACGAAATCGTCGGCCAAAGTGAAGACAGCGGGGACAGGGACAGCCAGCGCGCCGACGAGGCCGGTTGCGGGATATTTGGTTTTGTCGATCCATTTGCGGACGTCGTGTATGGTGACAGCGCTTTGGATCGTTGCAGTCGACTTGACCTGCTTGCGCAGAGCGATAGAGACGGCGGCCTGCACTGCTGCGGTGACGGTAAAGCCTAGCTCTTTGCACCTTGCTATGATGCATTTGGTTTCAGAGACACCGAACGGGGCGTAAAGAATTCTCGGGTCTCCGTGTGGCTGCTTAGTATCCCCGTCTTGTTGCAGCTTCACACCCGCGAAGCCGGCCATCCAGCTTCCCAGCATGGACTTGAAAGTGCTTCTGTGGGCGTCTGTCGCGGCAGGAATGTCGGCAAGGACATTGAGCGGAGGAATCAAGTGCTGGGCTTCATCGCCGCCGAGTTTCGGGCTGTCGGTAACAGAAGCGGTATCGGCCAAGGCCTGGACGAGGTTGTTCATCGCGGTATAGGCACCGATTCCATCGAGATGAGTGTGAGGGGCCAGTAGGTAGAGCTCCTTTGTCTGGAGTAGGACGTGAAGGGCAGCACGTCCAGTGAAATTTCTAATGGGGAACATGTCGCGGGATGTGCTGGAAGTGTCGTGGAAGTGTAGTGTTTCCTTGAGCCACGGTTCGAGCTCTTGCTCGTCCGCGACGGTGTAAACCCAGCGATCGCCCTGAACGACGGCCGACAAGCAAGGGTTGATGTGGCGGAGGGTTTTCCATGCTGTTGGCACGTCTTTCCTTAGATCGAGACCAGTCGCCTTGATCTTGGCCGTTACGGCGATATGCCAGTGTTGACCGTCAGTTGCACCCACTCCTCCTTCTCCGGCGAGGGCGAAAAATTTTTCCATGTCGTCTAGCGACCGCTCATAGGTCCTCAACGATGCTTTTGCCCATTGCAGCCGACTGTGCTCAGCTGCCACTGCCATGATGTTGCTATATTTTTTTCTATTTTCAGGCTAGTTTCGGTGTACAGGCATTTGAATGTTTAACAAGACAAGCATGTGGCTACAAGAGGAGTAGTACCCTATTTATTGCCTACTCAGCCTGCTTAAATACTCCAAGATGTACATCTCCATAGGTATGGTCGAAGAGGCTATTGCGTATGCTATGCTTGACCCCGGAGTCCGAGCAGTTATCATGTCGCATACCGACAGTGGCCGGGCCCACCGTTCGGACTATGTACGTGGTACAGCTAATTCCTGGAAGGATTTCAATGTTGCAGTCAGTGCTGGGCGTGTGCTTGGTAGAAAGGAATGCAGTTTAGTCAGCATATGTCGGATGCTTGGGGGTACAGCTTCTGTAAGTGATTTTTTGGTCTGGCTATCTTAGTGGGGCCCTTAGGGGCTTTGGCTCGGTGTCACAAGGGAGGACCAAGCCCCTAGGCCAATAGACCAAAAGATCTAGAATGCCAGTGGGTCACTGACACCTGGTCCCACTAACTATGTGGCTCTGTAATCGCCAGCGCTGTGACACTCGGATTGAAGGCTTGGATTCCCGGGTTGGTTGATGGCTTCGATTGACAGGTAGATTGACAGCCTAGACAACGGCCTGGATTCCTAAGTAGTTTGACGGCCTAAATTAATAGGATCTTGGCCTGATTAAAGGCCTGAGTTTACTGAATTCCTAGCCTAATTGAGAGCTCTAATTCTCTAACCTAGACTCGCACCTGATTAACTAATGTGGTTTATAAACGAGTCGCGCACTTTTCGACATACCACATTTTAAAGTCTAATTACGTAACTATAACGCCGTAAATTAATTTAAATTATTATTATTATTATTATTAAATACGCCGTAGGCTCGAAGCCCCCGGTACCTCTACTAGTACTCCCGTATGTCAAACCGTGCCCTAATGGCTGGACTAAATACATACGCTGCGTCGTCGGTTCGCCCTATTGGCGACTGCGTTGCGTTCACTACCATACTACGTTGGTTCTCAACCTACCAACAAAGTCCCCCCTGAGAAGATCGATGCTATCTGGGCCTTGAAGCTGTCCGACCCGTCCCTAGCAGCCATCTTACAATAGTCCCACTAACTACTGGTTCTCCTGTTGCCGTTGCGAGGTCTCTGCGAGAGTATAGTGGCCGTGGTGCGATGGCGGCCCGTAATCGTTCCCTCGGTCCTTCCAACAGCCCGCAAAAGAGGATTACGTGCTCTGCCGTCTCAGGGGCATCGCCACAGCGGCATAGCGGCGAGTACACGCCAAAAGCCCCTGTCTTGAATAAGAAGGCTGCTAGTCCTATTTTTTCCGTCCTGATCTGGCACAGCGTAGACGCCTCCAGTCGGTTCAGGCCGAAATACTTGCCCCCTTTCGGTATCTGCATCGAAGGGCCCTCCGGTTCCTCAGCGATAGCGCGTCGCTGGCGATCGTGATGCTCTGCTCCGGTGAGCCATCTCTTCCTCCAGTGGTCGAGGAGGGCAGCCGGGACCTCCTTTTCCTCACTCATCCACTCGGAGCCCCGGGCCTCCTTCTCCATAGTGTACCCTGCCGGTCGGAGTAGCTGCGACGCCTGCTTCCTCTTCGCCGGCCTATCCTGCCGGAGTATATGTGACGCTTTAGCGCTCGCGCTGCGAAGCAGATTTCTCTTCCCGCTAAGCCGTAGCCGTTCTTCAAACTTAGCAGCCCGGGCACTAAGATAGAGGTCTAGTGGCGGGATTGCTGCTTCTGCTTCCAGGTGGCGAACCGGCGTCGCTTTGTGGGCACCACAGACTACCCGGAGGCACTCGTTCTGTATCCCCATCAGGCTCTTAGCTGGCCCTGCCGGTTCCTCACTTATAGTATGCCACGCAGTCGCCCCGAAGGCAATCGCGCTACGGATAACCACCGTATATAACAGCCTCGCCCGTATAAGATCGCAGCCCCACGACATATTGACTAGCTTTAAATTTAAATTAATCGGTAACTTATCTAATAAATTAGTCCATTCTATAACGTGGTTTAACACCGAGTCGCGCATATCACCGAGTCGCGCACTTTTTCAACTTTTCCAACCTTTTGACTTCAACACTTATTTCCTCAACAACAACACCATGTCAGTTCAAACCGAAGAAGCCAAAATCAACCTTGCCATCGAAGCTATCTGATCGACCAAAAATATTGTAGTGGGGCTAGGCCGGACGTCAGGAAAATAGGTGACGGGGGCCAGGGAGGACTCCCCTGTCTTCCACACTTCTTAAGGGACACGGAGATGACAGACGATTTTCAACAACTCATCATCTTTTTTTTATCATCTTATTCAATCAACTTGACTTTTGTTTTCGATTCTAGTTAGCGAGCTCTTCAATTATGCTGTTCATTCCTACGTGCACTTATACACTACTTTCGAAATCCTATTATTCTGCCCTCATCCTAGCCTTGATAATGACAGAGGATTGTATCTTGCTCTGATCAGAGCAATCTAATGCCAGCGAGAGCTTCAATTCGACTTCCAGAGCCAGACGTCTTGTTCTGAGAATCATTCCGACGAGAGTCTCGGAGGCACATCCGACCAACTCGCGCACCAGACGTATAAGAGCTTCGCTCTTATAACCAGTACCACGATCTTCGTCTGATAAGACCAACAGATGGGATCTGTTCGTACTGGAGCCATCTGTTCAGTGTGTTAGGTGGTAGGTATATCCTACTGACCGCCTGACCCCGTTTCAATATGGATTAAGATCTGGTCTTTGTGTACACCCAGAAGCGAGCGGTAAGGGCTTGGCTAGCGTAGTAGCCGCCGTGTAAGAGATACCTGGTGGGTTATGTGTTTGTTCATTTTAGGCATTGTTGTCAGCTAGTATAAGTCGTTTGTTCATCTGTGCATGGTCTCTTCCTTCTAATACCGTGCATATTTTCCTTCCGGCCCTGTCGTTTTTTGGCCCAAGGTTGATTTGATTATTGATATGCTCGCATGTCATCTGGGATCAGCGCCATCGCCCGTACCCAACGTGAGGCATGGCATCACCGGTGACGCCCATAACTGAGAGTGAAAAGGGGATTCGGCAGCAAGTGACAACCGTTTCTATGATGTAACAGACCAATTCTGGGAAGGTGAGAAAATGAGGATTTTAGCATGAAAATTGTACTTACTGCCTGTCCAAACAATATCAACGTTCTCCTCTTTCCCATTGACATCCCAACCCCTGAAAGTTCGTCCCATGTAGCCGTCGAAATAACGCTCTTTAACCCCCTTGATCAGCGTGCCATCGTCACAACATCGTACCAAATGCTCTTGTCATGACGATACAAAACCACCGTCGGGCCTCGGGTTGAAGTACTCGCGCGAAGCCGGGCCACCATGGATGGTGTATGTGTTGGTAACTTGGATGTGCGGCGATTCGTCATTGCCGCCAGATGAGGTCGATTTTCGCACAATATAACATGCAGTCCTTTAATAGGAGTGATAGTTTTCTCATACTGGGGCAATAGAGCTGAGGTGTAGCCATTGGTTGCAAAAATGACGTTGCGTGCGAGGGTTACGCCGCGTGATGTGTGTAGAGCGGACAAGCCCAGGTTTATGTGCTTGTAGGCAGCATTTTCTGATAATGTTGCGTACTTAGACGTAATTTTCTCATCGGAAAACCGCGTTATGTGAGTTACTGTGGTGTGAGTGTACAATAGGGCGCCAAAATCAATAACGTGCTGCAGTACACCCAGGACGAACTTGTACGGCCATAGCGATATCTCAGGGCATTAAGTTGCGACCTTAGCTCCTCGTATAGATGTTATCTGAGGGTATCACTTCATCAATGCCAACCCATTACATATCGAAAAAGGGGTTTGTTAACTCACCTTCTCCACATTATCCCTTCAAAAACTGCACATCCCCTAATCACTCCAAGCACTCTTAGCTCCCCTCAGCCTTCGCAACTTCCTTCATCCCTTGCACTGCCTTTTTCCACAACTGCTCCACCTCATCCGCTTGTCCCTGGTCCAAAAAGACATCCCACGATCTCGTAACCAGCAACTCACACTCCTCCACTAACCTTCTATCCGTCTCCTCCTCTACCACAATCCGTTCCGCGCACGCTTTCATCTCGCGCATCAACTCCCTCGCCAACAGCGCCAATTCCAGCCCTACCCGTGGACCATGCTGCGCGGTGAAGTTGGCGATAGCTAGGGGTGATTGCTTGGTATGGCCGCCATTGCGGCCTGTCGCGCTTCGAAGATGGCTATGATTGGAGTAGAAGAAGCGGGAGCTGAGCCTGATGATGGGTTTGGGGTTAGCAGGTGGTAGGCGGTGCAGGCTCCGGATAGGCCAGCGCCGATTATGGCCACGTCGACGACTTCGGTTACGGTGTTGCTGGAGCGGAAATCGTTGAGGGGGTGGAGTTGGGTCCGCCAGTAGGATGTTGTGGAGGTTGGGTTGGGGAAGCGGGAAGGGGCTCTGCGGTTTGAGGTGGTATTGGTAGTTCCCATGATGATTATGATCACTCTATGCTATTCACGAGATGTAGCGTTTTACCCAAACTTTAGCCCACAATCAGTGAATCACTGTACGAGGGTATGAATTGCCTCTGCTTTTGTTCATGGTATTTGGCTTGCCGTATCTATATATACTATGAAATTCAACGGCGATCAGCTAGCCCAGTGTCACCTCTGCAAGGCAGATGATCGAAAGATCTGTAATTCAGTTTCCTTAAAACACTACTGGCTACCTTCCATCATGATTAGGTCGCATTTATGCGGTAATAATTGCACGCGTCACCAATCTACGTCATTCCAACGTGTGACTTCGCATGCGGACTCACAACCCAGGGAAATCAGAACACTGTGAAGACAATTACTGGATACGTGCTACCACACTCGAGCTACATTCCTACGAAAACAGCGCCAAATCAGTCTACCAATCTACACACAACGAGTAGCTTCGCAACTTTACTCCGGGCTTACTGGACCAATAAAGAACCAGCTTCCGCATTGAGAAGCATGACGGCGCACTAGTTTTCTATTTTCTTTGTCTTGCGTTGACTCAGGCACACCACCTATATGCTGGGCGCAGCGCCTGGGCCAATTCCCATAGATATACCTCCCGTAGCTGCAGCCTTTGGGACTTGGTTCCATCATCATCGCCAATACAACCAACATTGTTGCCTGTATTGCCCACACTGTTCTGTGTAACCCTAGGCCTTATGAATACAGTGACCTAAAAGGCCTTCGATCTACCAGCCTACAAATCAATCCGCAAAGCCAGACTATTATCAAACATCACCGTACCCCAGTACGGCTCTATGCCCGCATTCCCAACATTGACATATGTAGTCGTGCTGAAGACGCCCTGCTTTGAGAGCGCCAAGAGCCAGTCTTTGATATCGCCCTCAAAGTTCCCCTTGAACTGGTCGTTCTCCGGTACCAGTAGCGACGATACGGTGATGCCCGTATCCGTGTTGACTCCCTGGTATAATTCCCACCCGTCCTTGCCGAAAAGGCCGTCGATGGTGGCGACAGGACCGTCGGACCATCCGATGGGCACTTGGCCACCCTCATAGGCGATCCAGAGCATCAGTTCTTGTGCATTGCTAGATGTGGAGTCGCCTTTTGTGTCGGAGGTCATGAAGTCGTATACTACGTTGCCTGGTACAGAGTTAGCGAGAGACCTTATATGCATCTGGCGCAGCAATTTAATGGCAGGTTTGCTCACCTTTGTAGGCAGTAGTGTTTGAAACAGTCCAAGCGTACGTGCTCGGGATACTCAAAATGGCACTCAGCTTCGTCTCTAGGTTCTGCGTCAAGCCAATGAAAGAGTATCCCTTGACTACGTTCGTGTTGACTGATTCGTCGATGTCCCAGATGCTGCTCCAATCAATCGTTTGATTATCGCCCGACCCGGTTATGGTGGAGAAAGCTGTGCAGCAGGATCCGTTGATGTATTGGTAGTTGTAGTTCATTGAGTACACAATCCAAGGCGTCCCCGAGATGAGTTCATATGCATTGGGCGCACCGCAATACTTCGTATCAGCTGCGGCGCCGTTTACCGAGACAGCCACTACCGGCACATACAACTTCAGGAGATCGGAATATTTCATGTTGACTTTCAATGGGGAAAACGAATGTGTGGTCGACTACCTGCTGGTATCCGGTAAGAGAGTGTCAACGAGAGCTACCAAACAATATTGATCGAGGTCTACGATGCTTTTCAAGTTGATCAACCAAATCAGCCGAGTAATGGCAGCAGCTGGAATGTTTGCCGCTGATCTCGTCGGGCGGTAAGGAAATTGGCAAATAGTTAACTTGAAACACACCTAAGGAGTATTCCCCGGTCAAAAGTCGGGTCTCCATCGGCACAGCCCGGCACTCCCGCATAGGGCACCCGCAGTTAAATTGCTCGTCGTAAGGCTGATGCTTTCAATTGGGTGAGAAATAGGAGATTTTGATGTATCAAATTACTTCAAGGGTCAGCTCCATCATCTTTTCATATTTGAACTAAACCGTAGTGTATTGATGCGCTCCGAATATGAATTAACATGGATCAAGGACACACCATTTACAAACGAATTACGGATGTGTCTCAACGCTTAGTAACGTCCCACACCCACATCCGGGACACCCCCACATTGGGGACGCCCTAAAAATGACGCTGTATATTATAACCATTAACTTCAACCTTTTTTAATACTTATTCTGATGCGACTACAATACAGCTTTCACCGTCACTAGGGTTTTCAGACTCGCTAGACTCATCTGTACTATCCTCAATTTCACTAGCCTCGATTTGAGCCCTCCGAATAGCCTTGATATTAGTAAACTTCGAATTTGGGCTCATCTTGACCTTCCTCCGCTTCCTAGCCCTACTAGCCTCAAGCTCTGCCTCTATTGCCTTGATCTTTCGCTGTGCGACAGCTAACTAGTAGTCCTCATCAAAGCCCTTGTGAACTTTCCGAAAGAGTAGCCGCTGGGTATTTGGATCACTATCAAGCTTGCTGAATAAGCTGAGTTGATCTTGGAGCTTATCTCTCCTCTTAGGCGTTGACTAGGCTACTGCCGATGTCTCTAACGCCTAGTCCTGACTACTAGAGTGCCCTTTTTGAGTCTAAATAGGCTGTTTGATTGGTGCTGACGTATTCTTAAGGAGCAGGGGGCTCATAAGGGGTCTAGCTATGCTCGAAGGCTAGAGACCAGTATATTTCCATCCACTGATAATGTTCTTGACGGTCAATGCTGCTAGACGTGCCTTTCTATAGTAGAGGAGAAAGTTTCTCTTCCCTACGACAGTAGTAGTATCCTATTAGTCAAGGTAACCAAGCTCCTTCTTATAGGCTGCCTTGAGGGGTCCAAAGACTGACTGATCTAGAGGCTGGAGAACGTGGGATGTGTGTGGCGGTAAGAAAAGCAAGTGTATCTTGTTTATGAAGCAGAGGTACATAAACTCTGTCGTTTTGTGGCTACTATGCTCATCTAGAATAAGTAACGTAGTCTCTTCAGGGTCCTCTAGTTGAGTTAAAGGAATAAAGATCTTTTGTAGCTACTCAATAGCCGTAGAGTCTGACGTCCACCTATTCTCTGTTGCTGTAAACCTCCAGGCTTCGTATAGAGTCAAGTCTAGAGGAAACCACTGCTGCTGGACAGACTTCCCCTTGTATATCACAAGTGGGGGTAGTACAGTACCAGTTGCAGAGATACACTCTATAAGAGATGTCCAAGCTCGAAATCCAGGCTGTTTCTTCCGTATAGAACGAGTCTCAGATGATCCTAGAACAAGACTATTTGATCCTCTACCTTCTAGAATACCTGTCTCATCCATGTTGTATCGATTAGAGGCCTTAATAGCTTTTATCTCAGGGATAGCGAGGTATTTGAACCATTGCCTGATTATATTAGCTGAGGCTCCATTAATACGCTGGGAATCGATAGCTCTGCTTCTCTGGACCTTGACTGAAGGGTTCCTCTTGATAAAAACCTAGACCCAGTTCTTTCCAAGTGGTTCGGTGTCTCCGTGGATCTGTAGGATACGCTCGGCGAAGTCTTTGAGCTGTTGATAGATTGGTAGGAGGCCTAGGGCAGCCTGGATTCGAACCCATTCAGCCAGATGGGATTCCTAGGCTGGAGAGAGCCTCTGGTAGTCAGCGAAGGCTATATCTCTTGACTGGGCTCCCTGAATCCGTCGTGAAAGAGTAGACCTTGGGACACCATGCTCATATGCTGCTTTTCGGAGGCTTTGACCGGTAGCTATTGCTTGAAGAGCTCGATAAATATCATCTTGGGTATATTGACTTATATTAGTGTAAAGAAGACGTACGTATAATTTCGTAACGATTGAATCGATATTGGTAAAGACTAAAGAGGTTGAAGTTGGAATCTAGCGGTGTTGATGAGGCATTTTTGGGTGTCCCACATGTGGGGGTGTCCCGGATGTGTGTGTGGGACGTTATGTGTCTTTTTGCATTCACCACCTCGGTGTCCAGTATTAAGATTCCAATTAAAGTAAGCCGTGTCGTTAACGATGCTCCCGTGGCCTGTCCTTCCACCCAGTGTTCTCCATGACTGGCATTTCTTGATTCGTTGCTGAGTTTACGCTCTTCGCCCCTTTCCAACGAGCCGTTAGTGCCTGCAGTTTCGACTTCCAAGTATACATCCACATGTAGTGCAGCGTTGGTAGACTGGTAACAATATAAGACATGCCGCATTCCGCCGTTCCCCAAGCTAAGCCCGGCACATAGTCCCATGTAAAGTTGTATGAGGGTACTGCGAAGTTAGTCCAGATCCGAACACAGCTACAGGCAGTTATGAGCACGCCAAATCCGAAAAGCACTGACACTGCTGCTCGATCCCGTTTTCTCATGTTTAGCTTCAACACTAGCGGGATGGGCATGAGGATGATAATGACGTCGAATAGGATGTTGGCGGCCACAACGGCCGTCGCGACGGCAAAGATGTCGACGACCTCGTGTTCTCCGGGAAAATTCTGCTTCGAGTCTAGCCAGCCATTCCACCAGTAATTGACGGGCTTGGTTTGGATGATGACGAGGATCGTAATGGTTATCACCATTAGGGTGGATGCGCTGAGGACGAGAGACGCGGTGATGCGGAACGCTCGAATAGGCTTGAATATTTTGTATTGCAAGCAGATCATGGAAGCCTTTGTGGTCGCGAGTTGAATTATGTAAAAGATCTCTGCGAGAAAGAGATACTATTAGATGCGTTAGCTACTCACAGTTACAAAGCCACTGGCGTACTCACCATCCTCGCCCGTACAATGACGGGCTCTTCAAGAGTCCATACGTCAAAACCAAATGCCTCGACCCACACTAGGAGATGTCACATCACATTAGAATGTTCCGAATTCAAACTTCAGGTAATTACTTACTTGCCATGACCACCACCGATGCCGGTATATATATCACCTTCATTTGTAAGTAAATGAAGCAAGAATAAGTCAATGAGGGACTCCCTTACCAATGTGGCTACCATCAGCCAATCATCGGTATGTAGGCCTCCAAGAACTTTCCACCGAGCCTTCAATCTTTCAATGACACAAATGACCCCAACCGCCTGGAGTGCAGCTACTCCAAACAGATTGACCTTCGAGCTTCGTCGCGAATCCTGACAAATGAGCGCCTGGGGCATCATGGCGGCCAGAGTTTCTCTGTGCGTGCAGCGCTCAATCATGCAGTCATTCCATGACTGACGCAATTCCGGTTGCTGGCATATTTCAGTACGATTCAAATTGATTCCGTTTTCAACACATGATATCTGAAAACAACGTCAGTGTCGGTCGCCCAAGCGGATTGTATTGGGACAGACTCACCGCGCATGGCGAAAGACTGGTTAGGCCGTCATCGATCGAATGCGGAGAATATCCCAGAACCACGAAAGTAAAATATGCTGTGAAGGACGGGAATAATATCAGCTTCATTTTGATACATTTAAAGCGACACTTGAACTCATTCGTCACAGACGATCGGTATTAAGCATAAACTGGTGGCCTAAGTATGATAAGAGGCTCCACCACGGTATTTATTTCAGCAAACACCTCTCGGCAATCGGAAGCCCTTCATCCCAACATCTTCCCTATGATAATGTGATGAAGCGTGCTCCGTGTTTGAGGATCGGACCAAACCCTATCTCAACTACCCATTGACATGGAAATCGTACCGTACCGAGTCATGTACTAAGCTAAGCGAATGCGAAAACAATGCAAGCTCGTTGGCGAATAAATATTTGAGCAGGATGCTTGAAGAATTCTTGACTAGAAGCCTTCACACGGAGTCTAATCTGAAGGAACCTTGTTTTTAAGGACATCTTCGAACTCTTTCTTCCCCTTACTACTTGAAGTCCGACGGTTTTTTTATAAACCAACCTCAAGGACTCTGTATAATCAACTTCAACGTCAGGGGCCACAAAGATTTCATGCCCTTACCAAGTAAGCAATGTCGAGTGTTAACCATTTTCGTAGTTGTGGGAAAGAACAAGCTGGTTTAGTAGTTGATGGAAGTTGGGTTTTGGTATGTGGACCCCCAGCTCTAGAAACCTGGAGTTGCACCTTGGCACTCAATTTGTTTGAATAGTTCTTTGTCTAACATACCCCACAAGCAAGTTCGCCACTTTTTCTTGGCACCGTACGAACAACCTTTTAATTAACATCTTTACACATACCAAGATGGGATCGAATTGGAAAGAAAGCGACATGGTTCTAGCGTGTCAGGCGCTTCAATCGAAACCCGAATTAAGCATCCGACGCGCTGCCCAACTCTACAATGTCCCTCGTACAACTCTAGCTAACCGAAAACGCGGACTACTATCTCGACGCGATACTCGACAATCTAGTCATAAGCTTACGGAACCAGAAGAGTTAGCGGTCGTACAATACATACTTGACCTAGATTCGCGATCATTTCCTCCCCGGCTCCATGGTGTTGAAGCTATGGCTAACCGACTGCTCCGTGACCGTGGCGCTGGACGCGTCGGCGTCAACTGGGCCTCGAACTTCGTACGACGACAACCTGTCGAATATCACGTGTGTCCAATCGAGTAGTCAGCAGTGCGTAAGATTGTATATAAATGAGGTGTGTTCTTGTCTGTCTGTCTTCTTGTCAGGGTACGGCCTGGACCGAAGGCGATAGTACAGAGTGAAGGGGAGAAATAGGCGTGTCCCCCTGGTGGTCACCTGGTGGTCACTGGTGGTCACTTGGTGATGACAGGTAAGGGTGTCCACAGTAGTTCATTGATCTCTCCCCTCTCTATCTTCCTCCGTCTCGACTCCTTACTTATAGCCAGCCGAGGTTCTCTGTTGGATTCTGGATGTTTGCTTCCGCATGTCTGTGTTCCTCCGACTTCGGCCAACATCTTGGATAGCGGCTCTTTATCTGCAACCAAGCGATTCCCTATCCGCTGCAAACGGCTTCAACAGCTCTCATTCGCCACAAGCGGCTCTCTAGCCGCCACAAACGACTTCCTTCCTGGTGGAAGCCGGCCCGCCTCGGATGACACTTGTGGCTCTGACACTTCTGTTCTCGCGAACTCCCGTTGCTCTGCCTTTTATAGATGCTTTAGAACATGTCGGTAACTTTGGTGTTACTTTTGAGAAGAGGGGTTCCTTTCGCCTTCTGAACTTTAAGTGACAATAGTCTTCTCTAGTGCCATATTATTTCTGAACCTAGGAACCAGGTGCCCTATCTGACACAACCAGACCTTCGGACGCGTTTTAATCGAAGAATCGACTACCAACGAGCCTATTGCGAATATCCTGACACGTATCGCGCGTGGTTTACGCTCGTACGAAATACAATTGCGAAATATGGTATCCAAGAGGCGGATATCTATAACTTACTTGGATTTGATGTTCCCGTTGAAGGAGCAAAAGGAGGGCACATATGCCTAACCTGTCTGTATTGTAGCTAACTCTGGTCCTCTCTTCGAGGGTCTATGTATGGAAACAAAAGGGTTCTTATATAGTCAATGAATGGTAGACTTGCTGATTAATTCAGACAAGTTGTAGAAGCATATAGATAAGTAGGGAATGTTCTATCCTCGCCACATTTCTCGTAATAGAGGTATGTGGGGATGGTCGCCGTTCTAGGTGGCGATAGTGGCAAGTATAGGACCCACATGGCCCACAGGGCCCATATTGTCCAACTCACCCCCTCAACAAGGCGGTAGAACTGGTTTGTTGGAAACCGAAGTAAGTACATGTCCTAACTGTTTGGTAGTATAGGATTTGAATAGTGATATGTTCAATCTAACTGGGAATTGTCGTCTGAAACCTCCTGTGCTTGGATAAGCTCTTGTATATTTTTGAGATTGCATATCTGCACGAATAGGTCGTGTTTTTGCGGAGGTAGTGCTTTTGTAAGACCGTCGGCTGCCATGATAGCCGTTGGGGTCCAGGATACGTTAAGCCTTTTGGTCGTATATGCCTCGCGAAGCCAGTGGTTGTGTATATCGACGTGTTTAAGCTTTGTGGATAGGCGTGCTAGTTCTTCTGTAACTAGGCGAATGGTCTGAGTATTGTCGCATTCTATTACTAACTTCTCGTGAAGGTCGAGACCTATAGCTGCAAATAGTCGCTCCATAGCAAGGGCTTCTTTGGCGGTTTGTGATAAGGCTAATAACTCGGATTCTGTGGTATTGGTTGTAACTGTATCCTGTTTGCTTGCCCGCCAAGTAATGGGTCCTCCAAAGAGCTTCATTATAAAGGCTTGAGAGCTTTTGCGATCGTGGGGATCGTCTGCAAATGCTGCATCGCTGGATACTATGAAGCTTCGAGGGACGTTAGTTGTGTCGTCTCCTCCTAGCTCGAGGGCGTAGTATCTGGTAGATAGCAAATATGTAAGGCAGTCGTCGATAGCCTGGTGGTGCTCTGGAGAAGGGTTGCTATTCAACTGAGCGAGCTTTGAAGCAGCGAATGCGCAGTCCGTTCGAGTGGTTATAGCCGCATATAGTACGCTGCCTACCTTAGCTTGGTAGTCTCGTCGAGAGATAGGACTAGCCTGTCTAGTGTATCTAGAGAGGTCTCTATAAGGCGACAAAGGTACTTTGGGGATACGTTTCCGATCAAGGGAAACATCGTACTGGGTACATATTTTCTCGATATACGAGGTTTGAGAAAGCCAGATCTTTCGTTCGGTCCGATCCCTTATGATCTGAATGCCTAGGAACCAGCGAAGTTCTCCTAGGTCCTTTAGTCGGAAGCGGTTCATTAGCTGTTGAATGAAGTGGTTGGTTTGAGCTTCGTCCTGCTTGCGATATAGTAGGCAGATGTCGTCTACGTAGAAGAAGGCTAGAATCTTGCCGTTCGTAAGGATGCAGGGCTCTTCGGGGACCTGTTTAAGGCCTAACTCGGTCATGCCTGATGCTAGGTCGCGTTGCCATAGGAGAGGTGAACGACGGAGACCGTATAGGGCTCTTTTGAGCCGTAGACAGTAGCCTCGTTGCTTGAAACCGTCTGGGAAGTAGACGTAGACGACTTCATCGATTTTACTATGAGTAAAGGCGTTTACGGCATCCAATTGCCGCGTCTCGAGGTCAAATTTTGCAGCAATAGCCATTAGCATCCGGAAGGATCGTCCAGCTAGGGTCGATGCGTATGCGTTTAGGTCTGATCGTGGCTGGAGATCTCCTCTAACAACAAGGCGTGCTTTGTATCGATCGAGGTATCCGTGTTTATCGAATTTGTAGGTAAATACCCACATTAGGGGGATTATGAAATGGCTGGTAGCTTCTGATAGCGGTACCTTATCCCACGAGTCTTGGCTAATGGCGTTATATTCCGCTAAAGTAGCCTCTTTCCAGTTCGTCCAGAGAGCGTGTAACTGTGCTTCGGCCCAGTTCTTCGGAGGTGGAGGAAGGTTTCTCCGATGTTGCCTTTTGTGCTGGATTGCAGTAGTAAACGCTGCGTTCAGTGGTGTATACTGGGGGCTAGAAGTGTGATATTTGCGGAGAGCTTTGGGGATAGCCTGAAAGACGTCCGCTGTATTGGCTTGATGGCGGTTTCGACGGCTTCTTGTAGTTGTATTCGGCAAAATATTCGGATTTAGCTCTGATCGTATCTCGTTAAGCATACGGGAGCCTCGTCCAGTGGCTCGTGGCTGCTGGGCTAGCGGTATTATTGGAGAATCTGGCGATGGGTCTGGTGATGGGTCTGGTGTTGGCAGTTGTTCTGGTAGCAATCCTTTGTCGGCTATAAGCTCTGGAGGTACTGCCACGGTAATAGAGTCTTCGATTCGCTCTGATGGTTCTCGGTGGTCCACCCCCTCAGCGTTAGAGATGTCGTTAACTGCTTCGTCAACGCTGGACTCAGTTGTTCCATTGTATCCGAGCACGATTTGCAGGGCTGTATCATCATTACTAGCCTCAACTTCGATATGCTGGATCTCATCGTCGATTTCCCTAATCCGGAGAGGTGTGTAATGTTCCGATGGATCGTATACTCCTTGTTCATCGAAGGTTACATCTCGTATGGATATAACTTTGTTTCTGGTCGGGATCCAGACCTTATAGACAGTCTGGTTCTTGTACCCAACATGGTATCCGATATATGTCCGAGGCTCCATCTTCTTTAACTTATTCCTTCCGGCTCGATAGTCTTCGGTAAGGGGATAAGCCTTGCATCCCCATGCAACGAGGTGAGA